TCATGAAGCAGCTCGTCTTCAGTGGTGTCGATTGAGGCGCCGATGGACTAGGAACCAGTGGAGGGAGATATTGTTTACAGACGAATCCCGTTACCTGCTGTAACTAGCTGATCGCCGTAGGCGTGTTTATCGACGTCGTGGGGAACGCTACTCCGCCAGCTTTGTCCAGCAGGCTGATCGTTTTGGTGGTGCAAGCGTTATGGTGTGGGCAGGCATCCGTTTCGATGGAAGAACAGACCTTGTTCATGTGGAAGGGAATCTGACTGGTGTGCGCTATCGTGATGAGATTCTCCAACGTCATGTTGTGCTTTCATTAACCGTCATGGCGGGGTGTTTCAACACGACAGACCACACATAGCCATTGTTTGTCAGGACTTTCTTCGTCAAAACAACGTGGCTGATCTGTCTTGGCCTGCTCGTTCCCCGGATTTGTCACTTAATGAGCATTTCTGGGATGTCCTTGACCGACGTGTTCGTGAGCGACGTGTTGCACCTCAGAACCTTCAACGACTCCGTGCAGCCCTTCAGGAAGAAGGGCAGAACATCCCACAGGCCGCTATTCGACTTCTTATTGCTTCTATGCGTCGCCGTTGTGAGGCAGTGATTCAGGCTCGCGGTGGTCACTTACGGTACTGACCCTCTCTTCCTTCTGAGACTTGTGAACCGTGGACATTTTGAAAGACCATCAATCGTGTGATTCATTTGTAAGCATGGATATCTTACCTGTCATTGTACTGAAATAAATCAATCTATGCATGAACATTGTTCGTTTTCCTGTTTTTCAACAGTACATTTAACCTGAAATGATAGATTAGTTGGAATCAAACAAATGATTCTGTTATCTAACTACGACGACGAATGAATCATATTGCAATTTCTTAGTATATAACTCAAAACCCTAGAGTGCTGGTATTAAGTTGTTATGATGAACTACATGGGAATCGTAAGTGTTTGAATATTTAAATTTTAGATACCATCAATTTTGCTGGTCTGTTTCCTAGTTCTAGAACCATGTCATTTCCCATACACCCAACGCTTTCTGTAATGCAAAAGTGTGTGTGTGTGTGAGAGAGAGAGAGAGAGAGAGGGGTGTGAGAGTGTAGAGAGAGAGAGAGAGAGAGAGAGAGAGTGTGTGTGTGTGTGTATGTATGTGTGAGAGAGAGAGTGTGTGTGTGAGTGTATGTGTGTGTGTGTGTGTGTGTAGTGTGTGTGTGTGAGAGAGAGAGAGAGAGAGAGTGAGTGTGTGTGAGTGTATGTGTGTGAGAAGAGAAAGAGTGTGTGTGTGAGAGAGAGAGAGAGAGAGAGAGGGGGGAGAGAGAGAGTGTGTGTGTGAGTGTATGTGTGTGTGAAAGAGAAAGAGTGTGTGTGAGAGAGGGAAATAGAGAGAGAGTGCGTGTTTGTGTTTCCCCGTTAGTTACTCTGACTGTAAATATAAAAGCTAAACGACCGAAAATAACCATCCGCATCCCTAAGACATATTGCAGTGCATTGCATTGAAGGTTAAAGTAAAAGTGGATATACTATTTAGTATAACGGTCCTAATACCTCTGATCCCACAGATAACTATTCATTCATATGGTCGCAGTTACCTTTGCCCATGAGTATACCATGTATCTACCTGACAGTACCGGAACTGAACACCCAGTAACCCCAACTCATCATCTCACGCATGGCATGTTTCTGTACAGGTATGCAAACGCATTATACTCGCTTGGCATGTTTAATTATACTGTACGCTTGGAACTTGAGGCCGTTGTTCTCTTGTACTGAATAACTCATAGCATCTGTTGGTGGGAAGTGACAGGGAGTACAGCATAGGGGTGATCTATCAGTCAGGTTTAAGGTAAGTTTATCATTATTCACAGTCAAAAGTACCTTAATATGATCAATACAGCTGTTTTGCTTTTTGTTGTTCATTGTAATTCTTATACTTCTCTCTTATGACTGTATTCCCATGTGGTGTGTGTATGTGTAAGTGTGTGTGTGTGTGTGTGTGTGAGAGAGAGAGAGAGAGAGAGAGAGAGAGAGAGAGAGAGAGAGAGAGAGAGAGAGAGAGAGAGAGAGAGAGAGAGAGAGAGAGATTGTATATTTGGCTACTGGATGTTCCAATAATGAATGACACGTCTTACTTTGTAGTTTGGATTGAATTTTCTTGTGACGAACCATATTTTTCAAACTACTTTGCATTGTTCAAGGGGCTATATGATTGAGAATACGGAAAGTATATCTACTCCCTGGGCATCAATGAAGAACTGGTACCTAGAGTGTGTTAACGGCATATCATACCCCACAATATAGCGGCAGCATTGCTACAGTGGCCTAAAATACCATTAACTCCCTCACGCAATGGTACAGTCGGCGTCTTGTAAGTCTCAACTACTAACATCAACGACGCAAGGATGCTATTGTCATACTTGGCAGACTTTGGGCATTTTGCCATCATCTAGAGAGACCGTTTGTCTTTGACGAGGTTCAGGTGTATAATTACCATTATTGTATCCATTTTACCCATGTACAAAGATACCAGCATAAACAAGACTGTGGTACTATAACATACATTACCACCGGCATCACCAGTGAATGTCTTCCTTTTTCATTATGATATATACACATGGAAAAAAGTATCGCGACACCTATGATATTTAATCCCTATATAACCATTATATATTCATATCATTATGGTTGTTACCATGATTATTGTGACCTCATATATGGTTTTAGGTATTCACGTGATACATCCCTCATTAAGCAAGTTTCACGTTTCACTAACCATTTGCAGCTCGATAACTTGGAAAGTCAATTGATTTCGTTGTTGATATGCAAGTATTGGTCTCCTCAACTGAAAACTGCTCCAAAATGGCAAGTTAATAGTATGCGGTCCAAAACAGTCGGGTACACAGTCAGACAATCCGTCTCTTGCTACCCCCCGAGCACAAGAAACTATATATGGCAGCGAAATATGTCGGAGCGAGTGCCGTTTGGCGTGGGTTCATTGAAAGTTTGGGGCTTCCTCTCACATGACAGTAACCTTGACCTTGTGATGTTCAGACAAAGTCACTAGAAAGGGTTGTTGTACCACAGTTTAATGACCATCCTCCTGACGCATGGCCAGTCCCATTGCACAAAAAAGGAGAAGAAAAAAACTCTCTCCCTCCCTCCCTCCCTCCCCCTCTCTCTCTCTCTCTCGATTGTCATCTCAAATGACCCAATTTGACATCACCTTCTTTCAATCGAGGAACCAAATTGACATCGCCTCATTGGGTCATATGAACAATTTGACATCACATTTGCTCTACATGTGAACCTGTTCGGCATTTCCTCCTATCAACAAATGAACCAATTATGTATCGCCAAACTTGTTTGCATGATACAACCATCTCAGATAATACATTTGAACTGAAAGCTTTCACAGACAAGACAAGTGAAGCGAATATACATGTTCCACTTGATGATGGCCATTGATCTCGTGTGCACAGTGTGATACGTCTTACTTGGCAATAGCGAACCCTTCCATGCTTACCAGCATGTATACACAAACACAGGAGTTGTGTGGGCGTTAGTCTGCGTCTTGCATGGTACTGAACAGTCAATACTTCTTATCAATGTCAGCTAGCGTTTTCGTTTTACGTGCGTCTGATCTGTTTAAGGTATGTGGATTATTTTAGTATAAGTCAGTCGTACTATTTATTTAATTCCATGTTCTGATAATGTAACCTGAGCTACGAATGAGGATGGCGAAGCAGTAGCTTATTTAAGTTGCTCTTCAGAGACACAATACATGGGCGTATCGTTTAGACCTACTTTGCTATCGGTGAATGAAAGGGCACGAGTGTTACATCAAAATGTGCTGTTTCATGAACACAGAAGATGAAATCCACACATCATGTGTTTATGATTTGCCAAATTCTTAATGCCTATATCAGAAATAATCTGATCCATATGTATACTTATGATTTCATTAAACACACGATCTAGTTTTGGCAAGTACTAAATCATTCTGATCAAGGCAAGTACACCATGTAAAGAAACACACGAGTTGCCGCCCTCAAGTATCATGATGTTTCCACTCTTTAGTACTGAAGACCCTGAAGGAGAGGGTGTTTCAAAAGAGTGAAGTGATGAATCCCGATTGATGTCCACTTTCCTGTACATGACCATTACTTAATCTCATTACGAAGGTGGCACTGTGTTTAAATGTCAAGACACTTTCCCATTACCATGGTGCATGTCTATTTGGCGAATTTGTTATGGTGATTAAGAAGTCAATTGCTCTATCGGAATCCAAAACGTGCCGAAAAGTTACTCTGTTTCTCGTACTTATATGTGGACTGCAGTTTAGTATCGATATTCTTAACTTGATTCTTTGGACTCATCATTGTTTTACATTATCAGATTATGCGTAGTATAAAAGAAATCAGCAGATAGACTACCCGGCAAAAGAAAGTTTACACTGAATGAAACAACCAAGAAATGACAATGTGTGATGTATTGATATAGGTATCATGGCTGTTTTTTTTGGTACTTAAGCTTGCAACTTTCAGCGACTGTTTTCAGCCTTGTAACGTTTCGATAACGTTTGTACATTTGTGGTCAAATCCGTGTACTATCGTTATCCTTTTCATCTCATATTTGCCACACTGTTCTTAACTTCCGTGACAAACATTATGACTTCTGTCGCCAAAGACCACATTCGCCTGTCCCATATCTTCACAGATAACGAATATTCAGTACGCATTCTCGTTAGTCCGGAATTATGTAGCAGCCCAAAATCCACAGATTTATGTTGCTTTGCTGTGGCAGGATCCGCTGATCACGGTTCAAATCCAAGATTCGACCCATCCATGACCCTTGATCAGTCCATGCTCGTAGGCTTCACTTAGCCCATCGTAACTTCAGGCAATCATCACATAAGAAACTCTTACACAGTAACCAAGCTATGATACTGTTTATACCCATATTGAACCCACTTTACTCACTGAAGATCTTAAATTCATTTCTAGGGCAAAGGGAAGTCGACAAAGAAGAAAAAGAGACACAAAGACACCGATACACCAGCAGAAAATGCTGAAGTGGGTGAGATTAAGGACGTTGGTGCTGCGGACAGTGTCTCTGCTGAAGACACCGTGGTAACCCCGAGAGCAAACCGTCCACCAGCAATGGCTGTGATGACGAGAATGGTAAATCTATAGACACATCAGATTCATCTGTTGTCAACGACGTCGAACCCAAAGTGTCAGTGGATGATTATAAGGCCAAGGTTGAAGTGGTAAAAAACGGACTGAAAGCTTCCAAAACCCTCATAGACAATGAATGCAAGACAACAGAACAGAAGATTGTGAGGACAGGGTTCTGGGATAAGTTAAGGTTTACAATGTCCCAGGTAAGAATATAGTGTTATTCTTTCATAGATAATCCACATACTACAGAGGCCTGTTTTGAAAGTCGATATGTTATCATGTATATAACATGAGCATTGTGACGTATGCTTTTGTCTTTGTACTTAAAGCTAAGATCAAACAATGGGCTGAGGATAAGGATCTATTCTGCAACCCATCAGATATTTCAATCATGTGGCATCATTCAACGTTATATCTTTCGTCGTAAAACAACTTTTAGTCTTTGATATGAAGCCTTTGATTGATTTTGTGAAGAAACGCACAGGTGGTGTTGAGAAAGGTTAAGTGTTAAACGTTCTGCATCCAACATATCGATGGGATCTGACACATCATCCCTTTGACGGTGCGGAGGTTCATTGATTAGACTGTGGGTTTGAGACAAGGTCCTGTTTTTTCGGTTTTCCTATTAGGCAAATTACAAAACAGGATTGTTAAAAAGAATGAACATTAGACATTTTCCCCGTGATGTATGTAAATTCGTTAGGCTGCATTTTCTGATAAAGTCATTTGATATAACATGCGGCATTACCCTGTTGAAACAGTCTTGATACACACATTTTGAATAACTGAATTCGGGGATGATTATTACGATGAGGTTCTTATGAAAGTTATTTTCCTTTTCGATTTAGAGAATGCTAATTTTATCATGCTGTATTAGTTTTGATGCCCAGTAATAAGAACAACGTGAAAGTAAAGCCATTGATGATAAGGAATATTTGAAATTCTTGTATAAAATTATTGAAGATAAAAAAAGAAGGATTTGTTTGTGGGAAATACTCAACACTCGAATGTGCCCTTTGGTTTCAAAATGATTGCAAATTGATAATTATGATGATTCTTTAAAGATTTGTTCTCCTTATAGTGAATCAACAAAAATTAACATGAGTGTTTTATTTCTTTTGTTAAAAACCAAGTTATCAAACCTTCAACATTGCTCAATGTTCGTTACTGTCTTCACACCGCCTCTGTGGTGTAGTGGTTAGAGCGTCCGCCCGGAGAGCGGAAGGTCGCGGGTTCGATCCCCGACCGCGTCATACCAAAAGACGTTAAAATATGGTACTTGTTGGTCCCTGCCTGGCGCTCGGCATTTTTGGGTACAACAAGGACTGGTCGGCTCAGAGTCAGTATAATGTGTCTGAGTGGGGTATTCATGCTTCACTGCGGCATGGTATCTCAGTGGGCTAGCACTATAAAACCAGCTTCAGTCTGGGCTAGTACAAGCAGCCGCACATACACATACACACGCATGCACGTCGTCATATGAGCGAAATATTCTCAAGCACGACGTTAAACCCAATTTCACCTACTGTCTTCACAAACTGTGTCACTTGCAATCCAATTCAAGGTCATATCTTGACAACCTAAGTACACACATGACTTGAGATAAATAGTTATCTTTAATAATGAAGAGTACTACTCAGACATGCGTAAATGGATTAGAAAGAAGTCTTTCAGCAAGTTCGCTAGTCCGTTCATTCGAATTTATCAATGTATATGTAACACAAAATAAGTCGAGACAACATACCAGTTTTACACGATAAAAACGTTTCAGTTCGACACTAAAACAACGTCTTAACGTTGACTGACACTACACAACATACGTTGAGCATTGTCTCCCTTTAAAGGAACTCTGCTACTGCGGGAATGAAGTACAATATGGTGTTCTGCTTCGTGTGGGTATGGTATGTGTTATTGGTTTACTCCCTTTAAGATCAACGGTTCTGCTGAGATAACGTATGTGTTACTTGCTGCAGTCGGTGACGGACGAACAGGCAGTGACGGAATGTCGGCGGATGTTCCGGGAGGAGATGGTGAGACTGAGGAGAGAAGTGGAGGAGTTCCGGGAGCTGTGTCTCAAACAGGTCAGTGGAGTGGACGTGTCACGTGATGTTTCATGGCTGTGATCGGCCTATGTGTCGAATCTCAAATGGGTTCCTAAAATGGGTGAGGTTCATTTTGGGATATTTTGAACAGTTTTATACAATTGTGAATTATAGGTAAGGATGAAAAAACCCATAACATTTTACGATTCCGTCAATATACAATAACTGATGAGGAATGACGCGGTTTCTGTGTTTCAACACTGGCTCGTTGTTTGTCATGTCGGTGTTGACATGCATTAACATGTACATACAAATGAGTCCATGTGCGTTTTACTACATTATTTGAAGTTTGAAATACACACAGTGATACCAACAATCTCATTGATTATTGACGCTTTAATAAGTCGTAACTAATACATAAAGGGCACCACACCAGTGATCTTGCTACCAGTTCTTGGTATTCTACGAGTCATATATGGCTAGGGGAGAGAGACTCTGAGATTCCTGGAATCCACCTCACGGTCTTACAAATATGGTAGTGGGGGTACGAAATAGAGGTGGGGGAGAGTAATAGATAGTCAGGTTATGGGTTATTGACCAATAGAAAAATGGAAAAGGGTGTTGGTTGTGACGTAGGAACCCAGGTTTAAGCTGGAGCAAAGCTCAGAGACGGGAGTCTGGTGCGGGCCTACTCTTGATGTTGGTCACTAGGAATCGTCTCAGAAATTATCTGGAAGCACCAGCATTTGGCTTAAGACTGAAGCTTTGCGGCTGAAGTCTTATAGAGTGACCATAGAGTAGGTTGACCAGCAACACAGTGTTAAATAAAACGAAGATCATCGTCTTGTGTTTGCTGGAGGGACTACGGTAAAGTTCCAAGGGCCCACAGGTACTGACACTGTACCTCTCGCACATCCCTATCGTCAGGACCGAAGTACGGGGGTATACCGTAGTTCAGGTAACGACACGTCATCCCTGGTGTGGGATACCGACAGGTAAATTCCATCTACCTGCCAGGTAAAGGTGCTAGTCGGAACGCCTTGGAAATTATCACCAACAGCACCTGCATCCAACTGACGGTCACATGCCATAGCAACACGGGCTTGTTTACCGTGGCGAGCACAAAGCCCTTTGGGAAACCAAAGCAATATGAATACTCTATTGTTGGGTAATCTCTAGGCGTCTCTAATTCGTCGTTCTATATTGCTTTCTGTGTAATCGATCGTCACAAATCAATAAAAAGAGTTATCAAAGTAAATACATGTAAGTGTATTTATAAAATTAATGCTTAGAATGTTACAGGCATGTCTACCGATATACCGACTGAACAAAGTCTAGATATATTTCCTATTGTTTGAATCAGGGGTGAAGTATGATCGTTTAAATCGGTAATTTATTGGCAATCACTGTGAATATGCATTGAGGATTAATCAGCGGAATATGGATTTTATACAGTAGAATGACCAGGGGCAAAATCGTTAAAACTGATTGCACTGGCTTCAGGAATTATTGTAGATCACCTCCATGGTCTTGTGGAAAGAGGGGCGGTGGGTTAGCTTGGTGGTTAAAGCATTCGTTCGTGACACCGGAAACCCGGGTTCGATTCCCCACATGGGTACAATGTGTGAAGCCCATTCTTGTGTCCCCCGCGGTGATATTGTTGGAATATTGCTAAAAGCGGCGTAAAAACATAATTTCTGACTTTTGTGGATGGAAGGTGCCTGAGGCGGAAGGTCGGGGTTCGGTTCCCGGTAGTGTCATACCAAAAATGTTAAAATGTGGTACTTGTTGTTACACTGCCTGGCATGTATTGGATACAACAAGGTCAGAGTCAGTCCGTGTGTCATGCAATTCAAATAAGACACAATAGTGGTTATGTTTAAGGCAAATACTATATCTTGTGACTCAAGCAGTATCGGTCGATGACCTACACCAGTCCTGAAAGAAAGATGATGATGATGATGATGAATGCTTTGCTAGAATGGCTAGCATGACCTAAATAACCACAAACTCATAGACAATACTCCACAGACCAGCACTTGCACCCAGCAACAGATCCAAACACCATTGAAATACACCTGACGGAAATGAACGACGGACACGGTTTCCAGCTGTACAAACATAGTGCATTAGTTGAAGTCAATAACCGGTGCATATGTATACTAGAGGTAATATCACGCTCTACTTGCAGCAGAGTTAGGTATAAGACGGCAAACCGTTGAACCAAGAGCCGACAGTGTATGACAGCGAGAATATCCACGATTGTCAATACATATCGAGGATAGTATCTGTAGCATGTAGGATAAACCCCTAACACGATTTGGGATGTTGATTTTGATGGTGTTATTGGGTGCAAATAGTAAACATATGTAGGAGTTATAAGGTGATAATTTTGTTATTTTGTTTAATTACACATGAACTACTGGACAAATCAATGTATATACTTAACCAGCATATCGACAAGTAACTTGGCCGGAAACGTTGCAAACTTTATGTTCAATATTACAACTATGACTCCGTGTCCAATAACCATTTCTCCTTTGTTTAATTTAAGCCATCATCAAAACATAAGTGTACACTTTCTTTTGACCAGCAGTGTATCTATTTTTTTCTCTCTCTCATCTTTACGCATAATGAGTCATACATTCTTGCCGAAACACGATTATGGTGTCGTTGTGAGTTCTCGTATTTATTAAAAAATGAAATACTGTTTTGAAAAAATAAACTGAGATACTGGTATATTCTTGTTTTCTTTTTCAGATTAAAGTTCAGAAACAGTGTGTGGACGATCACAGACATACGTGTGAGAAGGAGATAAATGGCCTGGCGCATCGAAATGGTTTCAGGTCAGTCTGTGTTGTTGTGTGTATTTGTACAGTGCCCCGCAACATGTGCCGGACCTCATTGAGTGAACGCTATGTGTCATCGTGCCCTGTGGAGGTGGATCGTTGCTCTTGTCGTCAACCCGGACCTGATTTAATTAGTAACAAACCGTGACCCGTGAAGCTTCTTCTGCAACCAATGCTTGAGGCGACTAACTGTATGAGATGGTCAGACTCGCTGACTTGGTCGATGCATGTCATCGTATCCCAATATTGCATTTATCAATACTCATGATGTCAATCACTGGATTGTCTGGTCCAGCCAGGTTATTTAAAGAAGTGCAGTCATATGGCTGGTTTATTGTGAGTACAGCGTTAAACAATAACAATAAGGGCCTATATTTTCGAAGCTCTCTTAGCGCTAAGATAGTCGTAAATGCCATACATTAACATTAACTTACGACTATCTTAGCGCTAACAGAGCTTCGAAAATATAGGTCCAGTAGTATTGCTAGAATAGCATCACTCACACTGTTTCGTAACTGCGGCTCGACTGTAGCAACATATGTTATCTTAACAACAGTTGTTAATTAGCATCACGTGATCATATTTAAATGCCCCCTAGTGTCTGGAGTTTGAAGGATGATGATAGAGTTTACGCACATCCATCGAAGTGTGATGCATTTGTTTGGTACTACTTTAAGGGAAAATCGATGTCTGCTACACGTTGATAATGAAAGATTCTATCAAGCGCAACATCAACGGTTCCAGTAATGGACTGCTTTCATGTGTTTGTATACACTTGTGAATTGTTATGATCATATGCCTTGACCTGATCATATATAAGCCCCATTGTTTGGCAATATATTAGGAAAATCGGATGAAAATTGTGTATGACTATTGACAATGACAGCAATTGTGTGTAAGGTTATACACTGTGTCACATTGTTCATGACCTTACGACTTTACCTGCTTCGTGAACAGGTTTGGTACATGAAACGCAACCCTATTAAATATGTCTTGACGTTGTACAGCATGATGTGTGCATACATGTACTCACGGTAACTACAACTTTATACTGTATATGCACACACATAGTAACTTCAGCTTGATTTCTCGTGTCTTTTCAAGTGAAGAATTGACTTGCCTTGGCGTGTGTTTGTGGCATGTGCCAGCGGTCCAGCAGGATCAGCTCACCATTTCGCGAATATCTGGTGTCACCATTGTTTTAGTGATGCATAAACACATGTGAATGGCATAGTCGGAATCATACAACTGGCTCTCATGAACAAGGAACTGGTTGTGTTCTTGTTTTCATTGCACAACTTGATCGGTCTTGCTTCGACACCTCGATAGGGACGTTGTCTCAGTGAACTTTATCGACAGTCTGTGGTACACTACAGCACTTCCTCGTCTGTCTTGTTGCGATGACGTTATTGACGACCTAATCGACGTGGACATCATCGACAGTCTGTGTCACCCAAAATAGCTTCTTCATCTGTTTTGCTACGACAACGTGATGATAATAACGACGTTGTCGATTTGAACATCATCGACAGTCTGGGGTACCCTAAATAGCTTCTTCATCTGTTTTATTGCAATAAGTAAACAGCATACATCTGTAGTAATTTACAAACTGTGTTGAAGCCGGTACTCAATCACTAAATTTCCTCCTTATATTTACATGTGTACTCCAATAGTCTCTATAGTAATTTAGAAATACATGTATGTTGTTGATGGTAATCTTATATATGGATTATTCCCGTGACCATTACGTGACCCCATTCATAATGCGGGCCTTGTTCCAATAATCGACGTCTCCTGCATGCAATAATGGTGCCAAATGTCAGCGTGCGATGGATGTCGTGATATATAGCACACGTGGTCCTGGAGGTATCGAATATTACGCTTCATAGCGTCATTATAAAAAACATTCTCTGCATGCCTTGAGACGATAACTTATCGACTATTACGCTTCATAGCGTCATTATTAAAAAACATTCTCTCATGCCTTGTGACGATAACTTAGTTTTGATATTGATACGTTTCAATGAGGCTGTGCTGCTTAGCATAAAACGATGTTTGTTAATACCCAATGAATTGATCTGAAGTGAAAAAATGAATTCTAATTCTAGAGACGTTTAATGAGAAAGGTATGGCAGGTGCTTTATTGTGCAGTAGCGCGAAGTGTCGATTGCAGTATCAACTATTAATCAGGTATAGAACACTTTGATGGCTCTCTATGTAGTGTCCCGATTGCAGCATGGGACACTATCATTCTATTGTTTGTAGATCTGTGATTTATGTCTTTATACAAAACCTAATCGTTCTCAATTACGGCCATGCAGCTTTAGGCTTGTTATTCCCATTTCAATCAGTCTAATGACATGTCTGATAATTGAGCATGCTATTCAGAAATACAAACATGGAGAATAACGAAGCAACGCTAAGTTCAATCAACAGCAATTTGTTAAATATGATTTCATAAATAGCTATTTGATATAACTTTGGGCTACGAAAGCAAATCACAGAACTAATCAGTAGGGTGAAACTTACAACTCTATGGATGACAACTTCTTATTTATTACATAGAGCGACGTTTCGACGTAGATTCTTACATCGTTATCAAGCTATATATTGTATATATACCTCTCATCGTCTGGTTGTATTCAGTTTTAGCTTGATAACGATGTAAGAATCTACGTCGAAACGTCGCTCTATGTAATAAATAAGAAGTTGTCATCCATAAAGTTGTATGTTTCATTTTTGAGTCACCAACTTCTATAATGCCGATCAAACAATTAATCAGTGGGGTGATTAAATATCTCAGTATGTATGCAAGAAATGGCTTGAGAATTTGGTATCACAACGTATTCAACACAAAATGAATGTTGTTTGACTCCGCGAGCAACAGACTCCTGCTGTTGTGACGACTTGTACTCAAAGCTTATCTGACAAAGGGGCGGTGGGGTAGCCTAGTGGTTACAGCGTTGGCTCGTCGCGCCGAAGACCCGGGTTCGAATCCCCACATGGGTACAATGTGTGAAGCCCATTTCTGGTGTCCCCCGCCGTGATGTTGCTGGAAAATTGCTAAAAGCGGCGTAAAACCAAACTCAGTCAGTCAGTCATCTGACAAAACAGTGGATGAAAGCATTTGAATGATCCACGACATTGAGGTTTGATAACACTCAGTCAGCCAAGTCACCTAGCCTGACCTACCTGTGTCAGTTCCTATTAGTGTGTCTCCCACGCCCAGCAGAAATTAGATAGAGATCCTGCAACTGTCTACATGTCTACATTGCCTCAACTCCAGACATTAGGTTGCGTTCTGGGCTCCGTTTGGATTGGATTTGTTGTGTAGATAATTGTTTTTAGTATTATGTTTAAATCATTTTATACACAAAGAACTTAATTGAGCACGTACATGAAAATTGCACACGTACATGAAACTTCTCGTGGTGATCACGATGGAAAAACATGAGTCTTTCTGACCCGTATGATCCTTTGACTCATAAAAACGACAAAATGATTGGAATGAATATTGATTTTATGATGATAATTGTTCATTTAAAAAATATAAACACACACTGATTTTCATACAAAACCAATATCTGTACAAGTATGACACTAGAATGTTTAATGTTAAATCAGAGACCATATAATAGATTATTATATGGTCTCTGGTTAAATCTATTGGTGAATTGGAACATTCAAAATGTTATTTTGCGTGTCTTACACGATTCAAAGTCAATACCGAATGAAACTTCCATGTGACTGTATGACAGCCAGCACCCTCCTCCTCATACCCTCTATCGGCCTCCTGGTCCTCCGAAGGGACAGTCCACGTCATTCCTCGTGTAAAGCAGCTTCTAATTGGGCCAGGTTCTGTACAAGAGGATCCCTTTGCTGCACACGACGACCAATCATGTCCCAGATATGCCCCAAAGGGTTAAGATCAGGGTTCATTCATCCGTGAGATATGTCAGGTGGTGCTTCACTAAGTTCTTTGTGTATATTTGTGGGAATAATTGTCAGTCCAAGCTCCTATAACAAGCTAGTGATAAAATAAAACGGAAGATCATCGGATTTCAAACCGCAAAACATGGCAAGGATGACAGTTACTTAATTCGAAATATATAAATATTAGAAATGGAATTTGTTATAAATCTGAAAACACTATCAACAACGCCTAAGATGTGGAGATGTCGCGATGGAAAATAATACTACAGAGACGCGAGCTAAAGTTAAAGTGACAGTCCTTTTGTTTCAGGTATGCTTAAACATAACACCATGATCACTGACATGTTTAGAACTGCCCCGTCCACTATGAATATACCCCTAATACTGTAATCGGGAACGATTGTCTTCGAGTTCTGACATCGACTGACTGACTGACTGAGTTTAGTTTACGCCGCTGTTAGCAATATTCCAGCAATATCACGGCGGGGGACACCAGAAATGGGCTTCACACATTGTGCCCATGTGGGGAATCGAACCCGGGTCTTCGGCGTGACGAGCCAACGCTTTAACCACTAGGCTACCCCACCGCCCTCTGCTATCGATGTCACCACGAGTGGTGATAAGTGTGGAGTGATTCTCCTCATCCAGACATATGACATTACCAGGAGACGATTGTGTGTGTAGAACATTTCAGTATCATGTGGGATCAACAGTAAGCTGTCGGGTCGGGTCTTAAAGCAGTGAAAATAGGTTCCTAGCTCTTTCATCTAACTGATCCTTTGACGTGTGTCATTTTGTTCACATTTTTCTCCCAGACTAACTCTTTGGTATTTCAGAACATCATGACAACGACTTTCATAAGAAATTGTACGAGATAGTCAAAATATTTATATTGCTTTTAAGTCAGGTCCAGAATAGACAAACTAGGGACAGATTATGTCAGAAATGACCTCCCAGAAAAGGAAATATATCCTCTGTTATAGTCTAGCTGAATAATACCATGTTGTCTGGACGGACTTGTCCAATAACAATATTTAACATGAATACGAAGGTTTGGTGTAGAATTTAGCGCACCTTGCCTTAGGCGGACGTGGTTATGAAATGCACGATAGAGTGGTGCGTCTAATGCGTCACACTTCGTCAATTTGCTTGTTATGGCGTACCCACTAATCTGAAAATAATTCTTCCATTAGCTACGGTGTATATGTAGAAGGGATCTACTGTCTCAGAATCTTCATAAGAGGAGACACTTCTATAAACCGTGGGCATTTAAAGAATGAGGAGTTCCTCTCCAATGTTGTAATCGTGATGTATCTGTTCAGCCGACGCCTGAGTGTGGTGAGCGAGGAGGCCAACCTGCGGGATGAGCTGAAGGAGGAAATGAAGGAGATGGAGAGCAGCATGGAGTTCTTCCAGCAGAAACAGAAGATCCTGGACCAGGAGATGGAGCTGCTCAACAAGGAGGACGAGTTGTCCAAGAAACATAAGGAACTGGAGGAGTATGAGAAGGAGGTATGTATTGATCACACACACGCGCGCGCGCACGCACACAGACAACACAAACATGCATGCATAAACACAGCACTGAGGCAGAGGCAAGAACAATCTGATTGAATCTTGTTTAGTGACGCTCTCACATCGTCTTGTGACAAGCCTCAGTTTAAGACATTTGACTCATTTCTTCTTTCGAAGAAACCTAAACGTTTACACTTAACATACCTGTTAACAGAAGTATACGTTAACAGTGTTTTGATTTTCATTTCAAGTAATGTTCAACAGAAGTAAACATGGAAGTCTGTGTGTGAAGTTTTAGACTTCCTCAATATCGTAGTAGGTATTACCTAGTTTAAACAGCGGCGGATGTGTATGCTGAATCTCTGAATTGGGAGAAGTTAATCTTCTCCACTTCTATCCAAAAACATTAACCCTAAGTTCACGCAAATGCGTGGCTCCGAGAGAGAAATAGACTTGGGGTCAATTGCGTGTCGAAGGATTAATTTACTCGAAATGTATATTTTACTATGGGCGGTTCTTGTTTCAGTCAACTCGAAACGCTATGCATTCACGTTGTGAAATGACTTTTGTGTTAGATGAAATGAATGATTTGTAACAGTTGCTTTTAGGTGTCTGAGAATTCACATAAAAACAGATAAGCAATGTTTCTTCAACTTGAAAGCAGCATGTGAAAGAACAAATAAGATGCATCCACAAACAGTATCGATGTTATTGTTTTGCTTTGAATTGTTTCAGATCCAGGAGGTTGAGTCATTACTCAATCAAAGACAAGCAATTTGCGACCGGCGGCAAAAGCATCTGATTGTACTTGATGAGGTACGGGTTAAAACTAAACTGAATAAATTGAAATTTGTGAATGTTAGTCAATGCTGTTACATGGGTTATTCAAATCGCATTGATACTTAACATGCTCAGTTAGTTTTTAATAAGAAATATGATAAGTAATATAATGTACTCAACGCTTGTCCTCAGAGCCGACTAATGGAGACCGAGTGTGGTAGGTGTGCGACAAAACAATGTGTTTCAAGGCATTATGTCAGCCATTTTGTCTGGCTCGGTCTTGCGTATATACAAACCACAATGAGTGAGTGAGTGAGTTAGTGAGATTAATTTTAAGCTGTACTCAGCAATATTCCAGCTATATGGCGGCGGTCTGTAAATAATCGAGTCTGGACCAGACAACCCAGTGATCAACAGCATGAGCATCGATCTACACAATAGGGATACGATGACATATGTCAACCATGTCAGCGAGCCTGACCACCCGATCCCGTTAGTCGCCTCGTACGACAAACATGGGTTACTGACGGATGGGATTCTAACCCGGATCTTCACGGGGAGACCACCATGACATAACATTTGCTCACAATCTGTCATTGTGTGAGATAGTTCGGTTTAAGTTAGCTTTGAACTCTGCTATATCACCGAATGTCAGTTTAATATGGGAGGGAAGTCCAAAGTATTGCAGGTTTAGGCTATTGTCACTCTGGTGAAACCCACAATGATTGGCAATAGCAAACCTACACACATAATCAAGGGCGAATCTGCATCAAGGATGTCGACACTTCTAAGGGACGCAACTGCTGGGCCACCCGGGCCATGAGTAATGTACTCTGTACTAATGTTGAGTATGTCGCTTCAGGAGCTCCAGTCCCTGCGCCAGGATCTGGTGGAGTCCAAGGAACAGATGCAGCAGGAGGTGGCTGCCAACGGGGCGGAGAACAACTCCGAGAAGGCCAGGAAAAACTGGTAAGTGTCAGATCCCATGGCTTGATATTAAACTTGTGATCAGTAAGATGTTTGCTTTTTAACTTCCATCACAGAAGACCGACTAACATGATTTTTTGTTTTCCATTTAAGTTTAAGTGTTTGATTTTTGGTCTTTTAAACTGTTACTTTTTGCTGTTGACAATATTACTAATTCTCCCCCAAACACACTTATGGTTTTCCACTTAAAATTCATAGCAGCGCACTGAGTCCTCGACTGAGAGGTGAAGAAGATTGGTAAGCTCGTATTTCTTCATCAATCGGTGTGTCCCCCTCACTTCCCATCCTCTTTATAGTGTTGCCACGTTACGTGAAATAATTCACTGCTTTCCAATAAATGGAATAAAAAGTAAATTTAAATATGTTGAAATAACATAATTGTTGGTAAACTAATATAGTGCATGCCATGTAGCGACTTGGAATCTTATTCACTTATCTTGTTGAATGTAAGTCTCAGTAGAACGCCTTCTATGTAGTATAAACATATTTAAGTACATGTAGAATACAAGTAGAAAATCATCAACGTCTCTGTAGCTGTGTAGCATCCTCAGAAAATAATATTTAACGATCATTTTGTCAATATCTGTAAACATTTAATGGCAGACATAATCACTATTTGTTTGAATTAAATACCAGATAACACATCAACATCTTTAAAGACGACTGTTCATTAATGAAGAAAGCTAAAGTGTAGGACACAGCTTAGTGTAGTCTGTGGATTCCCTTGCAGGGACATTGTCCGGCGCAACCTGATGGACAAGCAGCACCTGCTGGAAGCCACTGTCCAGAAGTACAGGTCAGAACTGGCCTCTGCTTCCTCCAATATTGCAGGAAAGGACATAATGATTGCCAAGTTGCAGCAACAGGTAACTCATTCCTGGCAGCCATATATATACTGAGGGAAACAAATAAAGGAACACAGGAAAATTCAAGCGTTCCTTTAATATTTTCCAGTTTTCATCACCAGCTTTGAACAGCGCTGTGGGAGGAAATCTGAGAAATAAATAAAGGAACACTGCCATGAAGTGGTGTTCCTTTATTTGTTTCCCTCAGTATATCATTTTCTGGTTACTTGGTGGGTGCACTGAACACGAGCATGACCCACAGCTTGGATAACTCTGGGTGATTTTAACAGTGGCTAATGCAGTGGTTATACTACATAATTACATATATAATATATTTAAGTAGGAGGAGTAGTATGTCATATGTTCATGGTTCTCTATATTTTAATATGATGCTGATACATCCACAATTATCTGGTTCAGTGGTTTACAAGTGGAGAGGTTCGGATTTAGGGGAGGCAGCTCTGATTGACGGATACTCTTTGAAATCAATACTCAGGTTTATTACCCATATGGTGAAACATAACCAGGGTCATATATATCACATGTGCACTTTTGGCTAGCAGCCATTGTTTCTGTATTTCATCTGTGACGTCATTAAACAATTGATCCTGATGTCAATGAAGAGAGCCGTCACACTTGCTTACCATGTTTTAGTGCACAAATGTACATGAATAATAAAGAAGTTATTACTCTTAAGCAAGTGTGCCATATGACTTGTACGAAACTCATGCACATATATGTATTACCCTCGCTCTCTCTCTCTCGAGTACTAATGCCCCGTTATTATGAACACTGTACCAGGTAAAACCTGTGTCCAATACAAAGGCTTCGTTATTATCAACTCTGTGTCATGTGTAAACCTGTAGTTACAGCTTGAGCAGCAATCCACGCATTTAAAACAATGACGCACAATCAACCAGGTAACTCATTGCAATCACTCGATCTTCATTACTCGATCCTCATTACTCACGCCGGCCGGGTTCGACTTAATAGCCCTGCTCAAAAACCAAACTCAGTCAGTCAGCCAGTCATTACTCGGCTGTTCGACTTAATACTGCTCAAAATACTTCATGTCCAACTGTTTCTGCTTGTGCTCTGCTTCAGCTTCAGCTCATTTTCTGTGCAGTGTGCGTTATTTTCCTGGCTGAATCTTGATCTACAGACAATCTGTACTAACATTCCGAAACTGGATATTTCATTTACTGAGACCGATCAGCAATATAAAACACACTTCATTATCGATATGAAACTTGTTGACATTATGATAAATGTTGCTCATTTAGATTTTATCAAGGTATCTATTTTGTCATAGTGTTGCGTTATGCATCAGTCAACGCTTTTCAAAAAGTATCATTACGACCAGTCGTTAAATAACTAAATATGGACTTTGCAAATCAGTGAATGTGTGTACGTTGCTACCAATCGATCCTCATTTGGGTTGCGTTTCCGACAAGCACGAGCAGCAACAGCCTGTTCCGTTAGAGGATCCAAAAACTTTATAATGGAGAGTTGGAAATCTTCGGCACTTTTTGGCAAGACGAATCCACCTTTTTATCGCATGCAATTAATGCCTTCGTTCTTTTTTTTTTTCTCCAGCTGACCGAAACAGAGGGGATGGTGATTGTCAGTGAGAGGAAGATCAAACAACTTGAGACAAAACTGGCCTTCTCTGTGACGGAGGGTCGTATTCTTGAGGAACAGTTACATGGTGTAAATCGTAAAAACTCTATAAACATATCCCCGGATGATCTCGCAAGGAGAGGGTCTTTCTTTCACAGACAGACAAGTTCGGAACAGTCAGGATCCAAGTCAGCACCCAAATCACCACTGCTGAGACAGCGCGTTAATGATCTCCACGGCGATGACAGACATTCTAATGGTGGCTTGCCATCTCGACCCAGTTCGTTATCTTCACCTCAAGGATCATCCGTGATCCGACGCCGGTCCATGAGGTCCAACAGCGTTGCTGGTGACACTCTGTCCAAGTATGATTCTCGAGCGTCAGAATCGGAAGGAAGGGGGAGCGGAGCTTGTGCTGTGATGTGATACTAGAAGCAGATGCAAGGAGATTCTTGAGAGGCGTTTAGAAGTTGGTGAATATATAAGACGAGCATATGGATGGGAACTTCTTTTCTATTGTATACTACCCATCAAAAGTTTAGACTCACCAGGGAGAGTGTTGTAGATTATCCCTGGACTCAACTAAAGCATTCACTATATGTTATGTATATATACGTGGTTACATCGAAGATGAATTTTTCCCTAACTTGGGGGAACCAACTGCAAACCTTATGTAGATGAATTGCAGGAGGATCATGCATCAAATTGCTGAAAAGCATGTGCAAATATCGTGCATATGAACGCTGCGTTTTGGTGTAAAGTTTGTCAAGAATTCGTCAATTTTCACTGAGTTTCATCATTTATTGAACTCATGACAATAATCTTTTCAACGTTACGAATTTGTTTTACAATACATCAGTTCATGTGTAAACAGTATCTTTAAACAATATGGAATATTTTGCAAAATCTAGTTTAGAAAAGTTGACTGAAGTAAGTGGCTACATTTACACTAGTGAGTCTAAACTTTTGATGGGTAGTGTATAACACGTTTCTGTGCTACTTCTTGCCCATTCTTCGGGTGATTGAAGAAGGGGCAAGAAGTAGCCCAGAAACGTTGTGTTATACAATAAAGAAGAAGCTGTCATCCATATACTCGTCTTAAAGATGCAAGGAGGCCTATTATGTACATAGATTTACGTGCATACCACCCACCTATAAATACATATACAACTGCTGAAGTCATCCTCATGATATTGGGTCAACTTGGTGGGTAGCAATAAATATCCAAAGCCTGATTTTCACACAATGTCAATCAGTGCAACATGATTAACCTAGAGTTTGTGAGAATCCGTGTGGTGCCTATGTGGAAACTTCTCAGATGGTTCTGGTGGTGATGAAATTAGAAAGAAATCACATCGGTTTAAATCGATTTGAGCAATTTTATGTCACAGTCCTGAAAATACTGGTCCTGCTTTGTTCTTGTTTAATCAGTGTCTCATATCACAGCAAATGTCTACATTAGAAGGTATACATAACCCTGATTATAGTGATAATGGCTTCACAGCCGTAGACACCAGATATGGGCTTCACAGTGTTCCCAGGTGGAATCGAACCCACAGTCCATCAGCACAAGGCCTGCATGGCTATATAAAAACAAGGGAAGACAAACATGTTTTTTATTGCAGATAGGGATCGTTTATGCACTGATGATATGCTTCGTTCAGATTTGTTTTATGGCTGGGCAACAACATTTGCATTGATTTTTGAAGGTTTATAAAAGGGGGGTCGCCTTAAACGTGGGATCACTTATCGATGGTGATTGACAGATGAATTACTAACTGGAACGGAAAAACATTCCCATTGGAGGTTGACCAATACTCCAGTCCACTTCCCCTAGCTGACCAAATTGAGAGACATTTCTGTGTATTTGGGGTAAAAAAAAAAGAAGGTCCACATAAAATTGCTTTTTCATTTCCAACTACTGTAAACCTCTACCCATGATGTAAAAAAACACATATCAAACAAGTTTATATCAAGAAGCAAAAACTGCTCATAAGAGTTTGAAACAAGGAATTCGGTGACAATGTATATTTGAAAAATAGTTGAATCATTAGTACATATTTAAATATGCAAAGAGAGGGGTTTTATGAGAAAAAGAAACTGTGATAATGGTTTTATAAAATGGTATCATGATTCCCGATCATTTACTTTCGGGTATTCATCACCTCAAGTCTGGAATCTTTTCAGACAAGTTTTCAAAGTTCGGACAATGCCTGTTGGTATATGTGTACATACACTTTAGGCCTGTTGTGTGGATGATAGACCAGTTTTGTTCTTATCAGATATGTCAAGAGCAAAGGCTTAAATATGTCTCAAAACAAAAGACCAAACCAAATCATGAACCTATAGGTCTTGACATAAACAAATTTTCAATCAAAAATGCTGAATTAGAATTAGGTTAGAATATTATATTCATGACCAATTTAAATAGGTTTTCCTGTTCATCAATACGATGCAATATGATACAATACATTCACATTTGAAAATGGCCACACAATAACTGGATCCATGATTCTTGAAATGTATATTCTTGCCATAAAGTTTTCTGTTGTCATGGAAATAAGGAAGAAATCACATTTAATCAGGGATTCAGTGAAATGTCAGTTTGTCAGGCTTATTATTGATGATTCATGATGAACACTTGTCTATACAACATGGACTGCTTTGAGAGACTTGTGATCATGATGAACACTTGTCTATGTACAACAGTGAGTGGGAGTCGGGTTTTAAGCCGCTTTTAGCAATATTCCAGCAATATCACAGGGGGGGGGGAGAAAAAGAAAAACACCAGAAATGGCTTTCACATATTGTATCCATGTAGGGAATCACACCTGGGCCTTCGCCATGACGAGTGAACGCTTTACTACCAGGCTACCCCACCAGCCCCTGTACAACAGCGACTGCTGACTGCTTGGGGCGGCTTGTAATCATGAAGAACACTTGTCTACATCATAGTGCTCACAAGGTCAAGTCCACAGAGATGCCATTTAACACAACATATTTTAGTGTTATTGTCATCTAAATGCATGCGGAAGTAGATTAAAAAACAAATCAAACTGTTGCCAACATGGATAGAATAGTTCAATTCTGAACAATGTACCCAGCCCACTACTTGAATGGTTCTCCGAGGTTGATTCATTTGCTGAAGTGACACAGATTGTCTTGTAAAAACAGAAATGTGACAATGATTATGGAACATCAACAGCAGGGAGTTATGTATAATGAGATTACAGTAAATCCATGAAAATAAACAGTGTTGTTTCTTATCAAGAACAGAACCTTGCCACTTGGAGTTCATTTCTGATTTCTTGCTGCTGTAGCTAGGAGTCATCCTACACATGGATTCCCACCTTGTCAGTCTGCTCACAGAGTTTAATCTCTTTGGTCATCTGGATGAGGCTCCCAACCTTTGAAAAGTTTGTGGTTTGAATACAATGTGAACACAATAAGTCTCTTCTCAACTATGTGGCTGGGAATGGGTCTTCTGTTGATGGGGTGGTGAGGTAGCGTAATGGTTTAAGCGTTTGCCCATCACACTGAAGACCCGGGTTCGATTCCCCACATGGGTGTGAAGCCCATTTCTGGTGTCTCCCAACGTGATATTGCTGGAATATTGCTAAAAGCGATGTAAACCTAAACTCACTCACTCTTCTGTTGATAGTGGATAAAGCATTGTCATGGTAGCTACACTATCCAAACATACTAGTATGATCTCACATCACATGGTGACAGACAGATATTCGTAAGAAAATCAAGAGTAGGTCCAGTCAGTTGATACTGTGATACAGAAAACAAGGTTAACAATGTCAAGTGTTTGTACATTTTTATTCACATATATAGCACTGACTCATTACAAAATATACACTAGGGCCAGTATTAACTGTTATCATACTGTGATACAACAAACAAAGGTTAACAATGTTAAGTTTTTGTACATTTTTATTCACATATATAGCACTGACTCAACAAAATATACACTAGGGCCAGTATTAACTGTTATCATACTGTGATACAACAAACAAGGTTCAAGTCATATGCATGTACTGCTATATTATTTACATGTGTAGTTGTATATGAAATTTATACTGCATGATTTATGAGTTTATTTACATGCATGTCTTTCTATGTTACACAATATTAACGGATCATCCAATGTTGAAAGCAGCAGAGTCCCTCAGCCTGTCTCTATGTTCATCACTTTCAAGTAAGCCTGGAAAGCAGATATGAAATAAATATATTGAAGGCCGTTTTAATATTTGTCAAAGCTTTCAACTGTCATTTTCAACTCTTTTTCAGTTGCCTTATTAATCTTTATCTGTATTAGTAAATAAGGCTTTAAATATAGCATACATGATTGTATCAAAATGCAGTTTAAATGTCACAAATGTTTGAAGATATATTTTTGCAAACAACTAAAATAGATGAAGTCTGTTATAAACTTTAACAGGTAAATTAAAATGCATATGTCATTTTGAACAATGTCAAGACTTTTCAAGCTTTTAGTCATTTTCAAGCTTTCCAAAGTTGACATTAAAATTCAAGGCTTTCCAAAGTTGACACTAAAATGCAAGGCTTTTCAAAGGGGACCTTAAAATTCAAGGCCTTTTCTTGCCTGTATGTAATGAGGTATTCCAACATGGATCAACTGCTGATGTTTATTTCTAACCATTCACCATGTTAAACTGACATGTAACTACCTGCAGAAGGTTGTCCTCTTTGTGTGACCTCATGTAGTCCTCAACCCTGTCCTCCACCTCACTGTCCTCTGCTAGGTACATCTGCACCAACTGACCTGCCTCTTTCAGCCTGTATCGAACATGGAGATTATGAGCACTGTTGTAAAACGATATTCAAAGCCAGGAGCTTGTTTGGATTTTCACCACACACTAATACTTAGCTTGAAGGAGGACGATTCATTTACTGATGGGGGTGGGTAGCCAGTGAGATGAGTCTTGGGACTATATCACCCACAGCAACCAACCCTTCCCTTCCCAATATATTTTCATGATAACCCACCTGCTCATAAAAAGAAACTACACCAAACTGGGGAAACATTACAGACCAATCATGACTGGAAACAAAGAATTATTTGAAACAACAAAATACAAAAATGTTTTTCATGTCCACCTCCCTCTTGTGATAAATTCTGGCAGCCCCTCCCTTATGTGGCCAGTTGCTGATTATGGTTGTGTGGAACTATATGTGAAAAAATTGTCATTTGTTTATCAACATGAATATCGTATTTTTTGTCATATATTGTTTGAATAACGTTATAGGACTGATATTAGTGGAGTAACCTTTTTTCACCTGATCCTGCTGATATTCAGTTGTCATAGAGGTATACGACTTCAACTATTGTATCATTCCAGAGTGACATCTGTCTCAAACCTGTTTGAATCCACACAGAAAGAGAGTGCTATGGACATTACAGATATTGGTTTTGTATATAAAAAGTTGATAAAACATTATTTTTTCCTGATTTCCTGTTGTTCTTGAATTTGTGATTTACAGATACTTAATATTGCTATATGTTTGTGAGAATCGAAATTCAATGGAAAATGTGTACAGTAACCTCTACATAGCATAAGTGACAAAATGTAGTCATAACTTACAAATATGGAATTGATGATAAGAACTTTTCAGCCACCCCTAGGAAGTGAGGTGAAATTGGGTTTTACGTCATGCTTGAGATTATTTCGCTCATATGACGACCTGCATGCGTGTGTATGTGTATGTGCGGCTGCTTGTACTAGCCCAGACTTAAGCTGGCTTTATAGTGCTAGCTCACTGAGATACCATGCCGCAGTGAAGCATGAATACCCCACTCAGACACATTATACTGACTCCGAGACGACCAGTCCTTGTTGTACCCATTAATGCCGAGCGCCAGGCAGGGACCAACAAGTACCATATTTTAACGTCTTTTGGTATGACGCGGTTGCCACCTCTAGGAAGAAAGTTAGATGTTTTGAGTGACTCCCGTGCTTCAACACAGTGTTGTGATCATCACAGTGAGCTGATCAAATTGTTTCATCAAGACCTACACTGTCACTTCACTTACATAGGATTGGGTTGGGTTTTTTTCATTCCCAGTGAATAAGATATTACTGACATGTATATTTTCAATATCTAATAAACCTATCCACACCTTCAGTGTCTCACACTATTAGAAACTGCACTACATCTAAGACTAATTTAACAATATTATTAAAACCTGTAAATCAAAATTCCACATGAAACAAAGGACCAAGAGAAAAAATATATCTCTGAAAATATATCTCCATCTAAATCACAGAGTTGCCCAATTTGCAAACTGCTCAGTGTTAAGAAGCTAAAGCATGACACAGAAATATTAAAGACATCATCATTCTATAATAAATGTCCTACACTGAACACTTTCCACAGAGAATATTTATTTGACAAGCTGCTAACTATTGAGAAGGTCTACACCCATTTGTGAGAACTCCCAGTTGTGAGACTCCCAGTTGTGAGACAGTGGAGTAGGTAATTAGCAATGAAAACACACCTTACTCCCCTATCTGATAGAATGGATTAACCCCAGCTAATTATGGATTAGCTATTTAACTGAATCTTGTGGAGGTAACTTAATGAAACTCTAAAAGATAAAGTAATTAACCTACTCAGATAAATGTCTTTAAAAACTAAACACTTTGTGTAGGTAACTTCGTGATCATTTGAAAGAGAAATTAATCTACCTACTCAGATTTACGTGTTTGAAAAATCCAGCAATAACTGTTGTAACTATAATTAATCCAAATGTATTTATTAACCTGTGACTGCTCTTTCCGATCACCATTATGGCAGGCCTTTAACAAGTAGAATATATCACCAGTTCACGATAATCTTTTTCAGTATTTCAGTATCTATTGAAAACAATAAATGCTCTTCAACGAACAATGTCTTCTGTGTTAATTAACTCATTAATGAACTATGCCTCCTGCGGGTACTCTTCAGCAACAGGGCTGTTCCCACTTTCATCGTAGGGATAGGGAAGCACCACCTGTGTGCACTGAACCATTAATTAATGTGTCTCACAAATGGGAGTTCTCACAAATGGGAGGACACCATTGAGAAATCAATAACCTTTCCATCAATCAGTGATTGATTAGCAGAATAAAGCTGACAGTGACTGGTGAAATAAACAAGTCTACAAGACCTGGGAACTTCAAGGTCCCTAACCAAAATCAATAACTCTTTCATACGGAACTGGCATGTTGTGACCAGTATTCACTCGAGACTGACACCCCACAATACTTTAAACTGAGTGTATTTTCATGTTGAGTTGTCACGCAATGTTCAGCAGTTGGAAATAATTTCCCTCTATCCCAGGCTGTGAGATAGATGCCAGGGTATTGCTGCAGTAAACATGGTATCAGACCTGCTGAGTCACCATTAGAATTTAATTTCAGTTGACAGGATGATGAATGTGTTCGGTAGTATTTATATAGTTCCCTAGATTCCAAAAGCCATAATACATGTTCAAGGTTTTACACGACACACAAATGTAGAGAAAGGACACAGAAAACACAAAATACCCCATCTGCAGAAACGCACAAAAATACCAAGAGCGTACCTACAGCATATGAAGAGTACCAGTAGTTCACCCATCAGTCATGACCACTGTCTACATGACCACTGATTCATTCCAGGATCTGAAGTAATTATCTGAACGTACACTTCAAATACCATTTCAATACTTTACAAGACCCTCATTTTACCTACAAGGACCTGTAACATGTATTGATGGGGTCCCCTGGATCCCCACTTTTGTTAGTGAAGGTAAAACCCTGCATGTTATATGTTTGCCGGTGCAGACTACAGAGCAGCATCTTGTAGTCCTTCATTGTGTATTGTACACTGATGCTGGAAACAGTGTTTGGGCTTGAGGGTATTTATGTAGGGAGCAATATTCTTAATGCATGACAGCAGATGTAAGTAATAAGTCTGGACATGCTGACTTGTGGTTGTATCTATAGAGCCAGACCTACCTGTTGTTGTCCAGAGCAAAGACCAGCATGCCGTCTATGTTCCTCTGTGTGATGATGTAGTGTATGAAGTCAGACCTACCTGTTGTTGTCCAGAGCAAAGACCAGCATGCCGTCTATGTTCCTCTATGTGATGATGTAGTGTATGAAGTCAGACCTACCTGTTGTTGTCCAGAGCAAAGACCAGCATGCCGTCTATGTTCCTCTGTGTGATGATGTAGTGTATGAAGTCAGACCTACCTGTTGTTCTCCACAGCAAAGACCAGCATGCCGCCTATGTTCCTCTATGTGATGATGTAGTGTATGAAGTCAGACCTACCTGTTGTTGTCCAGAGCAAAGACCAGCATGCCGTCTATGTTCCTCTGTTTGATGATGTAGTGTATGAAGTCAGACCTACCTGTTGTTGTCCAGAGCAAAGACCAGCATGCCGTCTATGTTCCTCTGTGTGATGATGTAGTGTATGATGTCAGACCTACCTGTTGTTCTCCACAGCAAAGACCAGCATGCCGCCTATGTTCCTCTATGTGATGATGATGTAGTGTATGAAGTCAGACCTACCTGTTGTTGTCCAGAGCAAAGACCAGCATGCCGTCTATGTTCCTCTGTGTGATGATGTAGTGTATGAAGTAAGACCTACCTGTTGTTCTCCACAGCAAAGACCAGCATGCCGTCTATGTTCCTCTATGTGATGATGTAGTGTATGAAGTCAGACCTACCTGTTGTTGTCCAGAGCAAAGACCAGCATGCCGTCTATGTTCCTCTATGTGATGATGTAGTGTATGAAGTAAGACCTACCTGTTGTTGTCCAGAGCAAAGACCAGCATGCCGTCTATGTTCCTCTGTGTGATGATGTAGTGTATGAAGTCAGACCTACCTGTTGTTCTCCACAGAAAAGACCAGCATGCCGTCTATGTTCCTCTGTGTGATGATGTAGTGTATGAAGTCAGACCTACCTGTTGTTGTCCAGAGCAAAGACCAGCATGCCGTCTATGTTCCTCTGTTTGATGATGTAGTGTATGAAGTCAGACCTACCTGTTGTTGTCCAGAGCAAAGACCAGCATGCCGTCTATGTTCCTCTGTGTGATGATGTAGTGTATGAAGTCAGACCTACCTGTTGTTCTCCACAGCAAAGACCAGCATGCCGTCTATGTTCCTCTATGTGATGATGTAGTGTATGAAGTCAGACCTACCTGTTGTTGTCCAGAGCAAAGACCAGCATGCCGTCTATGTTCCTCTGTGTGATGATGTAGTGTATGAAGTCAGACCTACCTGTTGTTCTCCACAGCAAAGACCAGCATGCCGTCTATGTTCCTCTGTGTGATGATGTAGTGTATGATGTCAGACCTACCTGTTGTTCTCCACAGCAAAGACCAGCATGCCGTCTATGTTCCTCTGTTTGATGATGTAGTGTATGAAGTCAGACCTACCTGTTGTTGTCCAGAGCAAAGACCAGCATGCCGTCTATGTTCCTCTGTTTGATGATGTAGTGTATGAAGTCAGACCTACCTGTTGTTCTCCACAGCAAAGACCAGCATGCCGTCTATGTTCCTCTGTGTGATGATGTAGTGTATGATGTCAGACCTATCTGTTGTTCTCCAGAGCAAAGACCAGCATGCCGTCTATGTTCCTCTGTGTGATGATGTAGTGTATGAAGTAAGACCTACCTGTTGTTGTCCAGAGCAAAGACCAGCATGCCGTCTATGTTCCTCTGTGTGATGATGTAGTGTATGATGTCAGACCTATCTGTTGTTCTCCAGAGCAAAGACCAGCATGCCGTCTATGTTCCTCTGTGTGATGATGTAGTGTATGATGTCAGACCTATCTGTTGTTCTCCAGAGCAAAGACCAGCATGCCGTCTATGTTCCTCTGTGTGATGATGTAGTGTATGAAGTCAGACCTATCTGTTGTTGTCCAGAGCAAAGACCAGCATGCCGTCTATGTTCCTCTGTGTGATGATGTAGTGTATGAAGTCAGACCTACCTGTTGTTCTCCACAGCAAAGACCAGCATGCCGTCTATGTTCCTCTATGTGATGATGTAGTGTATGAAGTCAGACCTACCTGTTGTTCTCCACAGCAAAGACCAGCATGCCATCTATGTTCCTCTGTGTGATGATGTAGTCTATGAAACCGGACAGCTGGTGCTTACTGATACTGGCATACTCATTCTCTAGCTCAATCTCCTCATACACAAACTCCTTTATCTGGAAAAAGAACACATAAACATAGATTATTCAGTTATTGGTAGAACACATCTGATGTGGATTTTATCCTGAGTTCAAGAGTTGTAATTTGTGATAATTCATGATAAATCAAAAATATTAAAATGAAGTATTTCAGTGCAAAGTTTCTCCTGAAAACCTACCTGTTTTACTGAGTAGCCATTGAGCCCAAGTTGTCCCAGATGTACAATGTCCTCCAGATGGTGAGGTCCATCTAGGATGTCCTTGACCTTCTGTCGGGGTGACGTAGGTGACATCAGCAGACAGCCAGCTGCACACACTGGAAGGTCAAGGTTCTGGAACTGGCTACTCAACGACACAAGGTCAAGGCTGGTCACAACTGGACATCTGGATTTTTGAAAACAAACAAAACCAAAACCATCAATTATTTCTTGTGAGGTTTCAGACAATTTTTCGCAATATTCCGGCAGTACCATGACAGGAAACTCAACCGATGTTAGGAACTGAGTCCAAGTCTTGCCCATGACAAGCCAATGTTACCCCTGAAATACTCTACCAATCTGGGGTTACTCGTTACTCATTTATTGATGGTAGAATATTTTTTTAGACCAACCTGACACCTCAATACCTGTTCAACTTAACTCAGTTAACCCTTAAGGGCGTAGGGTAGCCTAGTGGTAAAAGCGTATGCTCGTCATGCTGAACACCCGGGTTTGATTCCCCACATGGGTACAATGTGTGAAGCCAATTTCTGGTGTCCCCCGCCGTGATATTGCTAAAAGTGGAGTAAAACCATACTCACTCACTCACTCAGTTAATATATGGCAATGCATAGTAATGTGCTACAGTTGAAGATGAGCAGTGAGCAGTCTTGTACACCTTGACAGGTGTATATTTGTACCAATATATCATACAATCCAGTCTCTGTTCACTAAGAAAGGTAAAAAAAGTCTGTGCAGAGTTTAAATACTGTCTTCACGACAAGAGAAAGAGAGCAAATATTGTTCTTATGCTTCAGTGGATAATCAAGGATGAGGTTACTTAACCGCTGTGGGAAGACCGGGATTAATAATGCAAATTTAACCTGCATTAGCCACATTGGGTAGTCATGCTTAAACGCCCTGATGAGTCCGAACAAGCCATCATGTATTTTGTAAAAGTTTGTGGAAAGTGGGAGATCCCTTGCATAGTAAGGTGAGGTGAAATTGGGTTTTACGTCGTGCTTGAGAATATTTCGCTCATATGACAATGTGCATGCATGTGTATGTGCGGCTGCTTGTACTAGCCCAGACTTAAGCTGGTTTTATAGTGCTAGCCCACTGAGATACCATGCCACAGTGAAGCATGAATACCCCACTCAGCCACATTATACTGACTCCGAGCTGACCAGTCCTTGTTGTACCCATTAATGCCAAGCGCCAGGCAGGGACCAACAAGTACCATATTTTAACGTCTTTTTGGTATGACGCGGTCAGGGATCGAACCCACGACCTTCCGCTCTCCGGGCGGACGCTGTAACCACTACACCACGGAGGCGGTCCCCTTGCATAGTATGACAACATGAATGCAAGACATGTTTTATGGATAACAACTTCTTTTTTATTCTTTATCATGATGTTTCAGAGTTAATTGTTGCCCCTTCATCAGCACAGAGTTAACATGTTTAGGTAGAACGTTCAACGACGCAAGATGGGGGAATGTACAATGATAACAGGTTATAACAAAGACAAGAAGGGGTGGGGTTAATGCACAAAGATAACAAGATAAAGATGAAACCAATGAGATAAATGGTTTAGAACATCAGAACTTCATATGACTACATGATAGCACACCTTGACAGAAGGTTGAAGTAGTATAGGGCGTCCTTCGTCTGGCCGTCACTGAGGGGGGAACACACTGGAACATCAAACAAGATCATTATCTGAGAGTGTAATCCTCCCTTTGTGGTAAACAATTGCGACTGTACAATAAAACAGACTGTATGTATGTCTTTGTTTGATGCCAAATGTTGAAAATAGGACGAGTCTTATACAGGCTTACATTATGCAAAGTTTAAGCTTTATGAGGCTATATTGCACACACGCAAACAATGCATTTACTGCAGATGAAAACATTTTCAGTCAACCGACAAAACCCTATAAAACATGAAGTTTGTTCATTGGTTTAACCCATATGGGTGATTGAGATGTGTGAGGCAGTGGGTGGTTTTATGAAATCTTAGTGTTCAGACATCATGGTTGTAATACTTACTGTTAGTGAGTGGTGTGGAGAGCACAGATTGCCACACTTTGACAAAGATTGGCACAGACCAGACCTCTGCTACACCACACAAGTGAAGAAGCACCTGCTCTAGCTCACATCTCTACAACATACAGACACATATCAGTCATTGTTACACACAGGTGAAGAAGCACCTGCTCCAGCTCACATCTCTACAACATACAGACACATATCAGTCACTGTTACACACAGGTGAAGAAGCACCTGCTCCAGCTCACATCTCTACAACATACAGACACATATCAGTCACTGTTACACACAGGTGAAGAAGCACCTGCTCCAGCTCACATCTCTACAACATACAGACACATATCAGTCATTGTTACACACAGGTGAAGAAGCACCTGCTCCAGCTCACATCTCTACAACATACAGACACATATCAGTCACTGTTACACACAGGTGAAGAAGCACCTGCTCCAGCTCACATCTCTACAACATACAGACACATATCAGTCACTGTTACACACAGGTGAAGAAGCACCTGCTCCAGCTCACATCTCTACAACATACAGACACAGCATCAGTCATCTCTACAACATGTTACACACAGGTGAAGAAGCACCTGCTCCAGCTCACATCTCTACAACATACAGACACATATCAGTCATTGTTACACACAGGTGAAGAAGCACCTGCTCCAGCTCACATCTCTACAACATACAGACACATATCAGTCATTGTTACACACAGGTGAAGAAGCACCTGCTCCAGCTCACATCTCTACAACATACAGACACATATCAGTCACTGTTACACACAGGTGAAGAAGCACCTGCTCCAGCTCACATCTCTACAACATACAGACACATATCAGTCATTGTTACACACAGGTGAAGAAGCACCTGCTCCAGCTCACATCTCTACAACATACAGACACATATCAGTCATTGTTACACACAGGTGAAGAAGCACCTGCTCCAGCTCACATCTCTACAACATACAGACACATATCAGTCATTGTTACACACAGGTGAAGAAGCACCTGCTCCAGCTCACATCTCTACAACATACAGACACATATCAGTCACTGTTACACACAGGTGAAGAAGCACCTGCTCCAGCTCACATCTCTACAACATACAGACACATATCAGTCATTGTTACACACAGGTGAAGAAGCACCTGCTCCAGCTCACATCTCTACAACATACAGACACATATCAGTCATTGTTACACACAGGTGAAGAAGCACCTGCTCCAGCTCACATCTCTACAACATACAGACACATATCAGTCATTGTTACACACAGGTGAAGAAGCACCTGCTCCAGCTCACATCTCTACAACATACAGACACACATATCAGTCATTGTTACACACAGGTGAAGAAGCACCTGCTACACACAGGTGAGCTCACATCTCTCACAACATACAGACACATATCAGTCATTGTTACACACAGGTGAAGAAGCACCTGCTCCAGCTCACATCTCTACAACATACAGACACATATCAGTCATTGTTACACACAGGTGAAGAAGCACCTGCTCCAGCTCACATCTCTACAACATACAGACACATATCAGTCATTGTTACACACAGGTGAAGAAGCACCTGCTCCAGCTCTCACATCTCTACAACATACAGACACATATCAGTCATTGTTACACACAGGTGAAGAAGCACCTGCTCCAGCTCACATCTCTACAACATACAGACACATATCAGTCATTGTTACACACAGGTGAAGAAGCACCTGCTCCAGCTCACATCTCTACAACATACAGACACATATCAGTCATTGTTACACACAGGTGAAGAAGCACCTGCTCCAGCTCACATCTCTACAACATACAGACACATATCAGTCATTGTTACACACAGGTGAAGAAGCACCTGCTCCAGCTCACATCTCTACAACATACAGACACATATCAGTCACTGTTACACACAGGTGAAGAAGCACCTGCTCCAGCTCACATCTCTACAACATACAGACACATATCAGTCATTGTTACACACAGGTGAAGAAGCACCTGCTCCAGCTCACATCTCTACAACATACAGACACATATCAGTCATTGTTACACACAGGTGAAGAAGCACCTGCTCCAGCTCACATCTCTACAACATACAGACACATATCAGTCATTGTTACACACAGGTGAAGAAGCACCTGCTCCAGCTCACATCTCTACAACATACAGACACATATCATCCAGCTCACATCTCTACAACATACAGACACATATCATACACACAGGTGAAGAAGCACCTGCTCCAGCTCACATCTCTACAACATACAGACACATATCAGTCACTGTTACACACAGGTGAAGAAGCACCTGCTCCAGCTCACATCTCTACAACATACAGACACATATCAGTCAAAGGAAGACACAGATAGAGCACATACAGCAACTCACATCTCCACAAAATGCAAATACACTGTCATATTAGATCCACCAACTGCAAATTTTTATGACTATTATTTCTTCTGAACCTGTTATTTTCATTTTTTTATCCCAGTGACAGAGCATTTCTTTCTAAACAACAGCCCCAATGTTGAATTTTTTTCATGCATGTTCATGAAACAAAAGGCACTTCGTGTTGAAATGGAAAGAAGCTCTAGTGTTTACAAAGATTATTGTAACAAGTAATCCAATATATTATTCTGTGCCCTGACATCTATCAGACAACTAGTGAGGTATCATTGGCATTACTGTATGAGGGAAGGGAGGTTACTCCAATTCCCTATGCCAATCCGCTCTTTTTTGACTCTTGTGAAAGACATGTATTTACAGATTAAGGTGACACATTTTTCAACAGAATCTAAATTTCAAAGAACTGGCACAGGCGGAGACACATGGTTGTTCACATTCTAATTTTATCAGAGCCCACTTCATTTCCTGAGATAAAAACCATGTTCAAAGTCAGGATGTTTAAGGCTGGGATAGATACAAGTTTTACACGGAACTCAGCTATATTCCAACTACATGTATATGGCGGCGGTCTGTAAATAATCGAGTCTGGACCAGACAATCCAGTGATCAAAAGCATGAGCATTGATCTGCGCAATTGGGAACCGATGACACATGTCAACCAATTCAGCAAGCCTGACCACCCAATCCCGTTAGTCGCCTCTTACGACAAGCATGGGTTACTGAAGATAAATATTCTAACCCGGACCTTCACAGGTCGTGTGTAACTGGACACGCCATGTTCAGGCTGTCATGAATTTGGACCAAATACATATCTGTGATGATATTCAAAGTCTGTTCCTTGATAATAAACTGATAGGAATCATAGATGCACAACAACATTCCTGTTTGATTTAGAAGGTTTCCAGCACTGAAAGCCCAGCACTGAGATCTCCCATCATCTCACCATGCCCTGCCCCAGCATCTGTGTGAGGATGTTGTTCCACAGCTGTGTGTCGTACACCTTGTAGTCCTGGCACAGCGCCGCCACCAGCAGCACACCCTGCAGGGAGACAGACAGGACATTCAGGGAAAATGTACACGCTAAGGCTAAAACTACTCCCAACATTTACATTATCTGTTCGATAGGCATTTTCGATTGATTGATTGATTGCTGTTTAATACTGCACTCGCAATATTCCAGCTATATGGTGGAGGTCTGTAAATAATCAAGTCTGGACCAGACAATCTAATGATCAACAGCATGAGCATTGATCTATGCAAGTGGGGTACAATGACGTGTGTCAACCAAGTCAGCGAGCCTGACCACCCGAGCATGAAGTAATTGTTGAAACACCTGCAACTGTCCATATTCCAGTTCATGAGATGTACCAAGATTCTACCTGTGGCTAGTCAGGTGACATAGAACACAGTATCCTTACAAAATGGCTTCCCTTCTGAAGCAGCCAAGGGAAGACCCTGCTAGAGAGAGTAAATCACTGGACTCCAATTTTCTGTCCAGCTGGTTATCGGGGATTGTGGACTTGGTACATAAAATGAGTGAATGAAAGAGGTTTTATGTCACTTTTAGCAATATTCCAGATTTATTATTGCTGGTGACAACAGAAATGGCCTTCACATTGTCAAATCAAAATGTCCTAATGATATACTCTGGTGAATTTTACAGTAGCCATTTGTGCTTCAGTGTGTCCTGTGTCACATGATCCCTGAGTGTTAGTGTTGGTCACTGTGTGTACCGCAGTGTTGGGAATTGGTTGAAATCTCACAATTGATGATTGGTTCAATACCAACAACCAATCATCGAAAAAAATTGGTTCCCATCATTTTTTAGATTTTCCTATTCAGGTTGTAGTTGCAGATAAGTATAAAGAAAAAACATTTGGTTCTCTGTTGTTGTGTTTTGAAACTGCACAAATTACATTTGCAAATTTCACATCCAGTGTAAAATGATTCAGTTCCAGTGTAACATAAACTTCCCAGATTCTTCATGAAATATTCAGTCATGACTTTTCAGAAAGTGAAGTGAGTTTTCTTAGAAATAAACACGTTTTCAGGCCCTGACAACGTCCTAGATATGTTCTATCATCAAGTATTTCAAACTCTATTACAGCGGTTCCAAAATCGTTAGTGTTCGATTATGAGGAAATGTGATTGATTGCTTGGTCGTTTGGCCACTGCGACCAATCTTTCGATTATTTCAATTAATCGGACCACCACTACTGTACCGTCTTCTGATGGTTATGGTTCCTCCACACCCCCATGATCAGACCCTCCTTGTTGCATTCCTCGAACGTTTCCACCGAGTGCTGGATGTGCAGCTTTTCAAGCTCAACCAGGTACAGCAGCACATGCATCATCTCACTGAAGCAACCAATCACAGCTCACGATCACAGTCATGTGATGTAGATCCACCAATCATGAACGAGACAATAGACTTTCTATACATCCAAAATAATTTGCATCGCCAATGAGAAATATGCAAGCTGAATTAATGAAATAATTATTCAATGTTGAAACACAATCCACCTCAAGTTCTTAGTAATTGCTTTAAAGATCCCAGATAAAGAATAAACCTAAACATTTAAGGGCATTTTCTCTCTATCTGTAACTCATAAAAGAAAACAATAAAATAAAGGAAAACTGATTTGTATGGATAGTCAACGTCTTTATTGCAATGAGTGCGACGTTTCGGTGTAGGTACTATCACTTGCTTGATAACGGTGTTAGTACCTACACCGAAACGTCGCACTCATTGCAATAAAGAAGTTGACTATCCATACAAATCAGTTTTCCTTCATCTTCACAACTTTTAAAATGCCTCTCAAAGAAAATAAAATAAAGGGAAGAAGACTCATGCTTTGAATGTTGTAAGGATCGACAAGTCAATTTTCTTTCAAGCAGGTGATAATAACCAGTTGTATACAATTATTTGTGAATTATTTTGATCATATTTTGACCAGTTGCCCCTCACAAAACCCCAAAGCCAAACGGAATGATAGAATCTGCATAAACAGGCTAAAGTACTAAAACTAAACTGAACGGAATACTTATAACAGAATGGACAGACTCTGACCTGAGTTCCTCAGCTGATTTGTCACATATCTGATTTAAGTCCTCGCTGTTGAACACCTGTAGAAGACACTGGAGCCCTCGGACTTGACACTGGTTGGTGGTCTCGCTGTCCTGCAAGATCAATTCAAAATTTTGTAAAATCAGTTCTTTGACGGTAAAGATTTAAACAGTTAACTGTCCATACGTTGTAACCATGCAAAATAGTCTGTATTCACTCATCATTTGGTGCCTTGATAAATTGTGTGGAGTGGTTGTAGTCAGCATCTCACCTTGTTGATGAAGTTGAATATTGCGACGCCACAGTCCTCTTTGTTGATGCCTTTCATGATGTACATCACTCTGAGAACACATCATAGACATGTCACACATCACACAGTCACATATTACATATGCACATCTCCCATTACAGTGAATCCTTCATGCATAAGATACTGGGATCGGGTGGTCAGGCACATGTCCTCGGTTCCCAATTGTGTAGATCGATGCTCATGCTGTTGACCACTGGATTGTCTGGTCCAGACTCGATTATTTACAAACTGCCGCCATATAACTGGAATATTGCTGAGTGCGGTGTAAAACTAAACTCACTCATAAGATACATGTTACATCACCTTTACAGGGTCAGACCACACATACAGTCACATATCACATCTCACATCACAGTGAATCCTTCATGCATAACATACATGTTACATCACCTTTATATGGTCATACTTTACACATGATGCATCACTATGAGAATGCATCATATAGATAATACACACATCACATGCATAGGGTCACATTACAGATTCATTTCACACATTACATACACCATGAAACATCACACACACGGTCAAACATCACATTGTTTATTCTCACAAACCACATCACCATAGATAGCCTATGACACATCACAGATACTTCATCATATACAGGGGCGGTGGGGTAGCCTAGTGGTTAAAGCCCTGACTCGTCACGCCGAAGACCCTGGTTTGATTCCCCACATCACAGATACTTCATCATATACAGGGGCGGTGGGGTAGCCTAGTGGTTAAAGCCCTGACTCTGTCACGCCGAAGACCCTGGTTTGATTCCCCACATCACAGATACTTCATCATATACAGGGGCGGTGGGGTAGCCTAGTGGTTAAAGCCCTGACTCGTCACGCCGAAGACCCTGGTTTGATTCCCCACATCACAGATACTTCATCATATACAGGGGCGGTGGGGTAGCCTAGTGGTTAAAGCCCTGACTCGTCATGCCGAAGACCCTGGTTTGATTCCCCACATCACAGATACTTCATCATATACAGGGGCGGTGGGGTAGCCTAGTGGTTAAAGCCCTGACCCCAAGACCCTGGTTTGATTCCCCACATCACAGATACTTCATCATATACAGGGCGGTGGGGGTGGGTAGCCTAGTGGTTAAAGCCACTGACTCGTTAAACCCTGGCACACCGAAGACCCTGGTTCGATTCATCTGATACTTCATCATATACAGGGGATTGGGGTAGCCTAGTGGTTAAGACCCGGTTCTGGATTCCCCACATCACAGATACTTCATCACATACAGGGGCGGTTGGGTAGCCTAGTGGTTAAAGCCCTGACTCGTCACGCCGAAGACCCGGGTTCAATTCCCCACATGGGTACAATTTGTGAAGCCCATTTCTGGTGTCCCTGGTATTGCTGGAATATTGCTAAAAGCGGTGTAAAACTAAACTCGCTCATCACATACACTATCACACATTACATACACACTCTGAAATTCATCACACATCACAGAAACTTGTTACTTCACATAAGTGAGCAATATTCCAGCCACGTCAAGCTGGTTTGTCAGTGATCATGTCCGGACCAGGCAAACCAGTGGTTGACAGTATGAGCAATGATCCACCAGACCTGGGTCCCATTCACAAAGCTCTCGTAAGCCTTAGATCTCGTAACTTTTCTCGTAGCATTCATACTTCCTATACTGTAACATTGACTCACGACAGTCAAGACGAGAGCTTTGTGAAACAGGGCCCTGATCAATTCTTTCCTCTTGTACACACCAAATGACTGACTGACTGAGTTTTGGTTTTACGCTACGCCGCTTTTAGCAATATTCCAGCAACATCACGGCGGGGGACACCAGAAATGGGCTTCACACATTGTACCCACAAACCAAATGAAGCACTGAGGTTCAATTCTGACCCAGAATCTCTACAGGAGTAATACTGTGCCAGTGTGTATTTTGTGTGTGTGTGTGTGTGTGTGTGTGTGTGTGTGCGTGCGTGCACGTGCATGTGCACTTGAGTTTGTTGTTTGACACAATACAATTGAATCTGGACCAGACTATCCAGTGAAGGATATTACGAGCAATGATACATGTCATCAAGGCACAATGACACCCAATCCGTTGTCAACAAAAGTCACTGGAACTGACCACCAGAACAATTCAGCTGCCTCTTAGTTCCAGCATACATTGCTAGCGACCCATTCTAACCCTGTGTAACAAGAGGCAGTAATCCTGATCTGATACACTGAGTAAAGCATTGGCAGTTGGCAGTGAAGAACGTGCCCTATGGCTACCTCCTGAGGCTGTCATCGTCGTCATGTCTTGGTTCTTCTCCTGCAAATTTCAGACTGTCAAAGTTGAAGGTCATCGTCTGAAACAGAGCAGAGTTATTAATGAGAGGTTCTTAAAATAGGATTCCGTCCAATAAAAGTTATTCCTGTTATGAATTCTGAAACATCTCTAACATTGTGTCAACACCTTAAATATTTCTTGTTGTGTGCTATCTTCTCAATGTTACAGTGGATACAAAAGCTATCCCCTTGAAGATGTATTTGTCTGTTTAAGTCCAAGTGGTATATTTACACATATATAATATTGTCGCAACTATAATATTACCATAAATGGCATATAAAAGATAAAATTACTGGTATGTGGAATAGTTTGAATTGTACTGCTATTTTATGTCAGTCAAAGTTCAAGTCAGATCATGCTAAGCAGTCAGTGAAGTAACAGAATAGGACGCATATACTTATCTGATTCACACAAAGTCAACAAGGGTTTTTCCAATTTATTGTTACTCATGTACAAATGTATTATTAGAATACTATAACAGCAAGACTGAGGACACTTTTTCTTACATCTTCAGCTTCTTGCTTAGCCTCTACAGATGGCAGCCATTTCTTGATTAGACCAAAGCAGATGCTTTCAAGTTCAAGGTCATTTTCTTTACTGATCTCCTTTACAACAGCATTGATATCTGAAAGTAGGTCAAATCATGCATTATACACAATCACTGTACAACATATTAAAGTAGGTTGAGGAACTTGTTATGTATGTAATTACCATCAAATATTTGAAAGTAGGTCAAATGCATTATACACAATCACTGCATAATTAAAGTAGGTTGAGGAACTTGTTATGTATGTAATTACCATGAAAGTAGGTTGAAAGTATGAAATTGTTTCATGCTCACAATAACCACCAAATAATTGAAAGAAGGTAATAAAAAACCCATTATGCTCACAATTACCATTAAATATATGAAAGTAGGTCAACCTATGCATCATGTTCATCATTACTAAAAAAAATATGAAAGGAGATCGGAAAGACGACAATTACAATTTGAAAATAGAAGTGAAATCATGAGACATGTGGAAACACCATTGCTTGCAGTAAACTAGGTCACATATTGCAGCCATGTGATCCTCAGTAGTAGATTACAACCAAACCCGTGAAGACCCAGGTTAGAATAAGTCTTGACCATCCCATTCTGGCTGTAAGATCTGACTAAAATTACTGGGTAATCTGGCTTGGAGACCTTACTGAATGCACGTCACCGAGCCCAATTGTGTAGATTGATGCTCATGACGTCAGTCAGTGGATTGTTTGGTCCTGACTTGATTATTTCAAGACTGCCAACATATAGCAGGAATATTGCTGTGTGTAGCATTAGCCAACAAGCAAACAAACAAACAAACCTCCAACATGGGGTCGTATCTGCCCAGGACTCCCCCAGTGTCACCAGACTGGGAGGAGATGATGCCCTGTAGCTCACCTGGCTTCTTGACCTCGCAGTCCCAGGACGCTGTGATGCTGGGATGTTCATACAGTTTGACAATCAGGTCTCCTGGCTTGCTACACAGCTGTAGTATGTCAGGCTCTGCCAGGTCATTCATGAACAGAACACGCTCCGTGGACAGACGCTTGAAAACTGTCACAAACTTCAAGTAGGCTGCCTGGGCTTTATCCCTCTGTCCCTTCTAGGGGAGCAAGATAAAATATTAAGCTAGGACAAAATAGGCCTGATGCATAGAAACAATAGGGATGTGTATTGGGAAAACAACTGCTTATTCTCTAGAGAAAAAGTGTCATGTTGAAAGTACTTGGTGAAAGTGCTGAAATAACTCCCTCCATAACTTGATTCCCATATAAACATTGTTTAGATGCATGTCTCACATGTAGCGCATGGATTGTTTAACTTACTTGTGTTTTTTCATCACAGGCCTTGTACCACTTCTCAGCAAACGTCACACAGCCTTTGAGAGCAATCACTTTCTCCCCACCTGCATACATTCAGTAATATGTAATATTATGGTAGGCATAGCATTAATTGAAAATACCCTTTGTGTTGGCAATGACAAAACAGTTCAGCCTCACAGATAAATCTCAATTACCCATGGGCAGCTCCTTGAAGAGCCAGGTAGAACAGGCTAGCCACACATATATAGATCAGACTCACCCATGTGCAACTCCTTGAAGAGCCAGGTAGTACAGGCTAGCCACACATACATAGATCTGACTCACCCATGGGCAGCTCCTTGAAGAGCAAGGTGGAACAGGCTAGCCACACATATATAGATCAGACTCACCCATGTGCAACTCCTTGAAGAGCCAGGTAGCACAGCCTAGCCACATATATAAAGATCTGACTCACCCATAGGCAGCTCCTTGAAGAGCAAGGTGGAACAGGCTAGCCACACATATATAGATCAGACTCACCCATGTGCAACTCCTTGAAGAGCCAGGTAGCACAGCCTAGCCACATATATAAAGATCTGACTCACCCATGGGCAACTCCTTGAAGACTCAGGTAGTACAGGCTAGCCACACATATATAGATCTGACTATGGGCAGCTCCTTGAAGAGCCAGGTAGCACAGCCTAGCCACACATATATAGATCTGACTCACCCATGGGCAGCTCCTTGAAGATCCAGGTAGCACAGCCTAGCCACATATATAAAGATCTGACTCACCCATGTGCAACTCCTTGAAGAGCCAGGTAGCACAGGCTAGCCACATATATAAAGATCTGACTCACCCATAGGCAGCTCCTTGAAGAGCAAGGTAGAACAGGCTAGCCACACATATATAGATCAGACTCACCCATGTGCAACTCCTTGAAGAGCCAGGTAGCACAGCCTAGCCACATATATAAAGATCTGACTCACCCATGGGCAACTCCTTGAAGACTCAGGTAGTACAGGCTAGCCACACATATATAGATCTGACTCACCCATGGGCAGCTCCTTGAAGAGCCAGGTAGCACAGGCTAGCCACATATATATAGATCTGACTCACCCATGGGCAGCTCCTTGAAGAGCCAGGTAGCACAGGCTAGCCACATATATAAAGATCTGACTCACCCATGTGCAACTCCTTGAAGAGCCAGGTAGCACAGGCTAGCCACATATATAGATCTGACTCACCCATGTGCAACTCCTTGAAGAGCCAGGTTGCACAGGCTAGCCACATATATAAATCTGACTCACCCATGGGCAGCTCCTTGAAGAGCCAGGTTGCACAGGCTAGCCCCATCTCACAGTTGGACACACTCATGAGCAAGTCCCTCACTGTATCCAAGAAAACAACACTGTTTTGGTCGAAGCTCCAGTCACAGTTGTTTTTGTCCATGTTTCCTGCGGTCTGTTGTTGTAGAGACTTAACGTGACGTCGAACCATGTTCTGTATAGCCATCAGCGGGATCTGGTCCTCTGATAGCTGAGACAGGGAGTATAATGTGAGGTGAGGTGAGGTGAGATAATGTGAGGTGAGGTGAGGTGAGGCATTTAGATTCTACATTTTAATATTCTAGTGATCTGCTCAATTGCATTTCATTTGTTCCCCAAACACTGGATCCGTATGCATTCCAGTCATCATTCTCAGCTCCCTGAGGAGTATTCCGCCCAAGTTGTCTACTAGCACATTTAGGTGTGACACATTCCACATATGACTGATTTGAAGCACTTTAAATATTGCAGTTATATCACAGTATGTCAACTTAAGTGGGAGAAAATGGTTAAGTAATGCAGGACAGATTCACATTGATGAAAACAAACCAAGGATTGCAGTAAGGGCATATCTTGGCTTCAACCTGATAATTAACAGATCCTGTGATGACAAAGGGAAATAACTCTTTTAATGCTCATGAGGTATATGTAACTGGACAATATATAGACAAGAATTATTTGTTTACTAGGTTTAAATATTTGTGAACGCATTGGTCAATTTGTAACTTCAAAGTGAAAAACACATACAAGATGGAGGTGATGCTAATTTCTCATGTTATTGTTGTTATTTGGTTGTTGTTTAATGCTGTTCTCAGCAATATTCCATCCGTCTGTAAATAATCGAGTCTGGACCAGGCTATCCAGTGATCAGCAGCATGAGCATCGATCTATGCAGTTGGGATACGGTGACATGTGTCAACCAAGTCAGTGAGCCTAACCACCTGGGCCTAGATTTTCGAAGCTCTCTTAGCGCTAATATAGTCGTAAGTTAATGTTAATGTATGGCACTTACGACTATCTTAGTGCTAAGAGAGCTTCGAAAATCTAGGCCCTGATCCTGTTAGTCGCCTCTTACAACAAGCATGGGTGGCTGAAACCAGTTCTAACCTGGATCTTCATGTGTATATTTCTCTTGTATTCAATAATGATTTTTATCATAGCAAAATGACAAATCTTCTTGCATTATAATCAATGAATAAATGACTATTCACTACTGAAAAAACTGAACAAGTACTGAAATGTTTTGTTCGAAGAGTGAGTGAGTGAGTTTAGTTTTACGCTGAACTCAGCAATATTCCAGCTGTATGGCGGCGGTCTGTAAATAAATGAGTCTGGACGAGACAATCCAGTGATCAACAGCATGAGCATCGATCTGCGCAATTGGGATACGATGACAAGTGTCAACCAAGCCAGCAAGCCTGACCACCCGATCCCATTAGTCACCTCTTGCGACAAGCATGGGTTACTGAAGATTGATATTCTAACCCGGACCTTCACGGGTTGTTCGAAAAGTATTTTACCTTTAACACTTTTGCTATTGGAAGCCACATTGAAACAGAATCATCTTCAAGCTCAGGTGCTGGAAAAACATGAATCGGGTATATACAAAAAATGGATAAAAAAAAAAAGCATATCTACAAGATATATATATTTACGTATGTGGAAGAAGATTATGAGATGAGATTAGTGTTCGCATTATTTTAACGAAAGTACCTTGCAATTGGAACATGCAATTGTTTTCTTATTATTACAAGATGTACATATTTTGAGACAGAATTTCCAAACTTACTGATAATCTTCCAGGGATCACCAAACATGAGTGGGTGGAAGGGGACACATTTTTTGCTGGCGGCTGGGAGTGTGTCCAGAACACCAGACAACTGAGAAAAAACGGATGGGGAAAATACTGGAGGGGATTACAGATGGAGGAAAAACAGTTATATGTTACTAGTCTTACTACTATTGAAAACAGTAGACTAGTAATTCCAAACTTACCATTGTTTTACCCCCATCTATCAAAATCTGATGGGATAAAACAATGGTAAGTTTACAAGTTCACCAGTCCACTATTGAAATTGAATGAGTCAAATAGAGGTAAACTTACAAGTTACTAGTCTACTGATGAATACAGATCAGAATCAAGTTATCGGTCTAATTTGGATTACAGATGGTAGTCAAATAGTGGTAACTATACAAGTTACAGGTCTACTAATGAACACAAATGTGAGTCAAAGTTAAATTTACAAGTCACTCGTCAAGTAATACAGATTGGTTTTAAAACCATTTCCTACTTTAGTCAGTTGTGATGAATTCAGACTGGGAGCAACAATGGCTTCCTCTGCCTACCTCCTCTCTCTCCCCTTCTCCATGGTACTGCTGCTCATATTCTGAAGGTGGATATTTCCTGTTGTACACACTGATATACTCAAGCAGTTTCAGACCCTGAAGAAAATAGTCATAATATCGTATCATGTAAAGATGAGTAATAACAGAAGTGAAAATAAATCATGACAAGTGTTTGCCACTGATATAGCAATATCCCCCGCCACTCAAGAATGGAATCTTTATAACATATTTACTACTTTTTATTTTTTGGTCACATACAAGATGCCTGAAATGACTGGTGTCTGGGTAATCACCCAATGTAGGCTGTTGACATAATTGAAGACATTGGGTGCAATGTCGAATTACATAATTTAGTGGGCTGTTGACATAATTCAAGTCACCCAAACATTGGGTGCAATGTTTTATGAAGATGTCACGATTTCGCGTGATTTACATAACTTTGAAAAGTGGTCAAAGTGTCGTGGTGACCTTGAAGATAAGGTCAAGGTCACCCAAATCATCTGGTGTCTGCGTAATCCCCCAATGTATGCTGTCACCAAATTTGAAGAAATCGAGTACAACAGTTCATGAAATATCGCGTTAACAAGAATCGGGACGTACATATTGACACCGCTGAGTACATAGTCCCCAGTTCCGCGTTGCGGTGGGGGACAATAAGGTCACATTTGTCCATTTCCAAATTGGTAAAACTATGCATATTGAAACAATATATGTTAAATCCTTTGATTTGAAGATTCTGTGAAAATGAATTAGAAAGTGAATGAGAATTAAACAATGTCCATTTCAACACTTACAGTTTTTGAACTAAATAAAGAACACAAGCTCATTGCCAGCCATAACAATTAACATTTCAAGTTGGCTAAAAGGGCACCTGTCTTAGTCCGTCCTTCATATGATCAGTTAATTTCAGCCTTGAGTATATTGGTGCACTCCAGTGAGGTGTGGCATGGCATGGTGTGGCTGGGCATTGCGTGTGTGCAAGGTGTGATGAGTGAGTGCACGTATGTGGGGCATGGTGGGTGAGCTGGCTAACGCCCCAGGCTAAATCCAGCGAGCTTGAGGTGCCGGGATCGAGCCCATCTGTGACCTGGTGTAAAAACCTTGGAGTCATATTTGTGTGCAGACTCTTTCAGTGTTGTCACAACCCCTAGTATACAGTACACAACCCTGTGCACAACCCACGAATCCGTTGGTAAATGACCAGATGGTGGCCACATGAATACGTGCAAACACCTAGTTGCCGGTACAGCTACGTGCAGTAAACTTGGACAAAGTACTGTAACTATGTGTCCCAGTCCACCCAGCTGTGAATGGGTACCTTGTAAGGATGAGTCAGCAGCAATAACTCGTGCGCCTAGTTGCTGCACAAGTTGTATGCTCCCCGGGGAGTTGAGATTGATAATACGATGTGCCGTTGAGATTGACATCCATCGCCTTGAGCATGTACTAGTTACGTGGATATGTGCGCTATATAAATATCCTATAATAAGCATGTATGTGGAGGCCAAGGTACAGGATTTGGAACCTCATGTCTCCTATGATAGCTCTGGTTTCCACGATAGATATAACAATGAAACAAACTCACCTTAATGGCTTGTTGACTGTCATATTGCTGTAACTCCTCCAACAAGAACTTGATGGTCTCATAGTCATAGGGGTTACACTAGAAAACACAACACACAAGGATAGGACTGGAGCAGCACATTCAATACTTCTGAAGCATTCATAGACATTGTAGGTGTCCTATGTTAACACATGTGATTGTCAGATATATGATATATACAGTGTTTAAAACTCCCAAAATTCCAATCCAAACAGCTGGACTGGTAACTTTTAAAAATTACCAGTCTGGATACAAACTTTCCTGTCCTGGTTTTCAACACTGAAAACAAAAATCAGGTTTCTGAATACTTTACTGTTTGCAAGCATCGCAATGAACAACATAGCACTAACAGGCAATGCACCGAGTTTAGGTAAACTGAAAGTATGTGTTGTGATTGGTTTTTGTAAAATGAACTGTCCAATCGTAAATAGTTTAACATAATGATCATAATACCGTAAACACCTCAAACTAACGACACGAGAACCTGTCTGATATTATGAAATATTTACTGTTAGGGGTAAAAACATCTACCAGACCACCGGACAGGCTACTTTTGAAATTTGACCGTTCGAGATGAAATTAGACTGTTCCGGACGGTCGGGCAGGCGGGAATTTTAAACGCTGATATATATCACCAAATTCAAATTCCTTTTGAAGGCATACACATGAAGCAACATATGTTTGTTTGTAGCTACGTTTACCAATATCCGACCTATGAGACAGCATCATCTGATTAACGGAGTCTGGACCAGACAATCCTATGACTGACATTGTGGGCAACTATTAATGCCAACAGGGTGTGATGACTTGCAGTTAACCAAATCAGCAAGCCTGACCACTGGACCCATTTGTTTGCCTCCAAAAACTAGCATGTTTAGCTGGGAACCTATTCTCAACTAGAGTCTCAGCAGTGTCATTGAAATAGGGATGAGTGATTTAGGATCAATTGTACCATTCAGACAAACCAATATTTGTGTACCAAAGAGACACAGAGTAAAATTGTCATGCCTTAGGCGATTGAGTTCAAACTAAGATATATTGACAGCTCAGCACCCAGTTTTTCTTTTTCTTTCAGTCAGAATCTGGAAAAGTACCCACTTGTTTCAATAATTTATTCAGCTCCATCTCCAATTTGTCAGATTCTGGCAGCACTCTGATGGCTACTCTGGCTTTGGCAGTGCGAGATCGGCGCTGGGCTAGATTGCATGCCCCTTCCCATAGCGGCATCTCCAGTGACAACACGTGCTGGATGTAGGTCATCAGACCCTCTTTAACATCCAGGTCAAAATCTCTGTAACCATGGTAACAGATTTTCAACTTGGTAAATTTCAGCCTGTCAAATCTTGTTGGTTAGTCTTGGTGATTTGTTGTAGACAATTTATTAAAGATACATTTTATTGGTGTCTATATGGTTCCTTTGGTTAGTGACTTTGGTTTAATGCAGGTTGCAACAGAGTGTGAGTGAGTGAGTTTACGCTGCACTCAGCAATATTCCAGCTATATGACATGTGTCAACCAAGTCAGCGAGACTGACCACCCGATCCCGTTAGTTGCCTCTTATGACAAGCATGGGTTACTGAAATCAATATTCTAACCCAGACCTTGAAGGGTTAGCTTGCTACAGTATGTCAGTTATATCATGGCTTAATGAGGGAGAGAACCTCAAAATGATGCAGGTGAATTATTACTTTGGTGAAATCTTCCAGCCCAGACTGGTGCTGTCAAACCTAGAAGGATCTTGTCATCAAATGATCTGAGTACAAAAACATTGGACAATGATTACTTTATCCAGAGGGAAGCTGACAGTAAGGCTGTTATGACTCCAAATGTTTGCATTGACAGTTTCACAAACAGATATTGGGAATTTGTACAAATATATATGAAAAGATGCCACCCACTTGCAGTAATCTGTGATAATGCTGACATCAGCAGCATCATTCAAGGCAATGGCTTTCAGAATTTTTAATCTCTCCTTTGTAGTTCCTTGGAATGCAGGTTTAAAATCAATCTGTAATAAACAGTAACATACCTCAATAAAGGGCCTTACCAGAAAGGATATGTTTTAAGATTCACGTTCTAGTATCACTTCTCATGACAAAATATGCTTGTCAGATGATCCTCTAAAAACATCCCTGAAACTTATCCATGCATGACAAACTTACAACTTTATCTAATTTTAACATTTGATTGTAATTGGTAAACATTGTTAAAAAAGTTACAACTATCTTGGTATTGTGATACAGAAACAGCAGATACATTTGAGCTTTCATGTTGGGATTGAAAGACTGACTGACTGTTTCAGTGCCAGACAATATGACCTTTACCTTGATCTTACTGAGGCGATGACCCCATGTGGCTCTGGTCAACATGGTTTCGGCCATGTCTGTCACCTTGACATCCTGTAGCAGACAACCCATTGCTCGTCCCACTGATGCCAGAGCCTGCACAGAAGGTGGTCACAACATTGATACATGGATAGGGGATCCACATAGTATTTTGGGCTATCTCCTTAAAACACAATCTCTGTTCTCACTACTTCTAGACAAAGATCTGAGGACATCCCATTGAGAGTCACATCAGAATGACTTCCTCCAGTCATTAGCATTGCATTTCAGATCAGGAAAGAGGCAGTCAAAAGGGTACATTGTTCAATCTCGAAAATGTTAACATGGGGTAATCTGAATTTCTCATGCTGTGAGTGGGGAGACGGACTACACAACTTCTTCTCTTGACGACTGTAGCTTTACTGCCAAGACATGTGGTTAAAGGCGACATCACCGTATGGTATCAGGGGAGGCAACTCTAGGTTCCTTACTTTAGCCTGTGATATGACAGTTACAGGCTGTACGACTGACCCAGGGAAAATCATTGTCCGTCGCTTGTTTCAATGGAGCAAATATTTATAATCCAGAAGAGCCCTTCCATACCCTGCTACAATATCGGCCATCTATTAGACATTTCAGATTTCTTTTGCTCAATTTTCAACTTCTACAGAAATATTTCCCAAAGTCTTGTATGGAAGTCTTCAGTTTTATAAACCAGTGCCATAAACCTAGAGAAAACTGCTTTCTGATTGGCGAAAGTCAATGTTTTGTTAGTCATTTCAATGGCAGATCAAAGTTTGTGAAAAACTGATCTGACATGAACTGTAATGGGATGTCCTGAGATTCTGGTTTGCCAGGAGTGTGCTATAAGATCAGATGTTTGCATGGCATGTTATTATTCACATTGAGTGTTTACTTTTCTACAGGTATTCTGTACATTTCACTCTCTTGGGTCCAATGAGTAGACATTCACATGTAAATTAATACAGTGGAAACCTAATGAGTAAAATTTCAAGGAACTCGCCAAAATTGATTACTTATCCGGTATTTTACTTATCCAGACTTATCAAAACCTGCAAATGATTTCAGCTTTTATTACTTGCCACGTGAACGTAATAGCGTCCTGCTTCAAGTCATTCATCATGTAAATTGGATAAACACACTCACATTGCTACTTGGTCTACTAACTGATACTTGCAAGCTACATAAAACAATGAACAACTTATCAGGGCTGGCCTCTTGTTGACAGTGTATTGTCAACTGCATGACGCCAGTGAGCTGTAAGTAGGATGTCGGATTATGTGGTGATCGCTAGTTTAGTTATCCGGTCTCTTTTGTTAAGTATTTTACTTCCGGGGACCGTGAGAAGACATTTAGTTAAGCGGTATTGTTTACTTATGCGAGTTTAGTTAACCGGACTCTAATTATGATAACTAATGCAGAAATTTCCCGGGACCAAAGAATAATGGTTACTTATCCGGTCTCTAGTTAAGCGGTCTTTACTTAGGCGGTTTCCACTGTATAAGTATATGTTTGTGTGATGTCCCAGTGAGTCACATGTCGCATAACAGTGAGGGAGTGAGTTTAGTTTTACGCCGCACTCAGCAATATTCCAGCTATATGGCGGTCGTCTGTAAATAATCGAGTCTGGACCACGCAATCCAGTGATCAACAGCATGAGCATCGATCTACGCAATTGGGATAAGATGACATGTCAACTGAGTCAGCGCATCTGACCACCCGATCCCGTTAGTCGCTTCTTACGACAAGCATGGCTTACTGAAGATCAATTCTAACCTGGATCTTCACAGGTCGTCGCATAACAGTGATACAAGACTAAGTAATGATATATGACAACCCAGATGTTGCACAAAGGGGCATTATGTACATAGTAGTGGTCACAATGTAAATATGATGCCTGATATGACTGCCCAAATGCTGACCATCAAGTTTTTTTCAGAAAACCTCACAGCAACTTTGGTATCACAGTTTCAGCAAGGAAAGACAACTCATCATTTAAAATCTTGACTGAGGACAAAACTACACATGATTTATCATACTGAAAAGAATTTTTCAAACTGAGTGTGTGAAATGACACCCAAATGAATACCAGTGTTTTAATGGCGTTACAGAGGCAGGTGATACTGACCATGAGTTTCTTGTAGTTGTGACCGGAGCTGGACACTAACTTCTTGAGTGTCTCCATCATCACTTTGTGAGGCTGACTGATGATGTAGGACAGACCAAGGTTCTGGTCCACCTTGCGAGCATTGAAGATCTGGGAAAAACAAAGTGAGTGAGTGAGTGAGAGTGATTGATTGAGTTAGATTGACTGATTGATTGAGTTTTGTCTAATCCTGCATTCTACCCGAAATTCATCAGCTTGATGTAAACCAACGACTGACTGAGTGAGTATGGTTTTACGCCGTTTTTAGCAATATTCCAGCAATATCACGGCGGGTAACACCTGAAATGGGCTTCACAAATTGTACCCATGTGAAGAATCGAACCCGGGCCTTCGACGTGACGAGCGAACGCTTTAACCACTAGGCTACCCCACCGCCCCGTAAACCAACGAACACGAGAATGGTACTGACAAATCTGGAAACAAAATCATGGGGAATTTCGGAGTTGAACCTATGTTCATTGGTTTCAGGCACACCTAAGGGACATGGTGAAAAGTTAAATGAACTTTATCCCGACAAATCTAATTGCTACTTTGATAGATATATTTACCAGTTAACTTCAAACTATCCAGAACAAACACACAATACCAACCTTTGTGAGAATACCAAACGCAAGTTCCTGCATCAGAGGGCCAACTTTTTCTTTCGCTGTGGTCAAGTGACTATCAACTTGAGTCAGCTCAGCTGTTGTCTGTTTCACAGGAGAGAAATTGTGAGAGAGTGAGAGTGATAACAGAATCCATATAGGAAAGAACATGATAAAATAACTCCCACCTCATTGGCTTTATTTAGATCAAATTGATAAACAGAACAATGAAATATCTGTTGTCCAAAGGCAGTGCAGCTTTCAACAGGCACCAAGTTGAGTTGGAGCTGAAGCTTGTACTCAGTGAACAAATCAATCAGTTGAATCCAACTGAACTAGAGTCCATCTTCTGCCACTCACTAGGCCTGTAATGATGCATCGAACTATTGATGGATTGCAATTGTTGAGTCTCCGATAGCAAGTAATCGATGGTAGAAACGAAAAACTATTGATGCATCGATAGTATGTGTGACTACCGCTAGTTTAGTAATTCTGTTGATAAATGTGCATCGCAAAATGCAGGAAGTACCAGATTCGTTCACTTTGATTTAGAGTTATCCACATCTGTTACCTCTTAAACAAACATGATCTAGGTTTCAAGTTTCTTGTCAGTTTTTAAAAGAGACTGAAACTACTTCAGCTTGTTTTTATTTCATATAAACTGTACATTCAAATGGGAAATGACTTAAAATGAGACAATTCAAGGAGAAAAAACCTATTGCAATAGTATTGCAATAGTTGGTCGCAATAGACTATCCCTATCGCAATAGTAGGTTGCAATAGACTATTACAATAGTTTGTTTCCCCCTCAATAGTCACCCCTACCCAGTGTGTGAAATAACCACTGACCCACTAGCCACTGGCCACTAAAAATTCAATTGGGCCAGTATATCTCATCAGTTACTGGCCCAGCTGGCTAGTGAGTGAGTGAGTGAGTGAGTGAGTTGAGCTTTACGCCACACTCAGCAATATTCCAGCTATATGGCGGCGGTCTGTAAATAATCGAGTCTGGACCAGACAACCCAGTGATCAACAGCATGACAACTGGCTAGTGAATTTTCATGGTTTCATTTTGAAAATATATCACTCTCTCCGACTTGTTAAGTTATAATACACTTTTTAAATCATGCTAGATTATGGCCTAATAAAAATGTTCATCACATTGGCAGCTTAATGATGAAACCTGTGTCTACATTCAAATTTCGGGCTAGGGAATTATTTTGTGGGCTGGTAACTTTCAGGCATATCTTGCCCAACTGGCTAACAAAATTTGGAAACTATTTCGCACACTGCCCCTACCACTCATTAATAGTATCAGTGTAACACCTTGACATGTGATTTGTCATGTTAAAGAAATGAACAGGAAAACTGAAGGATCTCCACAATGAAATTGATTAATTTCATAAACACTGGTTTACACATATTTTCTTATTTTATACTTCCTGATACAGTCCTTCACGATAATCCAGTAATGTTCCTCCATATCTAATCCCCAGATGAATCATGTATACAAGAAAGCGTTACAAGGATGGCAGGGGTTTGGGCCAGCGTTATTTCCAGATTAACAAGTGCTTGCCACTAACATGGCAATGTCCCCCACCGCTAAAGAAGAGTATAACATATTTACTAGTTTTAATCTTTCGGTCACATAGAAGATAACCTTCTGTGTGATGTACTTTTTAGTCATGGTCAGAATCTTCTCTTAACTCTGAAGATATTTCAGGAATATAGTAGGTTTGAATGTATAGATCCAGATGCACACATCCACTGTCAGTATCTGTGTGTATTAGGGCTGGGATGGGTCCACAGTTTCAACCCGGGTACCCCACCCTACCCTGATACCAGTTATGTTAATTCCTGACATCAAATGTGAAGACATTGGGTACAACAGTGCATGAAATATCGCGTTAACAAGAGTTTGAAAAGTGGTCAAAGTGTCATGGTGAGCTTGAAAATAAGGTCAAGGTCACCAAAATTGACTGGTGTCTGCGTAATCCCCCAATGTAGGCTGTCACCAAGTTTGAAGACATAGGATACAACAGTGGATGAGATATCGCTTTAACAAGAATCGGGACGTACATATGTACGTGCGCTGCTGAACATGTAGTGCCCCGTTCTGCATTGTGGCTGGGGACAACTAAAAGTTGGCCTTGCAGTACCTCCCTCAGAAGACTTTTTTAAGACTGGCAAGATCTTCTACTTGGCCCTATATTTGCCATTTGGTTAGATGTTGGTACCCACCTGTTTGTGTTCGAATCCCATGTCGAACTGTGTGACATGTTGGGTGAGGGAGGACATGGTGTGGCTGGCAAATCGGTGAGCCAGTTCCAGATGGGAGTTTTCCCTCAAGTGGAGCAGGAGAGGAAGGAGGGGCTCCGACATGCTCTGCACCACTGTCGGCGACAACTTCGTCACTACAGCATCCCTGTTCCCTGACATTGTAAATAAGGGGAGTAACAGAAATTAGTTCATGTGTTTTAAGCTGATTTTGACAATTGCTGAGGTATATCACAGGACAATGTTTCACAAAGTATGAACTCCTATAATTTAACAGTACCTTGGATTTTATTTTTGAAAGAAGTTTTTCTTACATGTAAGGAATCAAATTTGTTCACAGGTATTCGAAACATTCTTGCAGTTTCTATTTCATACACAATGACATGCAACCAGTCAAATCACTGACCAACAGCTCTCCACCATACTTAGTACAACAAGGTACTAAGGAGTGAGTGAGTGAGTGATTGCTTGATTGCTGGATGGATTTAGTTTTATGCCGCTTTTAGCAATATTCCAGCAATATCACGGCTGGGGACACCAGAAATGGGCTTCACACATTGTACCCATGTGGGGAATCGAACCTGGGTCTTCAGCATGACGAGCGAACCCTTTACCAACTAGGCTACCCCACCGCCCCAGGTACTACGGACCATTCTGACCAGGGACCCTCACACTTAATTGAATACATAATGGTACTCTAGGATTTGAAATACCTTGATCAAGACTGTCATTGTCACTGTTCAAATAACCACATAACACCAGGACACATTTTGAAATCAGATTTTTTAAACAAAAAACATTTTTAACGCCTTGTGCTACATTCTGTTTCCTGGAAACTGGGATAAATATAAATCCGGGCCTAGATTTTCGAAGCTCTCTTAGAGCTAAGATAGTCATAAGTAAATGTTAATGTATGGCACTTACGACTATCTTAGCGCTAAGAGAACTTCGAAAATCTTGGTACTGGAGAACAAAATTTGACAAACACATGAAAATTGATGGCCACATGAACAAACTTATAGCCAGGGATTCACAAACCTTGAGTATTTAGAAGATAAAAAGGATGCAATCTAATCTGCTGAAAACTGCAACTGCAAATCTTGCACAGAGATGAATTAAAATCTATTATCTTGTAAGCACTAAAGTGAATTTTAAAAGCACACATATAAACAATTTTTCCAGCATCAGCATTTATTAACTTTTCCAGAGACACCCATATTTCCTGTATTAAAACTCTTGCACGACTGGGGTTTACCTGTAGCAAGGGATGGGACAGCTAACGACTCCTTAAACCAACCACCATGGTGTTTACCTGTAGCGAGGGACGGGACAGCCAGCAGGTAGTTGACGGTGAGCGGCAGCACCTTACTGGAGGTCATGACTAACGACTCCTTAAACCAACCACCGTGGTGTTTACCTGTAGTGAGGGACGGGACTGCCAGCAGGTAGTTGACAGTGAGCGGCAGCACCTTACTGGAAGTCATGACTAACGACTCCTTAAACCAACCACCATGGTGTTTACCTGTAGCGAGGGACGGGACAGCCAGCAGGTAGTTGACAGTGAGCGGCAGCACCTTACTGGAGGTCATCACTAACGACTCCTTAAACCAGCCACCCTGGTGTTTACCTGTAGCGAGGGATGGGACAGCCAGCAGGTAGTTGACAGTGAGCGGCAGCACCTTACTGGAGGTCATGACTAACGACTCCTTAAACCAACCACCCTGGTGTTTACCTGTAGCGAGGGATGGGACAGCCAGCAGGTAGTTGACAGTGAGCGGCAGCACCTTACTGGAGGTCATCACTAACGACTCCTCCTTGAACATGGGGGTCAGGTTCCATTCTGCATGCATCTCACTGGCCATTACCTGTTGTTCCACCGACATGCTGTTGTTGGGGCTCTGTAATACACAGTGTGCACATAATTTCAGATTCAGGCTGCAAATATACTGAACACAAAAGCTTGGGGATCATGAATACCCTCCTTGATATTTTTATGAAATGGTGTGCTCAGTCTTCACTGAAAATGATATCTCCAAAAATATTCCTTATCTCTCTTTTTTGGTCAAGTATACATCAAAACACTGCTACAGTAGAACATGGATATAGCGAACACGGATATAGCGTACAAACGGATATAGCGAACAAATGTAAAAGTCCCGTCAATAGTCCTTTATAATATCATTAAAATTATACGCGAATAACGAACTCGTGAGTAGCGAATTAACGGCTATAGCGAACTGATTTACTACCCCCAAGACCCAATTAACGACGTGATTAGCGAACTAACTCAGTGTCAGCTCAGCCACTTAGCAGTATACATCAACCTTGTTGGCGGCGAATCAACATTGTTTTATGGTCATTAATTAATTAACAAAACAAACATGTCGTGTTTAAAAGCTTGACTGGTATACAGGTCTTCGTTCACTCTCGTCACTATGGCAGGCAAACGTAAAGCTATCACTTTTGACACCAAGCTTCAGATAATTCAGGCTGTAGATTCAGGTGTCAAATGTGAATAACGAACAACGGATATAGCGAACTAAATTTCTTGGTCCCTTGGAGTTTGTTATATCCGTGTTCTACTGTATATATTTTTTCATTAAAATTACTGATGCTATAGGTATCGTAATAATCTAAAACATTGCTGCATTTTACAATAGTTTTCTCTGCTAGTTTCAACTTAAAACTTCACATTGATATAAATTTTATTCAATTCACAAACTGTTTCACAGTCAATGAACAAAATAGATAGTAGACCAAAGATAAGTCTTAAGAGTCCAATCTTCTCAGAATCTCCACTGCTATTCTGTCTTAGTGTCTATTCTTCTCAGAATCTCCACTGCTATTCCATGTCTTAGTGTCTATTCTTCTCAGATTCCCCACTGCTATTCCATGTCTTAGTGTCTATTCTTCTCAGAATCCCCACTGCTATTCCATGTCTTAGTGTCTATTCTTCTCAGATTCCCCACTGCTATTCCATGTCTTAGTGTCTATTCTTCTCAGATTCCCCACTGCTATTCCATGTCTTAGTGTCTATTCTTCTCAGAATCCCCACTGCTATTCCATGTCTTAGTGTCTATTCTTCTCAGAATCCCCACTGCTATTCCATGTCTTAGTGTCTATTCTTCTCAGATTCCCCACTGCTATTCCATGTCTTAGTGTCTATTCTTCTCAGATTCCCCACTGCTATTCCATGTCTTAGTGTCTATTCTTCTCAGAATCCCCACTGCTATTCCATGTCTTAGTGTCTATTCTTCTCATATTCCCCACTGCTATTCTGTCTTAGTGTCTATTCTTCTCAGATTCCCCACTGCTATTCTGTCTTAGTGTCTATTCTTCTCAGATTCCCCACTGCTATTCCATGTCTTAGTGTCTATTCTTCTCTCAGAATCCCACTGCTATTCCATGTCTTAGTGTCTATTCTTCTCAGAATCCCCACTGCTATTCCATGTCTTAGTGTCTATTCTTCTCAGATTCCCCACTACTATTCCATGTCTTAGTGTCTATTCTTCTCAGATTCCCCACTGCTATTCCATGTCTTAGTGTCTATTCTTCTCAGAATCCCACTGCTATTCCATGTCTTAGTGCCTATTCTTCTCAGAATCTCCACTGCAGAAATGTCTTAGTGTCTATTCTTCTCAGATTCCCCACTGCTATTCCATGTCTTAGTGTCTATTCTTCTCAGATTCCCCACTGCTATTCCATGTCTTAGTGTCTATTCTTCTCAGAATCCCCACTGCTATTCCATGTCTTAGTGTCTATTCTTCTCATAGTCCCCACTGCTATTCTGTCTTAGTGTCTATTCTTCTCCTGTACTGACAGAAATGCCCACTGCTATTCTGTCTTAGTGTCTATTCTTCTCAGATTCCCCACTGCTATTCCATGTCTTAGTGCCTATTCTTCTCATGATTCCCCACTGCTATTCTGTCTTAGTGCCTATTCTTCTCAGATTCCCCACTGCTATTCCATGTCTTAGTGCCTATTCTTCTCAGAATCCCCTCTGCAGAAATGCACAGTGACCTACCTGTACTGACAGAAATGCACAGTGACCTACCTGTACTGACTGAAATGCAGTGACCTACCTGTACTGACAGAAATGCACAGTGACCTACCTGTACTGACTGAAATGCACAGTGACCTACCTGTACTGACAGAAATGCACAGTGACCTACCTGTACTGACAGAAATGCACAGTGACCTACCTGTACTGACTGAAATGCACAGTGACCTACCTGTACTGACAGAAATGCACAGTGACCTACCTGTACTGACTGAAATGCACAGTGACCTACCTGTACTGACTGAGAATAGTCTCCGACTTCACACTGTCTGCTGACATCCAGACACAGGGACAGGGCTCGATACAGGTCCAGACACGCACTCATACGTTCTGAAACCATCACAACCACCGTGGCATTACACTACTACATGTGCACAGGAAAATATATCCATCTTCAGACTGCATGAACCAATTTTCTCTCTACATATTATTATTTTATAACAATCCATTGAAAATATTTTTCTAATAGACAAGGAGGTTTCTGAAACAAGCATGACTCAGTGAAACAAGAGTCATCAGATGATGACAAATCCCCCCGGCCTCCACAAATTTGAAAGACAAATCATCTGACAGTTACTTCAAGTCCAACTTCATTTTCATTGGACTAAGTAGAAATTGTTTCCATGGAAATCAAGAAAAATATAAATGCCAAAAATCTGCAAATAGCAAATGGCACCACTTTAAGATCGGTTTGATATACCTGCTAAGTCTTGTAGAAAGATATTGAATGTTTTTTGAGTTGTGATCCGGAAATGAAGCCCGCCCCTCCCTTTTGAGATTAAGTCCAAAACATTTCCATGGAAACCAAGAATAATTAAAAATGACAAAAATTCTGTTAATAGCAAAAGGCACCACTTTAGGTTCTGTTTGATATATCTACCAATTTTTGTTGAAAAATATGGAACAGTTTTTGAATTATGTTCCAGAAACAAAATGATTACAGATGGACAGACGAGGAGCCGACTATATCCCCCCACATTACCTGCCAGGGGATAACAAATGTACAATAGGATTAACACAGTCTACACTAGTGGGTTACATGACAGCCTGTCAAGGAGATCACAACCATGTAACCATGATTATAGGGTTCTTGGGAGTTATTTTACCATCAAACACTGTTGGGTCCTATGCTGAAACAAGCATGGGGTACTAGGGACCTATTCTATCATGAATCCCCATTGGGTGTGAGACAAGTGTGGGGTACTGGGGACCTATTCTATCTTGAATCCCCATTGGGTGTGAGACAAGTGTGGGGTACTGGGGACCTATTTTATCCCTGAATCCCCACTAGGTGGTTGAGACAGCTGACCTGGACTGCACATGGTGAGAGCGAGACTGGCCAGTTCGACAGCAGTGTAGGACAGATCCCGCAGCTTGCTGCTGCCCTCCAATGTATCATCCTCCTTCTTCTGGCATAGCTGCAGGAAGGACAGCGCCACCTTGTACAGGGTCTCAGCTGTGGAGCAGGACGGGTCACTTTCCAGCAGTTTACTACAAAATACCAGAAGTTAACACCTGGGTGAAAAGGATAGTTATTAATATAGAGGATTACCAAGCTTATGCATGACCTCAGAGATTCTTTTGCAGCTAAGAATCATGCATATATTTTCAGAATAACTGAATAGGTTAATGTTTGATTGAAAAGACTGCATTATAACATCATGGATTGTAGGTGATTTCGATGTCTCAATGACTGCTCAAAATCAGCAATTCTTGAAAGCACATTACAATTCTTAACACCCTTAACATTTCCTTGTGAGTGAATGCTGCTTTACAGAAAGCAATGTTTACTGATTATGATACATGGTAACCATCTTGACAGCTCTTCCCTGATGACAAACTGGCCATGGAGAGCAGCACTCCACAAGGTGTCTCCAGTCATGACGATTACAAGAAATGATCAAGTGTAGGAGTAAACACCAACATAATAATTGTTTTATGGAATAAGGCCATAAACACTTTCTCTCCCCCAGACTGTGGCTACTCATCTCACCTGCAGTGTTTGACTGCCGTCTCCATGTCACCTGTACCGGAAGCCTTGATTGCAAGCTGACCATGGAGATGGACCAGTGAAATATCCAGCAAACTGGCCAGTCTGTGAACAACACACATAACTCATTTCTGACTGCTGCATTAAGTGTCAAGTAAAACCCTTGTGATGAACACTGATACTGATTGGTATTTTGCCATCTCTTCTCACTCTTCAAAGTTTACATTAATATATCATTGTGTATGCATAATAAAGTTGTTACGATATTCCTAGTCATATACTTCAGTGATAAGATAGTGTCTTGCTAAATGATGTTAACTAGAAAAGTGATCACGCAGTGGTGGCAGCCACACCAATTGAAATTCAGGGATAAACAACCACTTCAAGTTAGCTGGAGGTCTGGTGGGCTACATGTATTGCACACGCTTTGAAACAAATTTTGGAATGGATTTCAGAAATGACATCAGAATGCATCATACAAGGCTGAGAATTTTCATGACAGGGCTCCAGATAATTTTTCAAAATCAGGAATACGTACTCCATATTTTTTCAAAACAGGAGTACTGGAAAACCTAAAGAGTACTGAATGGAATTTTATGGAGTATCAGTAATGTTGTGTTTCATTTCATACATGCACCACAACACTGCGACTCTTGTTTAAACAGGTCAATAAACAATTTAACAATAATTTTTCAGATAAATACGTCTGTAAATGATTCTAAGACCGTACACCATTGCTGTGGTGCGTATCTACTACGCTTTCTAAATTATTTCCTACCGTATCGTGCATATTTTTTATCCGTACATACGCAGATACGGCCCTTATCTGGAGCCCTGCATGAGATTCTGTTACATCATGAACACTTGCATGATATTTACCACTGTGATATATGCATAATTACTTTGTACTAATGTGTTGTTAGATGTGTAGTACCTGTAAGTGATAAAAAAAAGGTCTGTCTGATGAGTGGAAAACAAAGTAGACACTTTTGGCTCAAAGCATTGCATTAAACCTCAAAGAGATTTCACTGAACACGATAATGTCTGACTGGATTTAGTTTCATACCACAGTGAGCGATATTCCAGGACCCACATTTCAACACAGATAACCATTCTGCTAGGTTCCTCAACAGGGTTACAGGACAACGGGATATACAGTGGAAACCTGTTAGTAAAATTTCAAGGGACTCGCCAAAATTGTTTACTTATCAGGTATTTTACTTATCCAAACTTATCAAAACCTGCAAATGACAACCTTATGCATGTATATGTATACAGCAGAATAACAGACAACATTTGTAAGTACAGTTGTCAGCGTTTTGTCAACTGCATGATGCCAGCAAGCTGTAAGTAGAATGTTTGTTTGACTGGAGACTGACACGTGCCCCTCATGTCAGATTATGTGGTGATTGCTAATTTAGTTATCCAGTCTCTTTTGTTAAGTAATTTACTTCCAGGGACCGTGAGAGATGTTTAGTTAAGCGGTATTGTTTACTTATCCGAGTTTAGTTAACCAGACTCTAATAGTGATAATTAATGAAGACATTTGCCCGGGACCAAAGAATAGTGTTTACTTATCCGGTCTGTTTAGTTAAGCGGTCTTTACTTAGGCGGTTTCCACTGTACATAGTACAAGAAATACTGAATAAGTTGGCTGACTTACCTGTAAACTTTTGCATAGTTGATATCACCCTGAAAAGAATTGGTAAAATTATCTTTGTAATGTAAAAATAGGCACAGGAAACTGTAATTCTCATCACTTATACTTGATGCACTTTTCATATGCAAATGATGATGATCAGATTTCACAACATTGAATTAAACTACACAGCTAGCTAGGTTGGTGGTGGGTATGTGACATCCAACAGCATCACACGTGCTAACAGTTTAAAGTTAAGCCTCACCTTTGTTGTTGCTTGAGATGTGAAGAAGTCTGTGAGGTAGGAGACGAGGACAGCCTCCCTGGACGTCCGACACCGGTACTGGGACAGCAGCAAGTGTTTGTTGTACTCACACTGTAACACAGTAACGACTTGATAGCACAACAACACAATACAGAATTATCACTGTTCCAGCCGTACAGACTACTACCAATAACAACATAACATAACAGTCCATTTTATCATGCACATTGCTCCATGCACAATGCACGATCGAAGCACCCAAACAATCTGATTATTATTACCCCGGATAACCCAAGCTGCCAGTTAGGCGCTAGAGGGTTATAGTCACATGACTTTATCCCACCAGGTACCCATTTTCTGCTGGGTGAACAGAGGCAAGTTTAAACAAACTCACTTGCCTAAGATGAGACCACATTATCACATGTGCTTTGTTGATAGGGGGCATGACTGAAGTTCTAGAAACTTTCAGGAGTCAAGCTGCCAAACACTGTCACCCATACAAGGACTCTCCGCACCCATCGTTGCTGAATTTCATCTGATTTGTGACCTGAGTTCTATGCTCAGGACCACCTGCCACCACTACTGGTGCAAAACGAAAACCAATATCGGAAAGATCTGTGAGTTCAGTGAGTTTTAGTATCCTCTGTATGTACATTTAACTAGTGGTTAACTTATACCACATATATGACTGAGGGACGCTTCCTGTCCAGTACTTGACATGAGCATCAATCTATCATTGGGATAGGATGACACAAATCAATTAGCCTGACCATAATGCAAAAAGTCAATGTTGTGATGTCTTTACTGATAAATATTCAGTATTAATAGTCAACTGACATTTGCAGTTAAAAATGGGAATTAGAATAGAATGTCTTTCACAACTCTTGCTGGGAATGAGAATCACACTCAAGAGCAATGAGGACTTATAATTACACCACTGCCAAAGGATTAAACTCATGTGATCAGTTTTTGTTATGTTTGAGTGAATGTTTTTGTTACTGTCTATATCTGTTCCTGACCTGCAGAACCCGACAAAGGTTAGAATGAACCTTTAGTAACCCATGCTTGTCGTGAGAGGCGACTAACTGCGAAAAACTGGATCGGGTGGTCAGGCTCGCTGACTTGGTTGACACATGTCATCGGTTCCCAATTGCGCAGATCGATGCTCATGCTGTTGATCACTGGATTGTCTGGTCCAGACTCGATTATTTCAGACAGCCGCCATAAAGCTGGAATATTGCTGAGTGTGGCGTAAAACTAAACTCACTAAGTCCTCACCTGCAGAGCCAAAAGAGCTGTCATTTCACTGTAGTCCTTCCTCATTTCCTCGTAGATCTCACAGTTAACATGGTCCTGTATATCTGTGGAGACATGTAGCACAATGATCACATGATGAAGTTCACACAAACAGACACACCTGTCCCCTGCACAACTGATGCTGTTCAAGTATCATGGCATGATATAACTAGGTGAGCTTTTCAGAGCTTCACAATCAGCTAAGAAAAGTAATCACACAAGTTAATTCAGAAAATGTTAACATCTTCAAAGATTTTCTCCTTTCACATGAGTCCTACTTCACAATATTTAAACGCTTGATAGAGCCTTCGAGGAAATCTGCTTTTCAATCAACTCGTTTATATACAACCTCTAGAAACAACTTTATTTTTGAGGGTAAAGGTAATGATGACAAGAGCTGTTAAACACACAATGGAGTTCATACAAGCTTCACGCAGCTCACTACAGCACCAGCTACATACTGTGACTAGTCACCCTAGTTTCAATACATCAGATGTACACCCATTAACACCTACATTGTAGTTTAGTGATAAGTAACAGAATTTTGCTTCTATTACTACTGGTCTAATTAAGTCCAATCAATTGCAGGTCTGAGACATTTTGACTTCATGCAATGATTATGCTATCAATGATCTTCAAAACATTCATCAATGATCTTCAAAACAGACATTCATGAATGATCTTCAAACAGACATTCATGAATGATCTCCAAACAGACATTCATCAATGATCTTCAAACAGACATTCATCAATGATCTCCAAGACATTCATCAATGATCTCCAAAACATTCATCAATGATCTCCAAGACATTCATCAATGATCTCCAAGACATTCATCAATGATCTCCAAGACATTCATCAATGATCTCCAAGACATTCATCAATGATCTCCAAGACATTCATCAATGATCTTCAAGACATTCATCAATGATCTCCAAGACATTCATCAATGATCTTCAAGACATTCATCAATGATCTTCAAAACATTCATCAATGATCTTCAAGACATTCATCAATGATCTTCAAGACATTCATCAATGATCTCCAAGACATTCATCAATGATCTCCAAGACATTCATCAATGATCTTCAAGACATTCATCAATGATCTTCAAGACATTCATCAATGATCTTCAAGACATTCACCAATGATCTTCAAGACATTCACCAATGATCTTCAAGACATTCATCAATGATCTTCAGGACATTCAAATTTCCCCTACCTTGAAGTAGTATACGAGCAGTTCCAACAGCAGCTTCAGTGAACAATCTCTTGGATTGCAGGATATCCTGAAACGGACATGCATCAGCATGAAAATCAGTGAGTCAGAAAACACCAAACAAATGTAACTCAGGTTGCAGATGTTAATGACTTTGGATAAACATATGAGAATGGATTGTGAAGTGAAAGAAGGAGCCCTCTCAGGAAGTCAACTAATTGGCTAATTCTGATTCAACGAAGGGGGACAACTCTATACAGTAGATTGTGATATACTCAGCCACTGATCCACCTTGACCCTGGTTGTAACAGATTGAATCTGTGGCACTCAGTGATACACCATACAGAACTCCAGATCTGAGAGAGTGAGTGAGTTTTGAGTTTTATGCCGCTTTTAGCAATATTCCAGCAATATCACGGCGAGGGAGACCAGGAATGGGCTTCACACATTGTACCCATGTGGGGAATCGAACCCAGGCCTTCGGCGTGATGAGCCAACACTTTAACCACTAGGCTACCCCACTGCCCAACTCCAGATATGAAGTTCATCTGTGTAAAACAGGTATGCAATATCAATACTTATATACTGACTACTGACATATTGTTACATGGGTCACAGATAACTTTCTGGTAACACAAGCAAGTGTAACAGCTAAGAGGAAACATCTAAAATGACAAATCATGCCGAAATCCATACAATATTTGTATGTGTAAATATTACCTAAATCAGAATATTTATCATACAGATATACTTATCATGACACAGACTATGAAAATTTACTCTTCATTCTCAGAAACACAGAACCCAAAACGTGCTTGTCTGTCATAACCGTTAAGTACAGATTTTAGTACCTTTGGGGCTTAGTCCCATCTGGGATTCAACCGTCTTCAGGGTGAGGCACCTAATTGCCAGCACATGAAGTAAGCAATCTAACCTCCTCAGCCACTGCAGCTTCCACAAAAGTCTGACAACTGTTATCTCGACTCCATTTGTTAAGGTCAGATACGTTTAATAAATAACAGCCTCCATTGTTAAGCTATGAATCAACATGTTTAAATAACAAAATATCAATTTTATCATTGTTTAGGTATGAATTTTCCCTTATCCATAACTGAATCATGCTATATTCATCTGGAAGGTGAGAAACAGATGGTGGGTCAGCCACCCATTTGTCAATATAGCTTAAGTTATACTTACTGGGAGCTGAATCACGGACCCATCTGTTAAGGTAATTTTGAGAAATTGGGACCACCATGTTGAATAAATACACCTTAGTTATTTACTGAATCGAGACCCATTTAATAAGGTAGTATCTATACCATAACTAAATAGCTGCAACCCATCTGTTAAGCTAAGAAGGTTACCATAACTGAATCAAGACCCATCTGTTAAGGTAAGGAACGTTACCATAACTGAATCGCGACCATCTGTTAAGGTAAGAACGTTACCATAACTAAATCGCGACCAGCTGTTAAGGTAAGTAGGTTACCATAACCGACCATCTGTTAAGGTAAGAACGTTACCATAACTGAGTCTATATCACTTATGTACGACTTATTGTTACAGGTAAGAGACTTTTCTACCTAATAGCATCTACAATCGTGATACGGGTGAGTTTCTCATCTTCTGATCTGTTAAGGTAAGCTACTACTAGTGGTCCGAACTGGTGTATCCCAGGTACATCTTCTGTAGTGATATCCCTCAGATAATGATTCGCAAATACTGTGTCCAATCTCCAAAAGCAGCCCTCCATTATCGATGATAATGAGCAATTCCCATGTAATGGCGAGTGTTGAGGCTAACACTCTAATCTCATGTGGGTTCCATGCCGTCGGCGGGTCTAAGCCTGCTGCTCTGTGAGCTCGTTGAATAACAGCTCTGATCCAAAATGAGATTGTGGTTCGTGACACTTCAATAGTCAAGGCGGGTGATAGCGGGATGAAAAGACACTTGGACTTTCTCTTCCTAGTAGTAGTTTTCTATAGGTATATTTTCAGTGCTCTGGCCGGACACAATGACAGGTCTTGTGTATCGTCTGGTCCCAATATCGTAGATAATGCTGGAACATGAAATTGTCTATATGGCAGGCCTGGTAGTTGATTTTTTGCCTAAAATCCCATCTAAGTCCTAAGTGGACTGCAGCATGTTGTCCATTGTCGAACCTAGTTCGTCCGAAATCTAGGGCATGTATTTCCATATTTCTTGCCACTGAAGCCAGTGCGAGGAGAAATAACGTCTTTTGTGTTAGTTGCTCAAAAGTTGTCTGTCTCAGTGGTTCATACGCATCACTGGTCAAGTGTTGCAGTACTACGTTGAGATCCCAGGCTGGTGCTCTGAATCTCCGTTGTTGATCTTCCAACTTGAACGATCTCAATAAGGCGATGAGTTTTGGTACTTTGGTTAGTTTGACTTCCGAATCCATGGTAATCACTGAGCTGATCCCTTGAGGTGTCTAGTAACCCTCAGATGACATAAGTAAACTGCTAACTTGCGGCTGTGAGGCCTTAACAGCTGAGAATCCTTTCTGAGTAGCAAACTGGTCAAAACTTTTCCATTTATTGTCGTAGAGGTTCCTAGTTGAAGGTTTTACAGCCATTGTGACTGCCTTAGCTGCTCTCGTGGAATAACATCTTTTCTTCAAGCAGTCCGCAATACAGTCCACACGTGAAGTTGAAATCCCATCAGATTGTTGTGGCGCTGTAGTGTGTGTGGATGGATCAGTAGATTTCGAGAGGCGCATTGTTGGTCCTATGAGCTGTATTAAGTCTGGAAACCAAATTCTTGCTGGCCAGTAGAACGTGACCAAAAGCAGACGTAGTACCCTGGCCTGTGCTATTTTGTGTAGTACTTGTGGTAACAGGACCGGCGTCGGAAATGCATATGCGTTTAGTCCTTCCCATGGGATTGACAGTGCGTCGAGAACCCAGGCTCGATGTCCAACATAGTAGGTACGATGTTAGATGTGGAGGTATGGCAATACTCTGCAGACTGAAGAGATGAGGCTTGAGAAAGTATTGTAACGGTCTCAACTGTAACCTTCCTCTGCATGTGAGAGCTTGTGCTGGCGTCAGGAGGCCTAGTAGACACTGCCACTTCCTTATTGGTAGAGGGTAGTTGAGAGCGTCTGGAAGACACGCTTGTATGTTCGCCCATTGATTCTCCGGAATAGTGATGTGATTCAGTGTAGTCTGGAATCTGATTCCTAGAAACTGTATGTCTGCGATGGTTCTATGGGAACAACTGGGAGTGGAATGCACCAATCGCTCCGAAACTGATCTTCATTGTCGTGATGCCCTGGAGTATCCATAGGAACGCCCTTTGCCTGAACTTCCCCTGGAGTTATCAGATGACCGATGAAATGACGACCACTTGCCACCTCTATTTGTAGGATATTTCTTTTCCTTGGCCTTCTAGATACCCGAAAATCTTGATTGGAGGAACTGGTTATGGTCGTAGTGTCCTCTACTCGATAACTGCGTGACTTGGAGTTGCTAAGCAAAGATAAGTCATCGTCAATCTCCGGTGCCTTGAGGAACTGTTCCATATTGTGTAGAGGGAATTTCCGTGCGATGAAGGATGGCGTATGTTGCCCTTGGTTCTTGGTAGTTTTCGCAAATGCTGCCTTGAGATTTTCCGGTACCTGAGATATCGGCTTCATCGGTGGGATGGTGATAGAATCAAAGTCATCATCTTGAATACAATAAGTATCCACAGGGTTGGAGTGTCGGGTAGGTGAGGATGTAGGCAAACCACCAGCAATCCATGATACAACCTCCGCATCATTGTAGATATAGGAGCCTGATTCATCATCATCCATAAATAGAACAACTTCTGCTGTAGGGTTCGCGAACCCTGTAGATGGTCGTGGTTCTGGTAGTTGACGCTAAGAGTTAAGTCGATGTTCCATAGCTTGGATAATAAGTAATATTATCAACAAAATCGTCTGGCCTGTGTAGTTGCTTGATGATGAGGTATAATCTCAAGAGGTTTGTGAACCTGGCTGGATGACATCGGTGATGAGGTAGCGTTCATGAACTCTAGCGGGTTGTCTACAATCTGGTCTGCGTAGACGTAGGCCACCTGTTGGTCTGAGGGTTTGCAAACCCTGACTACATCATAGATAAACTGCAAGGAGTAGATTGCCTCGACATCGACGTAGTAGATGTGTGACTGGAATGCATTGTGGGGTTAGCAACCCCCATCGTCGTAACTGGAGACAATAGTTGAGGTCTTATGAAGATCTACGGCTCCAAGGTTGGAGGCTGCGACAAAGACAAGTTGAGAACTTCGTCAGCAGACACTAGGTCGTTGGCAAACGTCCTAACTTGGGCAGTCGGTACGGCAGGTCTGGTAGATCTCGACGATGATCTAGACTTTGATGGCCTCGACTTCCTCGTCTGCGATGACGTAGACTTTTGGTGACTCCGATACATTAATAGATGTATTGGCAGATGACATATTGTATTATTAGATAATAAAGGCAGCAACTCACAATTTGATGACTGAGAACCAACCCTCACAGTGTAAGTCTTGTTATCACGCCGTACCCTGCCTAAGTTTTTTTTGCGTAAACAACACAATAAATATTTATCAAACTCAATTGTAGACAAATGTGTGCAATATATACAACATAAACGTAAGTTTTAGATAATATTTTACATGAATAATTCAACAATTAGTTGACATAATGCCTAAACTATACATTCACGGCATGACTTAGATCAAAAGCCTAAAGATAACAAAGGATATAAGCCACAAAGGGACCCAAGGTATCCGCCCAACCGTCTGCCAAGAGCATGCCTCTGTATTGGTCACGTGGGACGCAGTGGGGGGAAAAGTGGAAGGGAGGTAACCCAACTGAGTGAGTGATTTTATGTTAGCTTTAGGGAGCAAAGGGATTCAAGTTTCCACATACCGTTTGAGGGAAAAGGGAGATAAGCACATAGCATGAGTCAGGATAAGGAAAAATAATGCCTTTTCGAAAGTGGTCAAATCAGGATAAAGTGTCTACCTGTGTGTCATTTATGACTGTGTCGAGCTTGACCTGTGTCAGAATGATGATTTGCCTCCCACAGTGAAGAGAGAGTTCAGGGGTCAAGGACTTCAGGAGGTCAAAATACTCTTCAAGCTGAAAGAGGGCATCCATTGCAGGAAATTGGTATAACACTGATTCCTATTTCAGAGGAAAACATGTGACATATTTTTATTCAGGAGAAAAATCAATAAATGCTCCTATGGCATAGGGTGAGTAAGTGAGTATGGTATTACATGGTATTACAACAGAAATATTCCAGCAATATCACAGCAGGGGACACCAGAAACGGGCTTCACACATTGTACCCATGTGGGGAATCAAACCCAGATCTTCGGCGTGATGGGCGAATGCTTTAACCACTAGGCTACCCCACCGCCCCGAAAATGCCTTGCGATGATATGCATTATACAAAGCCAGTAATTGTACAAACCTGTAGAGGTTACTGATTCTTTGAAGAAAGTCCTCCTTGGGCTACATATAAGCATTAAAATGATTTTCGAGACTCTTTCAAGGTTGTGTCTAAAAGTAAAGGTTTTTCAAAAGGGAATTTAAGTTCAAGTTGAAGCCTGTATGAACCTGGATTTTTGTTGTTGAAACATTCAAATTAGCAAAGACACACTTAGACATCTTTAGGAAAGGAAATCAGTGAAAATCCAGTAAGGAATCTATGTTTTCCAAGAAAAGGTTATTTCAGCATCATTGTCTACTTGCTGGTCACTGACCCTGTTGTGAGACACCAGCCACTGAAGCCGGAAGAAGTACAGCTCTGTTTCCAGCTTCATGCCATATGTGGTGATAAGCTGGACTGCATCCGTTATACACGTCGTCATGTCACGCGCCAGGATGTGGTACATCGTTTGCTACAACAATACGCACAGAATATTATTCGTAGGAGTATTTTCTAACAGGCATTTGTATTGGGCACTTAACAGCAGTCAGTATATCAATCTTTAGCAATAGTGGCAATATTCAATTATTATTAAGTATTAGTATTTGTGAATGAAGAACCTGTGAAGATCCAGGTTAGAAGTGGTCTTCAGAAACACATGCTTTTGTAAGAGATGGGATCGGTATGGGATCAGGTGGTCAGGCTCGCTGACTTGGTGGCCACATGTAATCATATCCCAATTGCCTAGATCAATGCTCATGGCCAGCGTTAAACAACAAACAAAACAAAACGTGAATGAAGAATAAAAGAATGAACAAACCAACACTCTTTACTTTGTGAAAGCATGCTTATCCAAGGATTGCTGGGGCAACCCATACTCATAACGATCTCAACCATGTGAATATTGCTTTATATCTTTATTTTGGTAACCACTGAAAAAAACACACACCAAAAATGAGCTTAAATACTCCGAAAACTGTTGTAGTAAAATATCTGACGAATTTCCTACCTGTATTTTACTTCTAGTTGGCTGACAGATGTTTTTCATGCCATATTTCTTCATTAATTTCTTCACTTCCAACAAGTGACATTCCTCTTTAACCCTCTTCACACTAAACAGAAACATCAAGTTAGGGATAAAATACATCTCCCACATGTTAAATACTTGTTTCAAAGAAGGAAATAACCATTCATAATGAGCACACTGCTATAGAGAATGCACAATATAATACATGCGTACAGATATCATTATTAAAATGATTGTGTTACCAGGTCCCAGTGTTAAACTAAAGACTCCTGTGAGTGGGATGTCAAGAAGGTATTCCTGAAATCATCATAACTCTCATAGTGACAGACCCTGATAAATCACTGGAGAAACCACCACATCCAGTGTTCTCACACATGTGCATCATTCAACACACATTAGTATGTCAATACTACACTACGTAAAATGGGCCATTATAATTGATGAATCCTATTATAAATGAGTATAAACCATGTGGTGTGTTCAAGAAAACAGTTTTCAGAGTGTCCTCAACACTTACATGGGATGATCTAACTGTAGGCCTCTCTGTATCAGCTGTTCCACATTGTTGCTCAACGGCGGCGATGCACGCTTCATCACCTCCAGGATTGCCTCCCCTTTCTCCTACAGCAACATTTTAAACATCAAGGTCCTGAGCTGAGGAGTGTCCAAACTACACTGAAGGTTATGATGAAGAGTTAAGCCAGCTGCTGGTGCTCCTTTATCATGTTTTGAGAGTTTAAACCAAAAATCATGAGTTTTTTAACCTTAAAAGGATATCATTTTGCTGCCCTTTCCATCAATTTGTACATAGACTTCAAATGAATAAAAGGATGAGTGCTAACCCATCTTACCTGGCCAGATAGATTTACTAAACCTGCTCTGAAATTATCACTTCATCCTGCAAGACATTAGATAAATACAAGAGACTGAAAGTGAAACGTGTGTAGCCTCACCCTTAGACCTTTGATGAAATCGATGACAGCAATGGCCTTGGTCTCCCACGCAGACTCCCCTGTGTAGGAGGTGATGTTGCTTGTCCGCTCCAGCAAATCCTAGTGGGACAACAGAAAGAGCATTATCATTAACATTATCCAACATGCCCATAACTGACATTGACTGTTAGTACAAATCTGGTCAATCTGTATGAATATTCTGTTTGATGTAATGTCACATCACTACTGATCCTCTGATTCTTCATGTTACAGTAGTGATCCTGCTTTTGATGCATGTAATTCATAGAACATCCCACTAGTGGCACAGAAAACTCATATGTGCTATGTCTTAAGTGAGTGAGGTTAGGCCAAATGTAAAAAATGTTGTGGTTTCCCGATTACACCTCTTTCAAATTCAGGGTAGGTAGGATTTTGGTGTTGTTTTTTTTACATTTTTCTAGAAGTAAAATACAAACTAATAACACATTTATCAATGTGTAATTGTTTGTTTAATCAAGCTTGCAGCCATCATGTCGACTTTTTCTATCAGAATGACCAGTGTCTGTCGGTGCCGAAAAAAACCAATGGTATCTGAAAGCTTATTTTATTCATACTGCTTAAAAACATAGGGTCGGCACCAGAATTCAAGGGTTGGTCGGGTAATCAGAACCACAACATTTTTTTTAGGCCTTATACACCAACCCGAGTGAGTGAGGGAAGTGTATTTCTGTAATGAAAGTTGCAGCCTGAGGTAAAGCAGCTTGTACATACAACATTTGTGTGATTCTAATGCTTAAAATACAGTAATCATAATTATGGAAAAATATTATTTGCAACCATGAACAAAAGTGAAGATAATGCTCTTCCTCATCATATATTTGAACATTTAGTTGTTCTCAATTTTACATGAACCTCTTCACCCTTTCTTTTGTAATTCAGCATTTTTTCTTAATGGTGATGCTTAATGTATATGACAGTTTGAAACTATCAGGTTACAGTATTATGACAAGTTTTCCAATTTTCAACATATAGAGGTTTAATGGTAATAACACTTACATTTAACACAAAGTGAACAAAGATCCAAACAATGAATAGTTTAGATACCTTTATATACTTGGAGAACACCTGATCCTCATTGAGCCTGTGTTCCCTCATGTAGGGTCGGATCTGCCTCTCCAGGGTCGGCACAATCAGCTCCAGGGCTACCACCTTGTCCAGCATNACACGGAACGCAACACTCCTCTGTCGATACCTTGATATCTCCTGCAGGAATTGGTACATGTGGCATATAGTGAATGTGTCCCCAGCCTGAGCTGGTCGTAACTGGTCATGTCATGGGTGGTCAGGCTCCGTCACAGGTACAATGGCACGGGACGGACAGATGGATGGACAGACAGACAGCAATAATCACTATTTTTCTCTGAACTTCTCTTAGTCCAGATATCCGAACAAAAAAGAGGTTGTTGCTATCATCCTGTTTGTATTAATCAAATACTAATGCAGGGTTTGATTTATGGAAATGAAACCTAATGCAACCTTAGGTAATTTTGTTGTTGTTCCAGACGAAAACAGATTGTGGCTGCTGATCAATGGAAAATTCTATATAATGCTTCAGCTTTGGTATTAGTGATCAAGAACATCATAATTCTGGGTCTGGTAAGATCATTCTATCTTACTTCATAAAATTTCATTAAATAATCCGTAACATTCATTTTAGATGCTTGACTGGCATTTTAGAAGTTGCTATTTGATGAACATAGAGATTTTTCTGGGTTACATCTTCTGTTTATTCTTGAGTACAACGTTTCAGGGCTTGTTCTGGCCCCATCATCAGGTAAAACACAGAATGAACTTACTGCATAAGAGATTGTTCATTCCATTATCTACTGCCTCCGCCTCGGAAGTCTCACTTACTACCTTGGCGTTTTGGATGAGAACTACGATCCTGCGTGCTTATGGCTTTGCTGACCTGCCTCCACCGTCGACGACGAAGCCTCACAAGACTCGGGCTCTCGCTTCCACCATGGCGCTTCACAGGAGTTGTTCCCTCCAGTCCATGTTTTTTTTAAATCAGATACTGTGTTCGCCTCACACTACCATCGTTACAGTTACCACCGAAGACGGACGGGGCTGAACAGCAGATGTAGATAAAACGACAACCCTAGGTGGTGGGGAGTCTTCCAAAGTGATAGGGCTGGATGCATGCGGACGGAAAAGTCGACGCAGATTTTCACTGAGGTAAGAATCAGACGCCTCCCCTAGGAAATCTTCATTAGGAGGCGGGGACTTCGAACGTCGAACTGCAGTTTTCTTATGGCGTTCCACCTTAGGACGTTTAGACGCAGACGGACCCTCAGATGTTTTGCGACGATCCCTGTCTGACATGCGTCTACAAGCTACCCGGCGATATTCAGAGAAAGCATCGTCGTCGAGGCCAGCACAAAAAGTGCAACGTTGAGACCAATCACAACGACCTAAACAATCAACACATAAAGCATGTGGATCTGCCGCCGAGAAATTACTGTTACAATTGTCACAATGTTTGCACTTCTTAGAACCATTACGATTTGATTTACCCATGACAAGCACACGTCCACACGCCGTAGCGACAAGAAAGAGAATTACAGGCACAGGTAGCCACGTGATCATCTGAGCGAGCTGCACGCTTATGGAGATGATTGACAGGTGCTGATGTCGGAGTGGGGGCAGAGGTCAGGGGGGTCAGAGGCCAGTAAGATTTGATTCAACTTAGCCTACAGCACGTTTTCACACATGGTCGTAGAAGAAGAAGAGAGGTGCATACCGTGAGATAGGATAAGTTAAAAAATAGAAGATGTAACCCAGAAAAATCTCTACGTTCAACATTCATTCTGCCACTGTATGTGTAGTCATAAGAGCCACTGCTCCAAGCCAGAGAAACATGTGCAAGCCTTGTGGGCACACACATTCTTTCATGATGTAGAGCCCAAGAATCAATTGCAAAGCTAACTTCCTGTTTTTGTTGCCAACATACTGCTTTCAGATAGCGCAATCTTTGCAGTTTGGTAGAGTTCTTAAAGAACCAAACAAGTGGTATGATTATTTTTTTGCTAAATTAGCAGAATATATTAACATGCACAGGGTGACAGCAGTCCAGCATATAACTAGATGACTTTGCACTAAACCAAGGTGTGCTCCATGTCTAGCCGGCGAATCCAAGTTCTTTGTCGCACTTCGCTAGGCAGAGAGGCACAACGGATTTAGGCAAACACGAGGATGGAAAACTCAACCTATTGACTAATACATGTGCATGGATCGATAAAATTTTCATTCATCTTCAAAACGAAACACTTACCTCCTCTAAAAACGACTCATTTTATTACTTAAATGACCTGAAACATTGAGACCCCACCAACTTTCTACCATTTGTCGGTAATACTGTTATGGTAATTAGCGGTTGAATAAAAAGTGGAAACGCATTAAAACGTATTTACGAACAAATAGAAACTGCTGAAAGTTCGTCCCCCTTCCCCCGACTTCAGAGCGTCATGTAATCACGGTCCGTTTAATACGATTCCATTTTTTGATACAACTGCTAATTACCATAACCAAAATGATCGGCAAATGGTGGATAGTTGGTGGGGGTCTTTATGTTTCAGGTCATTTAGTAATAAAGTGAATCGATTTTAGTGGAGGTAAGTGTCCCGTTTTGAAGACGAATGTTTGTTTTAGCAATACATGCACATGCATCAGTCGATAGGTTGAGTTTTCATTCTTGTTTTTGCCTTACACTGTTCCCGCTCAAATTTCTTGCGGAAAGGTGCGTCAAAGAAATGCACTCGCCGTATAAACTTGATGTAGGCCCTGGCTGGAATACGAATTTATTCATATGAGCTAAGGGTGACAGTTGCTAAAATGAAGTTGCATTTTGCAAGGATGCAACTTTAAAACATGAATTGATACATGGGCCATATTTCAAGGCGTAAATCAACCTTTTGTGGGTAGGGCTGTGGCACTGTACATTGATGCCATATCCTCCAAGAATACAAATGAAATGAGAACTAGGTGGTCAGTGTGTGTTATGGCCAATAGTCATTTATATTCCAGGATGTGTGGGATATGGGAAGTGTTGATTGCCAGATGTACCCACAATACTTTGACTTGAGTGAGTGAGTTTAGTTTTACGCTGCGTTTAGCAATATGTGAGCAAAATCACGGCGGAGGACACCAGAAATGGGCTTTACACATTGTGCCCATGTGGGGAATCGAACTCGGGTCTTTGGCGTGACGAGCGAACGCCTTAACCACTAGGCTACCCCACTGCCTACTGACCTTGAGAAACTCTGTAAGTCGAAGGTTACACTTGTACTTGTTGTGGAGATTACAGAGATGCTTCAAGGACGTCATCATCTCCTGCAGAGGCTGCAGGGTCTTCTCACTCTTGTTCCTACTCTGTAACATAGGCTCCTCGTCAGCATGTGTACACTACCTGGACATCTACTGACATTAATATGCAGGGGTGGAAATAACTTTAAAATTGCTAGTGTACTCCGGAACAGTGACACATGTAAAATCACTTGCTCTGATAATTTTGACATTATACCGACCGTTTTCTTGTTGATTTTTAAAAATAAACAACATAATTAACATTGCAAAGTCAACTGGACACCGGTACAGTGTGATATACAAATTTGCTTGCCTGACAGAAAAAAACACTGGACTTGGACGTCGGGCAATGGGTTATTTCCACCCCTGATATGCAGTTGGTCAGATAATAATTGATACACATGCTCCGGGTTCCAGTACGCACAAATGTAGAGAATGGATGCAGAAAACAATTCACTGCGTCCAGAGGGATGCACAATATTATCCAGTGTACCTACAACACATCTATGACTCTGCTAAGTGTTTTGTTGTTTCTTTCAGAGCAGTTGCGAGCATCATTTCACCCATCAGTTCACATGATCAATGATTCATTCCAGGCCTGCAAGGACCCTTAAAACTAATAATCAGGGGTCCCTGGGCCCCATATTTGTGAGTCTCGGTAAACCCTGCATGCTATATATGTATATTGTAAACCAAAAGTCACTGTGTCCTTTAATTTGATTGGTTGAAAAACATGATCGAATGGTATTCGATTCCTGGAAATTGCAAGACCATTCGCTGCGTATTAATATATACAAACATCGCAAACACCATTGTATTGTTGCGTCGTCAGCAGTTGTGACGTCATTCAAATCATATTGTGACGTAAAGTCCGAATGACGTCACAAATGAGCAGTTCCAGATGCTACCATGGGAGACAGCCGAAACGGCCGGCTGATGACACTTTACTGCTGTACCCGTACTCGATGTCAATGAGTGCAGACACAAAAAACGTGTGTGGACCCTTTGGTTTACTTTTGTGTTTACAATGTCGATAAACATGTGTTGGCCAATTTCCGTGTGCTATTGCCGTCGGTTCCAAATGAATTCCTGTGTTTATCTCCTAATTGTTATGGTTACAACAATTTGTGTGCATAAAATGGCTTAATGTGAAGTCCAAAAATACCATGTTAAGACTGAAATGAATAATGACTGAACCAGTTAATATGAAATTTTCATCAAATAATCTAACAGTACCTTTCTGACATTTTCAGATGGATTATGTCCTGAAGTGGTTGTCAGTTTCAGAGCCTCACTCACACTCCTGTGTGTCTCCTGAAGGAAGCCCAGGGCATTTCTCTGGCCATGCAGTCTGAAACATGCAAAGTCATGCCACTGTTGGTCCTACTCAAACACTGCACTAATTCCATACATACAGCTACATCACATGACTTATCTTGCAACTTGTTTTGTCAAGCACTAAAGCTAAAAGATCTGGTGGCTAAGCTAGAAAATTGGAATCTTTAAACTGAATCCTATGTTTTTCAACAGTTGTCTAAATAGTTGAGTTTTACCATGTCTCAGGGTAGGTCGCTTGCTCTGTTGATTAGGCATTGTACTGACTGACTGACTGACTGAGTTTGGTTTTACTCCGCTTTTAGCAATATCCCAGCAATATCACAGCGGGGACACCAGAAATGGGCTTCACACATTGTACCCATGTGGGGATTCGAACCCGGGTCTTCGGCATGACGAGCCAATGCTTTAACCATTAGGCTACCCCATCGCCCTGTTTAGGCATTGTATATGAAGTAAGTATCAAGTTTAGAGTACAGTTTAACATTCAGCCCATTCCATCGGTATGGAAATGATGAAGGACTGTCTAACTCACTCACTCATTCAGTCAGGTTAGGGTGACACTTAATGAAGTAAGTGATTAAGCTTTACAGTTCAATCTTGTCATCTCTCTATGAACAAGCACAGATTGCTGGGGAACAATCCTAACCCTGAATCTCCCGGGGTGTGGGTGGTCTTAAATGGGGAGGTTCCACCTAAAATATAACAGCACACATACCTTTTCCAGGAGTTCCATGTTTAGGGCCTTTTGAATAACCCAGCTTACAACGTTGAACTGGAAATCAGGAAAGATTATCATGTTTATCAACAGTTAAATTAGTCGAACTGAATAATGAAACAAATCCCATACTGATAATAGCAATATAACAGCATCCCACACATATATGATAAATAAGACCATGTCAAGGCAAATCAACAAACTGCATGTGTACATGTTGGTGAGGGTATCAGGTGTCCTGTGTTGGCCATTGGTTTACCTCAAACAAGGCCTGTGTTGAACAGAGCGGTGCTTGGAATGTCTGTGGCAGTCTCTATAGGTCACCAATGCATGAATCGAGACCAGCTAACAACTCACCAATGCATGGATCAAGACAAGCTAACAACTCACCAATGCATGGATCAAGACCAGCTAACAACTCACCAATGCATGGATCGAGACCAGCTAACAACTCACCAATGCATGGATCAAGACCAGCTAACAACTTACCAGTGCATGGATCAAGACCAGCTAACAACTCACCAATGCATGGATCGAGACCAGCTAACAACTCACCAATGCATGGATCAAGACCAGCTAACAACTCACCAATGCATGGATCAAGACCAGCTAACAACTCACCAATGCATGGATCGAGACCAGCTAACAACTCACCAATGCATGGATCGAGACCTGCTAACAACTCACCAATGCATGGATCAAGACCAGCTAACAACTCACCAATGCATGGATCGAGACCTGCTAACAACTCACCAATGCATGGATCAAGACCAGCTAACAACTCACCAATGCATGGATCGAGACCAGCTAACAACTCACCAATGCATGGATCGAGACCTGCTAACAACTCACCAATGCATGGATCAAGACCAGCTAACAACTCACCAATGCATGGATCGAGACCAGCTAACAACTCACCAATGCATGGATCAAGACCTGCTAACAACTCACCAATGCATGGATCAGGACCAGCTAACAACTCACCAATGCATGGATCGAGACCAGCTAACAACTCACCAATGCATGGATCGAGACCAGCTAACAACTCACCAATGCATGGATCGAGACCAGCTAACAACTCACCAATGCATGGATCGAGACCTGCTAACAACTCACCAATGCATGGATCAAGACCAGCTAACAACTCACCAATGCATGGATCGAGACCAGCTAACAACTCACCAATGCATGGATCAAGACCTGCTAACAACTCACCAATGCATGGATCAAGACCAGCTAACAACTCACCAATGCATGGATCGAGACCAGCTAACAACTCACCAATGCATGGATCGAGACCTGCTAACAACTCACCAATGCATGGATCGAGACCAGCTAACAACTCACCAATGCATGGATCGAGACCAGCTAACAACTCACCAATGCATGGATCAAGACCAGCTAACAACTCACCAATGCATGGATCGAGACCAGCTAACAACTCACCAATGCATGGATCGAGACCAGCTAACAACTCACCAATGCATGGATCAAGACCTGCTAACAACTCACCAATGCATGGGGCAGCTTTGTGCCAATGTGGGGTATGAGGGACGTCAGCAGCCAGCCCTGGATGTCTGAGGCGGTCATCTGGTCAGGGATCTCAGACAAGAAGTGGTCAATTACAGATGGAGTCAGTTTATCACCCCAGTCATTCTGGAAGAGAGAATATCCCTTGCTTAGTGTTACAGTAAAGGCACATTTATCCTACTTAAAGAGAACATTATTGAACATCAATGCTTGGAGATGGGTGTTTCTTGCTGCAACTACCACCATGCCAACATCACACCCAATACTCACCCTGGTGTGTGTGTCAAACTTGGTGTCCACAGTCCAACCTACCTGGTGTCTGTCCACAGTCTACCTGTCTGCCAATACACCATCTGTTTCACCTACCTGGTGTCTGTCCACAGTCTACTTGTCTGCCAATACACCACCTGTTTCACCTACCTGGTGTTTGTATACAGTCCCACCTGTTTCACCTACCTGGTGTCTGTCCGCAGTCCCACCTGTTCCACCTACCTGGTGTTTGTCCACAGTCCCACTTGTTCCACCTACCTGGTGTCTGGTCCACAGTGTAAATGCCATGTGTGTATTGCCGTCTCTCATTGATCTCAGACATTCCTTCAGTGTGTCCATCCTAGAGAAGTGTTCCCAGGTATCAGCTCTGTAACAACGGTAACCCATATACTGTGAGTGAGTGAGTGAGTTAGCATGTATATAGATAAGCTAGTCAGGACCAAGCAAATCAGAGCAGGGTGCCGTTGTACAAAACAACCTTAGCACTAAGACTACCTTAAGTCTATGTTAAGGTATGGGAGTTACAGTCACCTTAGCACTAAGACTACCTGAAGTCTATGTTAAGGTATGGGAGTTACGGCCACCTTTGCCCTAAGATCACTTTGTACAACGGCACCCTGGACAATAAGCCCAACAATCCACTCCATCAGGACACAGCCTAGTTTCCCATTGTTTGTCGCTGTGTGTTTTCACACTGAGTAATAATCCAGCTACATCTGGACAAGATAATCCTGTGATCAATATCATGAGCAGCGATCCATATGCCCGAGAGTATGCTGAAATTTCACGAACCATTCATTTAGTAGTCTCTTAAGAACAGCAAGTTTATGTCCCAGGGGACGTACAGAAAGAGAGATTCAAGAAGTCTGCTACCATGGTTACCTGTATTTATTTGATCCATAAACGTATCTGTAAGTCATCAGACGTCCCTCAGTGCTCAGTAGCTGGAGAAAAGGGAAACAGTTGATATGCAGTGTATCTAGTGACATTAATACTGGTTATACCAGGTTGTAATTGATCAGCTCTCACAAGCTTGTGACTGACCAGTATTACTGAACCTGAACTTGGGTGTTGGGGTCCATACTTGACCGAAACTTCAGCATTGGGGACCATACTGGACCTGAACTTGAGCATTGGGGACTATACTGGACCTGAACTTGGGTATTTGGGATCATGCTGGACCTGAATTTGGGTATTGGGAGCATACTGGACCTTAACTTAGGTATTGGGGGCCATACTTGACCTGGACTAAGGGACCATACTTGACCTGAACTTGGGCATTGGGGACTATACTGGACCTGAACTTGGGCATTGGGGACCATACTGGACCTGAACTTGAGCATTGGGGACCATACTTGACCTGAACTTGAGCATTGGGGACTATACTTGACCTGAACTTGGGCATTGGGGACTATACTGGACCTGAACTTGAGCATTGGGGACCATACTGGACCTGAACTTGAGCATTGGGGACTATACTGGACCTGAATTTGGGTATTCGGGGCAAACTGGACCTTAACTTAGGTATTGGGGACCATTCTTGACCTGGACTTAGGGACCATACTGGACCTGAACTTGATAAATTGGGGACTATACTGGACCTGAACTTGAGCATTGGGGACCATACTGGACCTGAACTTGGGTATTTGGGATCATGCTGGACCTGAATTTGGGTATGGGGAGCATACTGGACCTTAACTTAGGTATTTGGGGCCATACTTGACCTGGACTTAGGGACCATACTTGACCTGAACTTGGGCATTGGGGAGCATACTGGACCTGAATTTGGGTATGGGGAGCATACTGGACCTTAACTTAGGTATTTGGGGCCATACTTGACCTGGACTTAGGGACCATACTGGACCTGAACTTGGGCATTGGGGAGCATACTGGACCTGAATTTGGGCATTTGGGACCATACTGGACCTGCCCTTGAGCATTGGGGACTATACTGGACCTGAACTTGGGCATTGGGGACTATACTGGACCTGAACTTGAGCATTGGGGACCATACTGGACCTGAACTTGGGTATTGGGGACTATACTGGACCTGAACTTGAGCATTGGGGACCATACTGGACCTGAACTTGGGTACTGAGGACCTGATCAGACCTAAACCTAACACCTTAGGACTTATTGTGACAGAGACTTCCCACAAGGGAGACAAGCAAGGAGACCTGACCGGGACTAAGCTTGAGTGCCGGGGACATATTCTGGCACAGACTTAGCAAAAGAGAGACATGCATGGGGTACAGTAGGGACCTGCAAGACACCTTTACTCCTTGCGTGACCTACTTTGATGACCTAAGACTCACCTTTGTCATCAGTGTTTCATCTGGGTTGGGTGATTTCCTCAGCTGTAAACATAGATTGGTTGCTTTGATAGAAAGCAATGACATAACCTGTATTAGATACACATACTTCAACCTAAATCAGGAAAGAGAATGGAAATGATTTAGATCACTAAGGCATGGATGCTATATGAAAACAACCCATTTGGACTATTATGTTATTTCACTACATTCACATACCGGTATATTCCACATGGTCAGGTCTTGACAAGGAAATTAAATGACATCTAGACACTGCGACCACTAATCCTTATTTCAGAGTCGAGGGTGAACATGCTGTTTAGAGTGTTATGGCAGCTTATTTTAGGAGGAATTTCTGACATGATGCAGGCCCTTACAGAAATAGAAATATAATCACAGCAAATCTGAGACTTTGGCATCCCCAAGGGAAGTAACTAGTACCAAAGTCACATTCACTTTATTTGAATGAAATAGGTTTAAACCAAAAGCAACTCACCCTGGTCTTACAGAAGATGAGGAGTTTCCAAGTCTCGTCAAATGATGGTAATGCCGCTCTCATACACTTTTCTGCTATGTCAGTATCATCCTGCATAACATCAGAAGCATTTAATCAGCTGATGCTTTGCTACTTTGATAATCTACACCACAAGGAATGAAATAATCTACAATTTAGTCCACATTTTGTAATTCAAAGAAAAGAGATACTGATAAAGTAATCAGTCAATCTTGCAGAATGTCCTAAATCAGATTACACAGATGATGAACTCATTATGGGCTCAAACAGAATAGATACATCACTGTCAGAGCTATCTAAATTATTCTTGCATTGTAACTTGAAAAGTTATTTTAAAGATACTTCAAACAGGGGCATCTATGTCTATAGCTCTATCTCCAAACCTTAAATTTTCATCATTTTTAAAGCTCTCAACATAGAAACAGAAAAAGGTGCACTGGCTAGCAATTGCTGCACTTTAAACATAGAACAATAACCATTGAAAACATGATAAAACATGTCTTACATAGCTTGCAAACATTTGACAACGTATGAGTTATACACTCAACTAAAGGCATATTTATAATTATTTTGTTTAATTGACTTTCGGGTTCCTCTGAAACTGAGATTGATTTGAGAAACATTGAAATATTGATATCCAACCTTAATGTTGTTTAAACAGTCCCAGAGTTGAGTGAGAAGGTCAGCTACCATGTCCGAATCACACTTGTGGACATTCCAGGGAGACAACTGGTCAAGAATGTAGCTCAGTTTCACTTTGTAGACAAGCTGAAATGGCAGTATCTACATGTGTATCATGCTGTTGATATTTTACCTTCACTGTTACCTTGAAAACGTTTGTTTAAGTAACAGGCAAATGTTCAACAACTAACATGCATTTTGTTTTTATCCGATATAGATGACAGAACATATGAGTGAGTGAGTGAGTTTAGTTTTATGCCGCACTCAGCAATATTCCAGCTATATGGCGGCTTTCTGTAAATAATCAAGTCTGGACCAGACAATCTAGTGATCAACAGCATGAGCATTGATCTGCGTAATTGGGAACCGATAACATGTGTCAACCAAGTCAGCAAGCCTGACCACCCGATCCCGTTAGTCGCCTCGAACATATATATGACATCAATATGATGAAATCTGATAGTTTTCAGTGAGATAAAACATTGCTAAGAAAGGGTTTAGGACATTTGACTCGTTTCAATTTCAATGTCTGGAAAAAGTACCGGTATATTAAAATTCCATACTGTAATAAATGCTTGTTACACCAGACTTGTTCAGTAAAGTTGGCATGAACCAGTAGTGGTTTAGAACCACTCTCCTACCCAGAGTTCCATGCGGCAAGCCAGCATAGTACCTCTGCCACAGGCCAGAAAAATGTGACGATTCGTCACATCTTGCAATGTCCATTCAATATAAAGTACAGATTTCTTTTACTCTTTTATTTTTGACGAGTCTACACATCTAACTAAACATCTTGAATAGAATGGTTTAGTTTCACTGAGAAAATATCCAAAAACATGTAACACAATTTCGATTTGCGTAGCGATTCTTTGTTTACATAGGTTGTACGGCTCCACGTGCTGTCATCGAAGCTGATGGAGAGCAAACGATGCAGCCAGTTTGATATCTAAATATGTACTGTCATAGACCTTACTGTCGCTGTTGTGGAAGAATATATATGTAACAATGTAAAACATTATGAAGAGAGCGCCCAAAAGCTTTCATGAGTCCAGTCTCTTTTTATTATAAATATGCACGTTTGTTTACAAACAAGAGAAAAGTCCGGTCACGTGATATGCAAATTAGCCTGTGGCAGCGATGTTATGTTAGTCATCGCTGTGCCGGAGTGTGGTTTAGAACATGAGTGACTGAGCTGGGTTTAATGCCACATTGAATGGTATTCCAACTGTATGATGGCGAACCAGCTGAATGTGGGAGAAAAGCTTGATGTGAAGCAGGTCTCGGATGTTTACCACTTAGCTAAAACCTGGGAGCATGGGAATGGTGCTGACATCCTGTGTGCCCAAGGGAAGTAACTCTGTACATGAGATTGTGGTGTCAACCATATCCCTAGTTGTTCAACATGTTCAGAATTGTTATCGAAAGAGAAACTGACTTGGCACAAACCTCAGTGTCCAGGTTAAACATCCTAGCAAACTTCTCGGCCTCATCAAACCGCTGCTTGTGCAGAATCCTGTACAGCCTGGGAACAAACATTCCACATCAATATAAGCATAAAAATGTTTTTGTATTCAGCACACACACGGTTATTGCCAGATTGGTCTTCATATCGACAGCAGCTCTTCTGTGACAAGAAGGTGGTGTGAGTAGATGTCAAATTAATCAGACTAAAATCAGTGATGATGTTTGTGTGTTTCTTAATATTACACGATCAAGCAAAAGTCAACTGTGATACCACTAAATAGGGATTCTGAGGTAAAAATTCTGAAGTATTTATGAACTTTTCTTGCCTTCATATGAAGTCATAATGTGATTGAGCTCTTCAGGACATAAACATTCTCTTCAAATCAGATGCCTCACCTTGTCTGTGGATTTGTCTCTGTCAAACATCGGAACCTCACAGTGGCAGACAGGCCTGGCTTCCTGGAAACATTGTGTGGACATCGGTGAGTGAGTGAGTGAGTGAGTGAGTGAGTGAGTGAGTGAGTGAGTGAGTGAGTGAGTGAGTGAGTGAGTGAGTGAGTGAGTGAGTGAGTGAGTGAGTGAGTGAGTGAGTGAGTGAGTGAGTGGTATTGTCACACCTGCCTACTGGGACACAAATTAAAATAACATTGTAAATACCCATGTATTCTGTTTGTATTCTGGTAATCTGTTTGTGCCAAATGTAATGTTAGATGTTATGATGAAGTTTGTTCAGCACAGCTCATTCTCTGTGATCAACCTGTCTCCTGAAAATTAAGTGAAGGTCACCAAAATCGACTTGGCCCTGCGCCTTCCCTCGATGAAGCTTGATGTCAAATATGAAGAAAATCCAGTGAACGGTTCTTGAGGTATCTCGCTGACAAGCTTAACATGCTAAAATCTTCAAAGTGTCGCCATGACCTTGAAAATTAGGTGAAGGTCACCAAAATCGACTGGCCCTGCGCCTTCCCTAGATAAAGCTTGGTGTTGAATATGAAGAAAATCCAGTTTACAGTTCTTGAGATATCTCGCTGACAAGGGTAAAACGTTAAAATCCCCTTGTGACCTTGAAATGAAGGTCAGTGTCACCAAACCTAACTGTAACCTTTCTTTTACTGTGATGAACCTAGGTACCAAATATGAAAAGAATCCAGTCAACGACTCTGAAGAGTACTTACAGACGGACGGATGGAGCCTAATGCTATATCCTCCGCTTCGCCGCTAAACGCGTGGCGGGGGATAACAACTGGGAGTACTTAGTGGCTAGAAATACAAGGCTGGTGGAACAGTTGGATTTTACGCCAGCATGGCTCTATACAGGTCAAGCAACTTCAGAATTGTTGTGGTACTTACTCTGAGGGACAGACCTCTGCCACGTACAGCACCTCCTGCAACAAAGACACATCAGTCTACAACATGGATACACTACACATACCTGTGTGGGGATACACTACATATACCTGTGTGGGGATACACTACACATACCTGTGTGGGGATACACTACATATACCTGTGTGGGGATACACTACATATACCTGTGGGGATACACTACATATACCTGTGTGGGGATACACTACACATACCTGTGTGGGGATACACTACATATACCTGTGGGGGATACACTACATATACCTGTGTGGGGATACGATACATATACCTGTGGGGGATACACTACACATACCTGTGTGGGGATACATACCTGTGGGGATACACTACATATACCTGTGGGGATACACTACATATACCTGTGTGGGGATACACTACACATACCTGTGTGGGGATACACTGGGAGAGGGTTGAATCTGCTGACAGTTGAAGTGAGTACACTGGTTTGAAGGATGGCATCTCACGGATAGACAAAGCACTGCAGCCATCGTCAGTTGCGGACATCACAACTAGCTTCATACTCATCAGGCTTGAAACGGAAACAACCAAAATGGAGGTGCTTATCTTCAATGCTTGTTTTGGTTGTATTTTGTTCAATATTTTATCAAACGAGATGAATAAAACAAATTCTCACAGCCCATACACATGAGAAGTAGATAAAACAAGAAAACATGGTCATCAATATCCCCTGCCAGTGTTCTGTTCCTATTTAGTTCCTCTTTTTTAACTTCACCACTATATTCATGTCCTGAAAACACATACCACATATCTATATTGGTTACTGAGAAAATCTGTTCCCATGGGGATACCGTGCACAAAGTCAAGAAAAACATGACAAGGGCCATAACTATCTAAAGAATCGGAACACGCTTTCCATTTTCAACTCCATCAAGGCATTCATGTCCTGAAAACACGTATCAAATTTAGTTTCCCCATCTATAACAGTTACTGAGAAAATCTGTTCCCATTGGGGATACCGCTCACTAAGTCAAGAAACGCATGACACCGGCCATTTTTCTGTAACAAATTGTAACACGCTTTCCATTTTCAAACTCCATCAAGGCATTCATGTCCTGAAAACACGTATCAAATTTGTTTCCCTATCTATAACAGTTTTTATGAAAATCTGTTCCCATTACATCAAAAGGACGGGATGGAAAGACAGACAGACAGACTATATATTTATAGATGGACGGAGCTCAAACCTATATCCCCCTTCCACTTTGTGTCGGGGAATAATAAGCTAAGTCTTTATCAGGGTAAGGATGTCACACGGTGAGTCATCCATGGTGCAGCAATAAGACACAGGGTCCATGAGGTGCCTCACCTGTTTGTGTGGTCCTCTGATGAGTCCAACATCAGCAGCTGGAAGACCTTCACCTCTGGCAGCTGCTTCAGTAAGACCAGGTTCTTGACACACCACAATGTCACCATGTCCTATAACACCAATATACCATAATACCCCACCACACCAATACAATGTCCCATCAGCAGAACATCCTGCCACATTAACAGTATCATACTCTTCTGGAACATCAAGACGATGAAAAATTGTTACCATAATCTAACACAACATCAACAAAATAAACCAGATAACATTCTCCTGCAACATCAACAAATTGCAACACTGTCCTACATCAATACACCAGTGTGGCACATCATCAATACCATGTCCTACTGCCCAGATAGCAAAGGTGTGTTGGGCCAATGTTGGTATATGGTTGGTTGGTTGGCCAACAGTTTGACAACATTGGCCCAACGTTATCTTAATGACTTAAAAGTAACGGTGGCTTTTGACACGTTGGTCCAACAGTGGGCCAACATTTGAAAAACTCTGCCTATGTTCCCTGATCTTTCATCTATTTCACAAAGTTGGGCCACCGTTGGCCCAACATTGTGAATAAAAGAGTGAGCACACGGCCATTTTTAGCCATGTTTTCTTATAAAGATTTTGATGAAAGTTGAAATAATTACACAGACAAAAAGAAAGAATCCATTTCCCTGTTTTTTAACTATGATAAAGTGAATATTACAGCATTGTTTTCTCCAAATTGAATACCAAACTTGTCATCATTGATAGCTTTACCTGATATTCAAAGAGCAGACGACACTACATTTCTGGAGGCCTTCAACTGGTAAATATGCATTGTTATTTCTGTGATACTGAATTGCAAATATATTGTGAAATAATTAATTAAAATCATCATTTAGGCTAAAGAAAGTGACACATACCGTACTGAAAGGCAATTGATTGAGTAGATAAAAAAGATTTAATTGACTCTTTTCTGTAGGTAGCCTGTTTTAACCACTTTAATAAATCTCATTTCATTTTAAATTATTTAAATTTATTGTGTTTACTTTATTAACATTATGTGTTTGTCAGTTACACTCCTGTTTCCATATACAACACTCTCTATTATTCATCTTTACAACCAATAATTGCTAAACATCATCATATCAGATATATGTGTCACAGTTATAGTAGTTACACGTCATATCCAAATAAAACATTGTTTGAACAGCATTCTAGAAGTTGGTCAGTCAAAAATGAAACATACATCTCTATGGATAACAACTTCTTGTTTATAGTATAGAGTGACGTTTCGATGTAGATTCTTACACCGTTATCAAGCTAAAAGTGACTACAACCAAATGATGAGAAGTATATATACATGTACATAGTATGTTTTGTCAAATAAACATAATTGGGAGCGGCCAGTTTGGGACTAAGAACGACAAATTGATCTAGTGATGAAACCAATTAACAAGGGAAGGGGGTGGGGTGTTAGGTTGTAACAACCTGATAGGGTGTTTGATAGAGTCTATAGTTTGATTAGTTCTTCATATCCCAATGGTATGTAGTATCCTTGGTCTCTATTGATCAAAGGTTTGTGGCGGCTGATTTTGATGGCTTCCAAAAGTTTTCTTTTTGTGCAGTCCTGATTCTTGGTGGATAAGATTTCGAATTTGTCAAACCAGCCCCCTAAAACGAAGTTAGGCGTCATCTCAACCCTGATCAAGCACGCTAAGAACATTGCTCCAGCAGCCATGACCTAGAACATGAGCGGAACCACCTACAACATGTCTTCACGAGCCTCAACCAGTAACCCACCAACTCATAGTCTGTTTCATTTCACTTGAGACCGATGAATTGCTCACTAACACAAAATCAAATAATTGCAACAAAACCAAATTTTGCAGTCACATGAAAACGACAGACCAATGAAGAACTAATCAAACTATAGACACTATCAAAGGGACCCTATCAGCTTGTTGTTACAACTGAATCCCCCCCCCCCCTGTTTATTGGCTTCATCACCATTCCATTTGTTGTTCTTAGTCCCCATCTGGCCTCTCCCAATAATGTACCAGTTGTTATTCAATTACATGTTGTTGTTAATGTCAATCTGCTGATTGTCAAAACATACTACGCATATATCCTTCTCATCATTTGGTTTTAGCTTGGTAACAGTGTAAGAATCTACATCCGAACGTAACTCTGTGCAATAAACAAGACGTTTTCAATCATTAAGTTGTACATGGTATGTTTCAAATAAAACATAAGGCCAAATACTATGTCCTTTTACGATAGATATCCGACAGTATCATGAAATTTTGGGGTTGTTTTTTTCAGGAGCAGTTAAAAAAAACTGTCAGCGGCGACATCCAAAAGACCTTAAACAAGAATATTTTCAAGAAATACAATAATGTTCAAATAACAATGAAAAAAAAAGAATTAAATAGTTCACTTGATTAACTTGTTGTGTTGTTTATATATGTTTCTGATTGCAGAGGTCAGGAAAGAGCTAAATGTTGAAATACAGTTGTGCCAACATAAGGCCAACTAAATCACATCCTTGGGCCAAGTATGGGCCATGGTTTAGTACAAAGGTCAAGAAAGAGCTAAATGTTGAAACACGGTGGTGCCAACATAAGGCCAACCAAATCACTACGTTGGGCCAACTATGGGCAATAGTTTTGTGTGAATTTTCATTCGTTGGCCCAACAATTAGCCAACATGATGGGCCACTGTGGAGCCGATGAGCATATCCAAGTGGGCCCATCGTCAGTTTGACAACAATGGGCCAACAAAACCGTTGATTATGGGCCAACTATGGGCCAACATATCAATGCTATCTGGGTGGCCTCTGATATTATCACATTTCAACACTTTGCTACATCAACACTTTGTCACACTGTTCCACATATTATTACAATATCACATGGCCCCATGAGAATACAGTGCCACACTGTCCTTCAACATAAACATCCTATAATGACCAACCGCATCAACACAATGTCCCTTTAACATTAACACACAACAATGTCCCACTGTCCCACATTAAGACATTGTCACATTGTAATACAACATCATTACAACACTGTTGTAAGTCATCATAATGTCACTGTCAAACCACACAGGGTATTCTTTTATTTAGCCTAAGATGAAGCATGGCTTCCAACTCACATTTGAATCTTGAAGGATGAGATATCTTTTGTTAGTTGATACCTTCCCTGTCACCATACCAGCATCTGAATCATTAGTTTATGATTTAGTAATGAATCACCACTTGAAAATAACATAACATGCAAATATTTTGAATTGTTAGGTGCAAGCAAAACTGCTTATTGTGGATAATTTATTTTTTTAAATTAAAATAATTACAAAATCAAGAATGAATCATTCAGTATTTCACATATTAAGGTGAAGCTTGACTACGTAACCATGGATACGGTGCCAACAAACCAAGGATCATAAGCATGACAATCAGTACAAATCTTTTGTTTGTTTGTTGTTTAACACCACACTCAGCAATATTCCAGTTAATGTCCAGATAATCCAATGATCAACATCATGAGCATCAATCTACGCAACTAGATGACGATGACATGTGTCAACCAAATCAGCAAGCCTGACCACCGGATCCTGTTAGTCACCTCTTGCCACAACCATGGGTTGCTGAAGACCAATTCTAACTCAGATCTCAATAGGTGATCTAGGTTTGGAACCAAACCTGTAGATCATGGCACATGGAAGCATTAAACCAGTACTCACCTTCCTCCAGCATGTCTCCAACCATGTCCTGGATGACCAGCTGACCATCTCCCGACCACTCCCACACAGCAATCACATTGTCCCCGGAACCCTAGAATGGAAATTACAGTATAGATGAGCTTACCTCGAGTGAGTGAGTGAGTGAGTGAGTGAGTGAGTGAGTGAGTGAGTGAGTGAGTGAGTGAGTGAGTGAGTGTAGTTTTACGTGGCACTCATCAATATTCCAGTTATATGGCGGCGGTCTAAATAATCGAGTCTGGACGAGACAATCCAGTGATCAACAGCATGAGCATCGATCTGCGCAATTGGGAACCGATGACATGTGTCAACCAAGTCAGTGAGCCTGACCACCCGACCCGACAAGCATGGGTTACTGAAGGCCATTATTCTAACCCGGACCTTCACGGGTACCTCGATGATTCTACAATGATAATAACATGAACAACACTAACATCATGTGATATCAGTCCTGTGTCAGCAGCTAAGGAGTGTCCTTGAGATGATGGTATTTGAAAGCAAGAGCCTTATAAATCTTACTTTTATCATTATGGTAATGGATGATTTTTTGAAGTCCTGAACACAAGTTGTTAAACATAGGAAGCACAAGGTGTGGATGGATTGTCTTACGAGAGTGTATACAGTGCTGGGTGTTGTGATGATATCGTGTGTCCCTCGTGTGTGGTAGTTTGTGGTCTGGACATTTACAAACTGCAGTATCTTCATCAACTTGGCGACGCGGTCATCTACACCTGTAACAGAGAAAGGACAATACACCAACAGGGCTCCAGATAAGAGGCGTATCGGCGTACGTATGGATACAAAATATGCACGATACGGAAGGAAAAATTAGTAAAACGTAGCAGATACACACCACAGCAATGGTGGATGGTCTTAGAATCCTTTACAGACATATTTATCTGAAAAGTATTGTTTTATATTTTATTGACCTGTTTACACAAGAGTAGCAATGTTGTGGTGCATTTATGAAGATAACTGATGTGCCATTAAATTCAGTGCTCTAATTGTACTCTTAAGTTTTTCCAGTACTCCCATATTGAAAAAATAAGAAGTACGTACTCTTGATGTTGAAAAATTATCTGGAGCCCTGCACTAATAAGGGGCATCCTTGAATAAAAGTCCAACATGCACTTTAGCTGTATTTCAGTATCATATTGGTGCAAATTAGTTACATACATCATTACTGGTGTATGTTGTACTCACCGTCAGCAAGCAGTGACAGATCCAAGTTTCTGATGACATACAGGCGTCCTCCGACCGATAAGCTGTACAAGTCATAGAGTCCTAGGAAAGATTAATTCAAATAAACATTCAAAGGATATCAATGATGTATTAATTATATTTTATTCACTTCTTAATAACAGATAAGAGAACATAACAAACCTGCATTGCTGCATAACCAGGCCTACCATACAAACGGTGAACAAATCATCAAAACTGAACTCATATACACCAAAGCAGAACAAAAACCACCAAAATAGGAAAATAAACTTCCAATAAACAATACATCTGTAATGGAAGACTAATCGTTTGAAATGGAAACAAAACTCGCGTATCAGCTACAAGAGCGCGCTAGAACGGTCGCAGAGCGTACAAAACGGCAGTCATAGCATCCTAAAACGGCAGTCATAGCATCCAAAAAGGGCATACAAATCGTCAAAGATTGCGGCGAGGGGAGACAAATAGGCTTTCGTACATAATGTTGTTCGTCACTATGAGTCTAATCTTGAACATTTGATATCGGGATGTAGCGCATAAACCCCCTATTGTAGTAAGCTTCAAACCTATGTCCATACTTCTCAGTGTCAGGCTTGCAATTCTGCACAATGTGGTCCCTCGTTCGACCGAATAGGATTTCTTGTCAACATGCTGTGCTACTGTTTCTCTTCAGTTTTGTAAATAAAGTATTCATATCATCACATTCAACATTACTATATTTTAGCGATTTAAAAAGTTTACAAAAACTTTGTTCATTCTCCGTGAATTGCATATCTAAGTGATCATTTTAAAGTGAACGAGTGCAAACTCAATCCACTGATTAGGGCAGGGATTTCTGTTTCAAGTCCACAGGAGGCGACTTCTTGAGACTTGCAAAAACAAAGACGGACGCATGTTTGTACTGCAAGTTAAGCTTTATTTTTTGTTAAATGATGTAAAATGTTTGGTATTGCATGGAATAGTTTTAAGTGCATGGAAAAGATAAAATTGCAGAATGAAAAAAATCTTCCTGAGACACAATTCACAGTTGAAATTATAAGCAAGTTCAAACCAGTAATGATGTATGTAACGATTTGTATGCCCTTTTTGGATGCTCTGACTGCCGTTTTGGGATGCTATGACTGCGGTTTTGTATGCTCGGCGACCATTCTCGTGCGCTCTTGTAGCTGATATGCGAGTTTTGTTTCCATTTCAAACTATTAGTCTTCCATTACAGATGTATTGTTTCGCTTTTAGAGGATATTGTTGCAGTTTGGGAAGTTTATTTTCCTGTTTTGGTGATTTTTGTTCTGCTTTGGTGTATATGAGTTCAGTTTTGATGATTTGTTCACCGTTTGTAAGGTAGGCCTGATAACGCTGAATGATTAAAATCTCATGGACAATTTCTTTTCTAAAAATATAATAAGGAGAACAGTCAAATTTATTCCCTTAAACATGCTTAAAAATACAGAAACGTTTCAAAGGCGATTTCTTAATAGTTTCAGCCCACACAAAGACCCAATGTTTTTGAGAGAAAAATCCACCGAAATTAAAAATATAACAAGGCAAACTATAATCTTGGGTTGTCCATAATTGAATCAATGGGATATAACAGCTGTTACCATCATCCCTAATTTGAAAAATAATCTTCTTGAAGGCGTTTCCATTCCTTTGGTCAGCTTCTGGCACGACCATCTGTCATGAATCAACACAGAATGAACAGATACATAATAATAATAATAATAATAATAATAATAATTGATTTATAGAGCGCCTATTTCCAAACGATACATGAACAAGTGAGTGAGTTTAGTTTAATGACGCTTTTAACAATATTCCAGTAATATCACAGCAGGGGACACCTGAAATGGGCTTCACACATTGTACCCATGTGGGGAATTGAACCCGGGTCTGCGGCATAACCACTTGCCTACCCCACTTCCCCTGCATAAACAAATTACACTCAGTGAGTGAACAGGCTTTACAAGGATAGATACAGTTCAATTTAGGATAGTCACTGTCAGTTAATTTTCAAGACATACAAATGATGAATCAAAATTCTCACTTTGATTAAAGATCAAAAGGTTACATCTACACCAGTGTGATGTGACAGTTTTTACTTCACATGTAACACAGAAAATAGGGTTTTTGACAAGTGAACTTTGACACCAGATAGAAGCCCGGGCTTATATTCGGAAACATTGGCTTATATTCGGAATTTTTTCAAAGTGACAATCATATGGAATAAAAATCATAAGGCAATAAGTGAAGGAAATCTTTTTAATATTACTTTCACGAATATTGCAATGACTATGCAATGAAACGGAACGCATACAAACTCTAATATAACTCTTGAAAACTTTGAAATGTTTAAAAATTGGTCATAAGAACTATGGGGTTCAAATGAGTCAATCCATCGCACAAAGGATCATCGCAGTCGACACCACTTGTGCCATCATCTATGGGGTTTCTAACAAGTATGGGGATCCTAACAAGTAAATCAAACAGCCTCAGTTTCACCAAAAGGATCTTTCGTCATCAACGCCGCTAGGCGCCATCATCGTCTACATCCAGATCACCCTCCTCCAAACCTACATTGTATCCGAGGCTCCCTCGCAGTCGACTGTTCAGATCCGTTATAGCCACCTTTTCTCCATTTGGAGCAATACCAGAAAGTTGGAATGATCTTGCCACAGTTGACCTTTCGCATGAGATAACCGCCTTGGACACCATTTGCAATAATTCCCCGTAAGATGGCCGCCTTCTGTATCCCTTGGGAGCGAACTCTTTTTCTCCATTCTCGAACCAATCGTTCCATTATTCACACATTTTGGACTTGAAGATGCCGTTTACTCCACCACTGACGTCAAGGGAAAAGGTGCCATCTTCGGAGGAATGATCTTCGTCAGTATGTTCAACTGCTTCAGGTGGTGTATCACTTTCGGCATACTATGGCTTCTATGGCTGTCCATGAATAGAACTGATGGCTCAAAACTGATGTAAGGTCCACGACATCTCAAAACTTTGTCAATCCATTGAAGCATCAGGGCTTCATTCATGCTGCCACCAGAAGAAACAGGTTGATGAATGTTTGAAGGTACATCATTTTTTGGCAACTTCTTAAAGTCCTTTCAGAATCACCACTGATTTGAGAAAATTGCCACTGGCAGTTATACAAAGTACGGTTGTAAACCGATGCTTGTCATTGCCAGTATGGGCAGCATCGACGCTTGTTGCCAATGAAATCCATCGTTGTTCCTGTCGTCATGTCTATATAGCATGGCGTTTCATCCATGTTGAGGATATGAGCAGCATCGTAACTCAACGTAAGCTGTTCTACGCCGCGAAGGTGATCCTGTATGATTGTCTTGATAACAACATGATCTCGGTTGTCTTGCTGACCCTGATGTGTGACACGTCTGCTTTTAATGTTGTGGCGTTGACAGAAATTGTAGATCCACTTGTCACTAAAACTAATCGAAATGGTGCCAAGTTCAAGTTCACGTTTAAGTCGGAGAGCTTGTTCCCGAATTCTCTTATAGTTTACGATCATTCTCTCCTTTCTCTGTTCCTTGAACCACGCATACAGACATTGTTCCAGTTCAGGGAGTGCTGGTTTACGCCCTGCGCCAAGAAATCTCTTTGACGACTGTGCCGGCTCCACAAATTTTGACTTGTTTTTAGACCATTCTCTAAGCTGTTTCCTATCAATTCCCAGACTCCTTGATGCAGAGGTCAGATAATACCCCCATACTCAAACTTTACCTTCTTCACAACATCAAGGTTTTCTTTGATAGTGTAGGACCTCCACTTGAACATACTGACTAGAGATGAGACAACAGGCAAAATAGGAGACAGTTTTTCAACGTCACTAGTAACGCCAGTGAATATGTATAACACTTGTATTTCAAGACCACCTTGGGGTAAATCCGAACGTTTAAAGTCCTTATTTATCACCTGTATAGTCAGATCGCCACCTCTCCTCAGAAAGTAGTTACACACTTGGCTCTGTGCTTTAGGTACATGTCCAACTATTAGATGACCACGTTTTATGGCTACAGCGTAACGATCTACATAATTTAGATCATCACGTTCAGTATTCAAAATTTCATCCTCTTCAGGTGTCAAAAATGTTCTATAAACATGAAAACCATGAATAACACTTTCAACAGCGTAAACAGATATATTTGTCATGTCAAAAATGGGAAGAAATAACATGGACTATTTAAATTGTATTGTAAAAAGGGGAGGCTACTCTCATTTGACACACTTTGGAATTAAATAGTTTTATTGACACCTGTGTGTCATGGTCTGCTTCAATATTCAATACACAGCTGCTATCACTGACCACATGCAATTTGAACTTAACACCAATCAGGCTATACACCATAAACAAAATGCATTGATTTATGGCCCGAGTTCGGGTCTCTCTCACATTATGTAATTACACAGACAGGCAGGTGTGATACTTGAACACATGACATGTTATGATGTGGTTTGTGGATGGTTAACATTTAACATTTAATACAGTTTTCATCATATTCTTTCTTAAAATGACAATGAGTAATATATACATAATTAACATGTTATAGCATGTTATATTTGGGATGACAGGGACTACTCTCTCAGATTCAGGCATCTAATCACTAGGGGTGAAACGGTATACCGTGGTATTAGTAGAACTGCAGTATTTTGCCTTCAGTTCAGTATACCGTAGTGCAATCCAAAAATTCGGTTTTCGTACCGTCCATTTAATAACCTTTTAAAACCTTTTCTAAAATGTCAAAATCTCTGCATTTCTTTGCAAGGCGACTGCTATTTTCCCGAAAGTAAGTTATCATATACAGAACCGAAACAGGCCGAACCGAAGGCCTTGTACCGCAATACGTACCGCACCGTGGTAAGAGTGTACCATTTTACCCCTACTAATCATCAGCACACATTAGGTGCCTGATTCTGGGAGTGTACAAAAGTAATAGAATCTGTACTTTACTGAAACAATGTAATCCCAAATATAACGTGATACATTTAACCACTTTCTAATTGGCATTGTGTATTCATAAACATATTCATTGAGGATTTGGGTTGCTAAGAAATGAAGAACAATCATCTGTCTGCTTTCCTTAAGAAACCCCACATCCTTCATTTTGATTTAGTGGCTAAGGTTCACTCAGGCTCCACCTGACATGACCATATATGGAGGTGTCCTCAGATCGTCACATACAGACACGTCATATTGAAAGATGTGGTTTTGAAGAGACTTAAATTCTCATAGAGGCGTAGGGAAGAGAGAAGGTAAAGTGACTCACAAAGGAGAAGATGGCTTCCATGGTTTCTGTCTCATACATGAGCAGCATGCCCTGACTATCTCCAACCATCAGCAGACTTCCATCTGGACTCCATGCCACAGCATCTATGGGGGACTCTGTGGGCAGTGTGTAACATACCAACAGTATCAACACACATACCAACAGTATCAACACACATAGCAACAGTATCAACACACATAGCAACAGTATTAACACACATAGCAACAGTATCAACACACATACCAACAGTATCAACACATACCAACAGTATCAACACACATACCAACAGTATCAACACACACACCAACAGTATCAACACACATACCAACAGTATCAACACACATACCAACAGTATCAACACACACACCAACAGTATCAACACACACACCAACAGTATCAACACACATGCCACGGTACAACACGTATAACAGTATCAACACAAATGCCAACAATATCAAACACATATACCAACAGAATAACAACATATCAACACACACCAACAGAATATGCAACACACATACCAACATAAACACACACCAACAGTATCAACACACATACCAACAGAATAAACACATGCCAACAGTATCAACACATACCAACAGTATCAACACACATACCAAAAGTATCAACACACTTACAAACAGTATCAACACACATACCAACAGAATAAACACACATACCAACAGTATTAACACACACCGACAGAATAAACACACATGCAACACACACATACCAACAGAATAAACACACATGCCAACATGTCAACACACATAGCAACAGTATCAACACACATACCAACAGAATAAACACACATGCCAACAGTACCAACACACATACCAACAGTATCAACACACAAAGCACAGTATCAACACATATACCAACAGTATCAACACACATACCAACAATATTGACACATGTAGCAACAGTAGCAACACACATACCAACAGTATCAACACACATACCAACACACATACCAACAGTATCAATACACATACCAACAGTATCAACACACATACCAACAGTATTGACACATGTAGCAACAGTATCAACACACATACCAACAGTATCAGCTCACATACCAACGGTATTGACACACATACCAACAGTATCAACACACATACTAAAGGTATCAACACACACACTAACAGCATCAAGATACATACCAAGAGTATTAACACACATTCTGATACTCGTTGCTATGTGTGGTGATTCTGTTGATATCTGTGCTGATACTCGCTGTTGCGTGTTGATACCGCATGGCGGTGTGTGTTGATACCGTTGATATCTGTGTTGATACTGTTGATATCTGTGTTGATGCTGTTGGTACGTGTTGATATGCCGTTGCGTGTGTGCTGATTACTGCTGCTATGTGTGGTGATTCTGTTGATATCTGTGTTGATACTCTTGGTATGTGTGTTGATACTCTTGGTATGTGTGTTGATACTGTTGGTATCTGTGTTGATACTCGTGGTATGTGTATTGATACTGTTGGTGTGTGTTGATACCGTTGGTATCTGTGTTGATACCTTGGTATGTGTGTTGATACTGTTGGTATCTGTGTTGATACCTTATTTTGGTATGTGTGTGTTGATACTGTTGGCATGCTGTGTTGATACTGTTATTGGCATGTGTGTTGATACTGTTGGTGTGTGTTGATACTATTGGTATCTGTGTTGATACTCGTTGGTATGTGTGCTGATACCGTTGGTATGTGTGTTGATACCGTTGGTATGTGTGCTGATACTGTTGATACGTGTGTTGATACTGTTGGTGTGTGTGCGTTGATACTGTTGGCATCTGTGTTGATAATTGGTGGTATGTGTGTTGATACCTGCTGGTGTGTGTGCTGATACCTTGGTGTGTGCTGATACTGTTGGTGCGTGTTGATACTCTTGGTATGTGTGTTGATACTGTTGGTATCTGTGTTGATACTCTTGGTATGTGTATTGATACTGTTGGTGTGTGTTGATACTGTTGGTATCTGTGTTGATACTCTTGGTATGTGTGTTGATACTGTTGGTATCTGTGTTGATACTCTTGGTATGTGTGTTGATACTGTTGGTATGTGTGTTGATACTGTTGGTGTGTGTTGATACTGTTGGTATCTGTGTTGATACTCTTGGTATGTGTGTTGATACTGTTGGTATGTGTGTGTTGATACTGTTGGTATGTGTGTTGATACTGTTGGTATGTGTGTTGATACTGTTGGTGTGTGTGTTGATACTGTTGGTATCTGTGTTGATACTGTTGGTATGTGTGTTGATACTGTTGGTGTGTGTGTTGATACTCTTGGTATGTGTGTTGATACTGTTGGTGTGTGTTGATACTCTTGGTATGTGTGTTGATACTGTTGGTATCTGTGTTGATACTCTTGGTATGTGTATTGATACTGTTGGTGTGTGTTGATACTGTTGGTATCTGTGTTGATACTCTTGGTATGTGTGTTGATACTGTTGGTATCTGTGTTGATACTCTTGGTATGTGTGTTGATACTGTTGGTATCTGTGTTGATACTGTTGGTATGTGTGTTGATACTGTTGGTGTGTGTTGATACTGTTGGTATCTGTGTTGATACTCTTGGTATGTGTGTTGATACTGTTGGTATGTGTGTGTTGATACTGTTGGTATGTGTGTTGATACTGTTGGTATGTGTGCTGATACTGTTGGTATGTGTGTTGATACTGTTGGTATGTGTGTTGATACTCTTGGTATGTGTGTTGATACTGTTGGTGTGTGTGTTGATACTGTTGGTATCTGTGTTGATACTGTTGGTGTGTGTTGATACTGTTGGTATCTGTGTTGATACTGTTGGTGTGTGTTGATACTGTTGGTATGGGTGTTGATACTGTTGGTGGGTGTTGATACTGTTGGTATGTGTGTTGATACTGTTGGTGTGTGTTGATACTGTTGGTATGTGTGTTGATACTGTTGGTATGTGTGTTGATACTGTTGGTATTTGTGTTGATACTCTTGGTATGTGTGTTGATACTGTTGGTGTGTGTGTTGATACTGTTGGTATCTGTGTTGATACTCTTGGCATATATGTTGATACTGTTGGTATGTGTGTTGATACTGTTGGTATCTGTGTTGATACTGTTGGTATGTGTGTTGATACTGTTGGTGTGTGTTGATACTGTTGGTATCTGTGTTGATACTGTTGGTATGTGTGTTGATACTGTTGGTATCTGTGTTGATACTGTTGGTATGTGTGTTGATACTGTTGGTATGTGTGTTGATACTGTTGGTATCTGTGTTGATACTGTTGGTATGTATGATGATACTGTTGGTATGTGTGTTGATACTGTTGGTATCTGTGTTTATACTGTTGGTATGTGTGTTGATACTGTTGGTATGTGTGTTGATACTGTTGGTGTGTGTTGATACTATTGGTATCTGTGTTGATACTGTTGGTATGTGTGTTGATACTGTTGGTGTGTGTTGATACTGTTGGTATCTGTGTTGATACTGTTGGTATCTGTGTTGATACTGTTGGTATCTGTGTTGATACTGTTGGTATGTGTGTTGATACTGTTGGTATGTGTGTTGATACTGTTGGTATGTGTGTTGATACTGTTGGTATCTGTGTTGATACTGTTGGTATGTGTGTTGATACTGTTGGTATGTGTGTTGATACTGTTGGTATGTGTGTTGATACTGTTGGTATGTGTGTTGATACTGTTGGTGTTTGATAACTGGTAGTGGTACCTTGAAGGATGTTTGCTCTGTTTTGTTCAATAATCTTGACAAAAGTTAAAAGTAATAGTTAACATAAGTATTTTCATGATATTAAAATCAGTTACACACCAAATCCCAGAGAGGCTGTATGTTGGAGATCCCTGAACACAGCAAGATGCTGCTCCACAGCAACACAGGCAAGATCCCCCAGCACTGATGTCACTACCTTGGGCACCACACTCTCGTCCTGGAGGAACAAACCCAACATTGAGCTACAGTACAGACTACCAGGCATGCAGCTGTGGTTATGATGGAAATCACACTGCAATACATGTCTAGAAAGTTGGTTAGTTTGTTGTTTAATGCTGCACTCAGCAATATTCCAGCTATGGCAGTCTGTAAATAATCAAGTCTGGACCAGATAATCTAGTGATCAACGGCATGAGCATCGATCTACACAATAGGGATACAATGACATGTGTCAACCAGGTCAGCAATCCTGACCACCTGATCCCTTTAGTCAGCCTCTTACAACAAGCATGGGTTCTGAAGATCCATGCTAATTTCTAACACGGTTCTTCACGGCTGAATCTAGATTGTAAACATTTCTTCGTATTTTTTCATAAGCATGGTAAGGGCTGGAAACCAATGACAAATTTCTGAAATTGTATGTAAATATGATTCTTTCAATAATAATATCAAACGCCTGTTAATTACCGCATCTTTTGAGGATATTGTTGCAAGAGTCTCCACTTGATAGAGAGCAGAACCTGTCTCTTGTCTTGGGCCGAAGATGGCTGTTTCGTCAGAGCCAAAGTCACTTGTCACAACGTCCCAAGCTGCCATGTTCACCTGTGAAAAATAGGAAGCATTGCACATGGCTTACAATTAAGTCAATTATGATTTTGAAACTATAGAAGGGTCTGATAGTTTCTGGCCAAAGCATCTGGCAAACACAAAGGATGTTTCAAACAATTGTGTTTCGTGAAATCATGGTACTCATAAGGAGTTTGCTGAGAGCTGTCGGATTGGTTGGATTATGCATGCACTGCTGCAGAGTTGTATAATACTAAGCAGAGATGCCAACCCTGAATCTAAGGAAAACAGAGTCATGACTGGCTGAAAGCCAGGCCTGAGTACCAAAGGTGCGAGTTGGGGGTGAGAGCGTGGTCGGCTCTGCCATTTTGTTTCACTTTCACACGGACTATGACATGCATTCTGAAAAACTTTGTGAAACTTCATCGTCAATAACACGCAATATACACAATCGACACCCAAAGGATCACACACTAAGCTTCTGAATGCTTTTACCAGTGTTCACTCAAATAAATCACTGGTGACTTACAAAATTGTATACCGTAAAAATATATTCAGACTTTTTTCTAAAAATTCGAAGTTTTTTAAAGAGTAATTGGAAAGCAGATTTTGTATTTGAAAATTGGAGTAACTCCGCCAAAATCGGAGTGGTTGGCATCTCTGTATTAAGACAGGGATAATCTACAACAGGGATGGGTCACTCGCTTGCTTTCTTTACCATTTGTACTAATTAGCGTGTGCCTCATCATGCTCCAACGCACACAGGACTTGGTTCGTTCCCAGCGCAACTTCGGCTGCGTTCAACAGTACTTCAGCCAGTTTATTGTATCAGTCGGAATGGTACAATGAATGAATGAATGAAGAGCAAGAATTATATGTGAATGAATGAAAGAAATAAAGAAAAAGAACAAAAGAAAGAAATACATATGTGAATGAATGAAAGAATAAATGATACACCACAGCCATCCCTCCCCAAACATGTTAAAGAACGCAAAACTATCGCTAGAACACATGTGTTAACATCAGCTGTCCTTTTTTTTAAAAATCTACTTTGAGACATTTTTTACATTAGTAATTAATTCAGATATCTTATTGCAGGTGTGGAAGGGCATGGACATTGACAGAATGTTAACTGACACTGTCACACACCCCTCAAAAACAGAAAGTTTAGAACTATCACAAAGCGTTGTAAACAGCTTTCCAGTTTTGTCAAATACTAAGATAAAGAAGAAAGAAAGAAGTTTTAGAACTATAACACTCAAGCATCACAAGCGTCAATGGCGGATCAGAACAGATCGGAGATATGTCATATTTTTCAAACACCTCAAATACACCCTAACAATTTTTTTAAATGATAAAACTATCACTATTACTTGCAAACACCTTCCACCTGATGGTATATTCCCCTCATAAAAATTAAAGGTGTATGTGAAAGATGTATTAGAACAATAACTAGAAACACTCAAAGAACGCTCTGTAGTATTTCAATGGCAGATCGGCGACATGTCATATTTTTCACACACCTCAAATACACCCTAACAATTATTTTTAAGTTATAAAACTATCACTATTACTTGCAAACACCTTTCAACTAAAGGTAAATTTCCTTCTAAAAATTAAACGAATATGTGAAAGAAGTTTTTAGCGATCGAATTTAGTCTTTCTTCGCTGTGTACCGAGAATTGAAGCCTATACTAGTGAGCTACAACATGCCGACTTGAAACTTTACTACAAATCTACTGTACTAATACTGACACTAATAACAATTATTTGACTTAAAATGAAGTGACAGAATAGGTAACTTATTTTCTACATGTAGGTTTTCAGTTGTCACAACACTCAGCGAATGTAATCAGCTGTTGAAAATAAACCGGGCTCAATCTTAAAAACTATGCTGCTGCCATATTGGCTACACTGGTCACGTGACAAGCAGAGGCATACGCTAAGGGGCTTTTCGAGGAGTGACCACTCCCCGTTATATAGTCTCCCTCATTAAGCATATGAGACTATGTTCATTTATGATTATATCCTTTCAGTGAAAGGTTAAACTCAATTTTAATATCATATACTGCTATCATGACAACTGACCTCTCTTATACATTTACTGCTTGCACTTTATTGTATCTAGTTTCATAAAAGTTGGATATTAGCAAGGTGCCTCGGGCACATGAAAAACCCTGTACTATTTATGCATCCACACCGATGACAACCATTTTTACCAAACATGCCAAACAAGCAAATTTTGGAAGAACAAATACAGCGTTCATATCATCCTTGAACGTGTTATTGCTATGTAAATATGTTACAATTAAAGTGTATTTATAATAAATTGTGAGAAAATTGGGAACCAAAGTTTGAACCGTAGTCCAGCATATATATATAGACGACTTTGCACTATATACCAAAATGTTCTTGATGTAGGCCTTGGCTGGAATACGAGTTTATTTATAGATGAACTAGAACCACTGTTGACTGACAATGAACATGCTGCTGACTAACTTATAAAAACATTGAAAACAGAACATTTGTCCTGGTCGGATTCTGAATTCCAGAACAGCCCAGAACAGTTATAGTAGCACGACCATAACCGTAAGGACAGATTCTTCTCTTTGCTTTTACTGTTAGCAGAGGAACGTTTTCTCGGTCATTTATTTCAGTATTTACAAATACTCAGCCGAGTCTCAGGACACCTAGATCCAAATAAACTAGCGATCTGGCTACCTTTTTCTTTGATGATGGAGAACGATGATAAAGGTACTCCCGGTTGCCAGTGCAATATGGTCAGAGCGATATGATATCCCAAATTTGTGGCAGCTCAGATCGAATTCAACAGTGCTGTCACACCTACTATACCTTCAAAATTTCCGCCAAAGTTAATCTCGTGAGATCTCGCGAATGATATCTCGCCGGTCGTTTCAAAATGGCTGCGCCCATGCGAGCGTGTGACTGTTTGTGCAAATGCACCGGCGGCCCATATGCACGTATGCGATATTTTGCAGTTCAAAAGAAGGTCACATTCGAACCCGTGGAAAAATAGTGATTATGGGGCAACAGTCGAAACTGAAATTGGAAACAGGTGAGGATAATCTTCGAAAACCCCACTTTTTAAGATCAAATGTTTCCTTATTTCGTGTTATCGTGAACAGGACACACCCAGGGTGTATGACTATGAATGTTTCCCATTTAGAATAATGAAATCACGGTTCCTCGTGCCTCATATTACAGTTGACATTCATATATTTTCGCCCTTCTGTGTGTCACTTCTAAATGTCATTCAAAAACTCTCTGTGTGTGTGTGGGGGTGTACGGGCGGAAGGGAGTCTTACCCAAAGACTTTACCGTTCAATCATTTGTCACTAAGTATACCATATATCTGCGAATGTGGATTTTACCAAAGATGTCCGAGAGCTTCATCACTTATGAAATTCATCCTACGTTGAGCTTATACACCCTGGTTTGATTGGAAATCAAATAGAGTTCAAAGTGGTGGATGTCCCTCTCACTCACTGTTTTCTGATTGACAGTGATGTGATCTGTTGGATATATTGTTTGCAAATTGAAGTGGTGATCTTAATACTGAGACTAAGATGTTGTTGTTTGATGTTGCAGGCCATTCAAAATCTCCACTGGGAAGCTGGCCAGGTTTGCTGATGGTACTGCTGTTGCTCAGGTAAACAGACTGATATTTATGCACCCAAGAACATACTTTCACCCTGTTACCCCATGTTCACTTTATTTTTATGTTAAACCTGTTAAAAGAGCAAAATCTGGATAAAATAGGAAAGAAGTCATTTGTAACTTATGTCAAAGCACCATGGTCCATATGTGTACCAGGCCATGCTGACTCTAATAGGGCTCGTAAGTAGGCCACAGCTCTTTGCGAGACCTTAGTACTTCTGGTGAAAAACAATCTTTCATACCTTTTCGAATGGTTTCATGGTTGTCAGTTGACAGAACATAACCGATAATTTTTACAGGAATAACCATTCCTGATCTAACCATCCCCAAATTAGCTAACTACTGCGACTGTCATCAACTTTGACAGCCAAGCATGGTTGTACACTAGGTCTGGTCTTGTAAAGTCATATTTGGCGGTCACACAATTTGGAACCAGAACTGGCTCTTTAATATACACTTGACAACAGAAATCTGCTACCGGAAGTAAGCTTGGCCCTGTCTCGCATATCCCAAGTTGGCACTCACAAAGATAGCTGGGAACCAGCTTAGTACCGGGACTTACAGGCCCTATTGATGTGACTGTGTACTTTGAAATTTAATGATATATCAAATAGACTGATCGTTCTTATCTAATCTCAGTAAACAGGATAAAAGCATATGTTTCACTTCTATATGCTACTGACACTGCATGAAGATCTGACGAATGTGATGAAATTTTGGGCATTCTGTATGACCGAGTCTACAAAGATATATCTATATGTATGTTGTTGATTCTATACTTTTCCAGCATGGCGATACATCGGTGCTTGTAACTGCTGTCAGCCGTGACAGGCCTGTCCAACAAAACTTTGTTCCCTTAACTGTAAGTTTTGCTTCATAATGTCTCCTGCTCTGTTCAACTGACCCTGATTAAAAGTGCTGACCCAAAATGTATTAAGTGGTACTATATTTTCATTTTTTTTGTACAAAGTGCACTTTGTTAAATAAAGACCATTAACTTAAAAGGTAGATTCTGCAGAGTTGCCCTTATCTCATTAAAATGTGACAAGAAATATATAAAATGCCTTGTAACATACTATTCCAAGCCAACATTCTTCATGCTGCTAATGTTGGTGTAAACATTATGACTGTGACGCCAGGTTGACTACCGCCAGAAGGCAGCCGCGGCTGGCCGAATCCCAACCAACTACCTCCGCCGAGAGATCGGGCCCTCTGACAGTGAGGTCCTCACAAGCAGACTTATTGGTGAGGATTTTCTTTCTTAGACATTGGAAGTCAAGTGTAATCTGTCTGACCTATGCATGACTTATGTATGTACTACTATGAAATGTTTCTTTACACAGATGATAACTTCTATGATGTTCATCCAGTTTACTCTCTGGTTAAATTGTGTAATTAGACTCATCATATCGTGTTACTTTCAGATCGATCAGTCCGACCTTTGTTTCCTCGTGGATTCTACAATGAAACTCAGGTATGGACTTTGTTTTATTCATGTGAGAATAATTACTCCTTTAGACACTGTTGTATCATGTGCATATATCAAAAATATCATATAAGTGGATTTTGAGGTATATATGGGTTGGGAAGTGAAGTTTAGTTCTCCTTTCTGTTGTTATTCCTATGTAGCTAAGCATGTCACAACATTTGAATGGAGATTATTTTAGATTTAACTGAAAGTGAAAGTAAATTAACCCCAACTGACTGTTAGGCCATTTTGACCAGATCAAACTTTTTATCATTGTTGTCCAGACCAGACAGCAGGCCTTTAACACTTTTGTTTTGTTGGACATCTACAGACATTTTAGTTGAAGAAGTTCATTGAAGGTTAACTGGAATGTGTAATTTGATTGGTTTTGGGGTTATTTTTCAGATAATGTGCAATTTGCTTGCAGTTGATGGAATGAACGACCCAGACATTATCAGTATAAATGCAGGTATGAAACTAAACTATTATAAAGATTGATGTCACCTCAAGCCTTGACATACCATTGACATGTCACTCCAAAAATGTGCTTCCTAACATTTGGTTATGCCTTTTAAAATGTGGGCTCTGGGGGTCAGAGTTACCTCCCTTTTTGCCCAAGCTTGGCTGAACAAGAGCCAGGATTTATCTTGATTATGATCCTAAGTCTTTCAGTAGTATACCAGGGATTTCATCAGGGTAATGACTATCTACATATTCAGCCTCATTATGCTGTAGGAGGGGTAGCTTAGTGGTTAAAACGTTGGCTTGTCACACCAAAGACCCTGTTTGATCCACATTTGGGTACAGTGTGTGAGGCTCATTTCTGGTCTCCCCTCCATGATATTGCTGGAATGTTGCTATAAGGAATTGATTCCCCACATACCTATAGTGTCAGGTGTTTTCTGTCATGATGTTTCAGGAATATTGCTTTATATTGTGTTAAACTATATTCATTCACTCCTGCAGCTTTACTCCAGCATTATCACTGAAAGTGATGAAATCCAACCCAACTTCCTCATCAGCCCCACATGACTATATGAGCACTTTTTTGCTATACACACTGGGTAACATGTGGGAAGCCCATTTCTGACTGGGAGCGTGTGTCGTCACGCCGAACGAAGGCACAGGTTCTATTCCTCACATGGGTACAATGTGTGAAGCCCATTTCTGGTGTCCCCTGCTTAGATATTGGTGGAATATTGCTAAAAGAGGCATAAAATCATTCTCACTCACCCATTTCTGACTGACTGACTGAATCACTCATTCTCTACTCTCCCTCATCCTCACTCACTCACTCACTCACCATTTTGAAAACCATAATCCTGACAATCTGTTAGTAACCTAAACTTAGGTCAATCTGAATACAGACAGACATAGTGGTCCTAGATCCATTTTTTTATGTTTCCTGTTCTTTCGTCTCCAGCATCAGCAGCCCTGGCAGTGTCTAATATTCCATGGAATGGCCCTGTAGGTAGGTGCTACCTTTCTCAAGTCAAGTTCCAGTTTGTATCCAAACTCAAATATTTGGTAGTACATAACAAAAGAAAAAGCAGTGAGTTACTTGTCTAAATATCTCTGATAATGTTTCTGATTTAAAGTAAAGTAATTTTTCATGAATATTTGAACCTAGATGTTGTTTGAGATTTTAAATTTTGTTTCAGGAGCGGTTAGAGTTGGGCTTATTGACAATGAAGTCGTGGTCAACCCTACCAGGCGTCAGATGTTTCAGAGTACCCTCAATCTGGTGATCACTGGTTCTGAGCGTGACAAAGTGGGTGAGTTGATGTTAGCATATTATTTACCCTGTCATGGCTGAAGACCCTCAGATTAAGGCAAGTGACCATGTCATGCCCAACATATATGTTACTGGCTGTTGTGACTAAGTTTGAATATTCGTTGCCAAGGTGTTCAGCAACGTTGTCTCGTTCACAAACGTTAATAATAATATGCATATTTACAATGTGCCATGTCCATACCTTAAAGCATCATTAAGGCAGCTTATGTGCACAAGTTTACACATAATTTTCATTCTCAGCTCCCTTGGGAGTATGCAGCACAAGCTGCTTGTAATAAGATACTAGAAAGTTAACAGGTACACCTGATCCTACCTGGTACCCATTCAGAGGCATATTAGGAAACATAATTACCTAAGGAAACACTGCACATCTTCGGTGGAAGTCCAAGAAAGTCTCAGGAGTCCAGCAGTTGAACACAGTCAGCCATCCAACTCCTGTCTGTGACGTGTGCTCCGTAGTACAAACGTCTATACTATTGAGCTCTGTAGTCAAGACCTTGCATGAAAATTCACACATTGATCCAAGCAGCCCTGTGATCCAGCATAAACTGTTGTTTAATGCTACAGTAATGCTGGAAGCCTCAGCCAACAATGTCTACCTACAAGACTTCCAGAAGGCAGTGAAGCATGGCTTGAAGGAAACACAAGCCATCATTCGACAGATTAAAAAACTCCAGAATGAGATTGGTCAGGAAAAGAAGGAAGTGCCGCCTGTCTGTGAACCCTCAGAAGAAATCACAAGTATTGTCAAAAGGTAAACAGCCACAGAAGTAATATCGTCACTTGTTGGTCATTGTATATATCTTCAAGCATTCATTGTTTTAGCATGGGTTATTATCATGATTATATATCAGATGGAAAACTTCTTGACTGGTTTATCTCTTGTTTGAATTTTAATCCAAATCCGTGTCAAGATCCAGGCTAGCATTGGTCTTCAGTTACCATACTTGTCATTACCATACTTGTATGTAATGACTAATGGGATCTGGTGGTCAGAGTGAGTGAGTGAGTTTAGTTTTACGCCACACTCAGCAATATTCCAGCTATATGGCGGCGGTCTGTAAATATCTGGTGGTCAGACTCGCAGACAGTTTGTGCTTGTTGTCATTTCACAGTCGAGTAGATGCTCATGATGTCAATCACTGGATTGTCTGGTCCCCACCTAATTATAGACCACCATCATTTAACTGGACTATTCTGAGCATTAAACCACAAGCAAATAAACAAATCTAAAGATGGTCACAGAGCCAAGTGGATCAGCAGTTTTACAGTGTAGAGCTGTTAGATACCAGAGTCATGAGTTCCAGGACATGTTTGTAGCTATTATCTTGAAATATTGTAAAAAGTGGCACCTCACACACTTATGCTGAGGATGCAACACTTTGTCTTCAGAGCCCTACTGAAGATGATTTCACAGAAATAATGAAATGTGGGCAATGTTATTTTGTCTAATTTCAGTCTTGCAGAATTGAAGTTAAGGGATATTTTCACAGACAGTTCTCATGACAAAGTGAGTAGTTACACAGGTATGACATGCTGAAATGTTGGCTGAAGTAAACTGTCGGCATCGGAATTTATGATGTTCTGAGTAACTGAAATAATCCAAAATTAATCAGAAGCTAGACTCAAACATTCAAAAGCATTCGGATGGTATTGCAGAGAAACTTGATTTTAATTTGTTCCATTTGAGAAAGGATGTACATAAACAATCTTAACATGACATATAAGGAAAAGGAAAAAGTTTAATGGCTTTGAAATAGTTGACAAGAATGTGTATCAGTCAGTATACCCACGCTGACAGAGATAAGAAATCATGGCATGGAGACCAGGTAAAGCTGAGATACCCCACAAACTATGTAACTATGGTAACAAAGGTTGTTATCCCCCGGCATTAAATGCGGGGGGATATAGTCGACGCCTCGTCCGTCCATCCGTCCGTAATCATTTTGTTTCCAGAGCATAACTCAAAAACTGTTCAATATTTTTCAACAAAAATTGGTAGATATATCAAACAGAACATAATGTGGTGCCTTTTGCTATTTACAGATTTTTGTCATTTTTATTTTTCTCGGTTTTCATGGAAATGTTTTGGACATAGTCTTAAAGGGGGGTGGGCTTCGTTTCCGGAGCATAACTAAAAAAACGTTCAATATTTTTCAACAAAACTTGGTAGATATATCAAACAGATCCTTAAGTAGTGCCTTTTGCTATTTGCAGATTTTTGGCAATATTTGTTTTTCCCGGTTTCCATGGAAACGATTCGGACTTAGTCCCAAAAGGGAGGGCTGGGCTTCGTTTCCAGAGCATAACTCAAAAAACGTTTAATGTTTTTCGACAAAACGTGGTTGATGTATCAAACAGAACCATAAGTGGTGCCTTTTGGTATTTGCAGATTTTTGGCATTTTTATTTTTCCCGGTTTCCATGGAAACAATTTGGACTTAGTCCCAAAAGGGAGGGGTGGGTTTCGTTTCTGGAGCACAACTCGGAAACTTCTTAATGTCTTTTAGCAAAACTTGGCAGATATGTGAGGCAGATGCCAAAGTGGTGCCTTTTGCTATTTGGCAGATTTTTGGCAGATTTATTTTTCCTGGTTTCCATGGAAACGATTAGGACTTCGTTTCTGGTGCCCAACTTGAAAAGCGTTCAGTATCTTTCAACAGACCTTGGCAGATGTATTAGGCAAATTTTGAAATGGTGCCTTTTGCTATTTACAGATTTTTGGCATTTATATTTCTCATGATTTTCATGGAAACGATATGGACTTTAAGTAACTGGCAGATGATTTGTTCTTTCAAATATGTGGGGGCCGGGGGGATATGTCATCTTCTGATGACTCTTGTTTTACTTAAACATTCAGTGTGAATAGTTAGTTTGTTTTAGTGACTTTTAGAGTGATAGTGTGTGTTTTTGTATCATAGAAGCTACACTCATGAGTTATTTAGAGTTGTACAAGTGCAACAAACTTGTATGTGTTAATGATCTTCAGTGTAATGATCTTCATTGTTAATGATCTTCATTTTTGATAATCTCCAGATATCCAGAGATGTGGCTGTGAGGAAAGTCAGAACAGATGTGTTGAGAGATGTACAAGGTGAGTATGTACTTGTTCCTTGTGTTCTCACTGACCAATTAATTGTCAATGAGCCTCTAAACATGTTGCCCTGTTCCAGGTTAGAATTGGGCCCAGCAGCTTATGCAGCTGGTAAGACTTGTAGAGTGAGTGAGTATGGTTTTACGCCGCTTTTAGCAATATTCCAGCAATATCATGGCGGGGGACACCTGAAATGGGCTTCACACATTCTGTCCATGTGGGGAATCGAACATGGGTCTTCGGCGTATTGTGGATGCTTTAACCATCAGACTACCCCACTGCCCCTAAGACTTGTAGACTTCATTGATGGCATTATATAGTTAGTGAGTTTAACGCCACTTTGAAACTTATGATTACTTGTTTTGTGATCACAGTGATATGATATTTTTTCCCAGAGTCGCTGTTGCAGAATGGTGGGTCTTCCACAGCAACTGGTACGTATCTCCGAATGACTAACACTAGCTCTGGGAAATAACACAATTACATACAGTAAGTCCCATGAATCATGAACTATAAAAATTCAATTTTTAAACTTATCCTATCTCACGACTTGCACCTCTCTCTCTTCATTCGACCATGAGTGGAAATGAATTAAAACTTTGCTCCAAGGCCTACCTTGCCCCTCTCCCGTGCTGTGCGTGCCTTCCTGTGTCAGTCGTGCTCACTAGTCCATGACAGCACGAGGCATGCGCAGTCCTCACCCACGTGATCACCTCACATACTCATTCTCTTTCTTGTCGCTCCACTGAGTGGACGTGAAAATTTTTTCGTCTGAGATTTGCTCAAAATGGTTAAGCCTGTTCAGGCCAGTAAACGGATGTTTTAAGCCCGTTGTAATAAAGTATTTTCAGCATGGGACCCACACACATCGTGTGTTGATTGTGTGGGTGTTTATGACTGGGACACACGCTGTCCGAAGTGTTCAGGTCTGTCTAATGAGGCGTTTAAAATTTTACAAACGTGCTTGTGCCAGACGTTTGGCAGATAGGGCTAGGACTAATTCTGCGGGGTCTGGTCCATCTCCCGCTAAGAAACAATGCTTAGATCGCCCCACCCTCACTGCTCACCGTTCTCAATCGCCCGTCTCTCCTGACGAAGATTTTATGGACGCTTCGTCGGATTCCTATTTATCTGAGAACGTTAGAAGGCTTTAGGGGAGCTTCCCTCACCCAGTTTAAGTTCTCTTGAGCGTACCAGGGTGGTAATGACCGATATTTCTTCTATGCCAGACCTGCGATCTACATTATCTCGTAGGTCTGCTTCTTCGGAACGATCACAGACTTCGAGAACTTCTAAGCATTCATTGTCGAAGCGGGGATCGGCGCGGTTGGAACGTACCGCTCTCCTATTTCCACGGCTGGGAGGAGTCGTTCTAGGTCTCATTCACTTTCCCGAGTCGGCTCACCCCGCCGAGCCGGCTCACCCTGCCGAACCGGCTCACCCTGCCGAACCGGCTCACCAGTACATCTTCGAATGGGTTCACCTGACCGAACTGATTCACGTAATCAAATGGGTTCACCTGACCAAACTGATTCACGTAATCGAAGGGGTTCACCAGGACGAACGGGTTCACATTCCCGACTCAGTTCACCTCAACATAGGTTTCAGTTCGACACACCATCAGCGTTTTGATTCCCGTAGTCGTTCAGTCTCGCCTGGTCGAGGTGGTTGGCCATTTCGATCCGGTTCACCTAGCCGTATGGTGTGATTTTGTCAGAGTGATTCTCGAAGTCGAACCTGCCGAACCGGCTCACACGGCCGAGCTGGCTCACACAGCTGAGCCGGCTCACCAGGCCGAACCGGCTCACCACAACATCCTCGAATGAGTTCAGTTGATCAAACTGATTCACGTAGTCGAATGGGTTCCTCTGGCCGTACTGTTTCACGTACTCAAATAGGTTCACCAGGACGAACCGGTTCACATTCCCGACTCACCTCACCTCAATATGTGCTTCCGTTCGACTCACCACAGTGTTTTTGATTCCCGTAGTCGTTCAGTCTCACTTAGTCGAAGTGGTTCGCCATTTCGATCCGGTTCACCTAGCCGTACGGTGTGTTTTCGTCAGAGTGATTCTCGTAGTCGGTCTCATTCACTTCAGGTGAATCAGGATATCCCGTCTTGTCAGTCTAGACTCAGTAGCGTAATTTTGCTCACACTGTAACAATATTTACTTCCTCGGATCCCCAATCGTCATGTTCCTGGAGCAAACGTTGTCGGGAATGTGCTCCCTTATTAAGGACGTTTTTAGAGCATGTAGACATACTTGCTCCCGATGGCTGGCAGACAGAGCTTGTTACACTTCAACAGTTGATCACCCGACAAACCCCCGATTCTAACGACCGGTATTAACTGCTCGTCGTCTGCAGATTCCCATGTCGGACGGTGATAATTTTATGGACGCATCATTAGCTGTGGTTCCGCCTCATCAAAACGCTCTGTGTTACCAGTTGACTCACACATCCGATCTACATCGTCAAATCGCCGAACCGATTCACCACACCGAATCGGTTCGCCATACCGAATGGATTCACCAGACCGAACCGTTTCGCCATACCGAATGGATTCACCACACCCAATCGGTTCGCCATACCGAATGGATTCACCACACCCAATCGGTTCGCCATACCGAATGGTTTCACCAGACCGTACCATCAAATTGCCGAACCGATTCACCACACCGAATCGGTTCGCCATACCAAATGGATTCACCAGACCGAACCCGTTTAGCCGCGCCGTATGTGAATCGACATTGACTCAGTTAAGCCATAATATTAAAACTGTTTCTTATCGCGAAACAGTTCACATCATCGATTCAATTCACAGCACCGAAGCGATTCACCTCGGCGGAACATTTCACTTCAGCCTCACCGGTTCATCTGGCGTTCTAGATCTCTCCATCAGCTGAGATCATTTAACCCGTTCGGATTACCGAACCGATCCAGATCAGTCACGCGATTCAGATCACATCGGACTGATTCAGATCCGCGATCAACTTTCCGGCTCACCACCCTGAACTGATTTACCAGCCCGGCTCGTACCGTTTCACCAGGTCGAAGGCTCCCTATCGTCGAACCAGTTCACCTAGCCGTTCAAGATCAATGTACAGAGGTAGTAGTAGCTATGTGCTTCACCATGCCGATTTGATTTACATGTGATGTTAGTAGCGCAGTCATCTAGAGATATCATTTCGGCACTTGACGGCCTGGCGATCCCAGTTCTCAAGAGTCCTCCGTGACCGGGGCTCATCTCATTCCATATTTAATCTACCATCCGATCTTCACTTTTGATGAATGATTCGGTTCAACGATTCTACCCTTCGGTGTAGATATCAGTTCTGCAACCACCCGATATGGCATAACTAGATACGCTTGCTAGCCAGGAATACTCTACGACGCTCCGATGAGTCTTGTTACTACAGACTACTGGTAACAGCGTGTTTGTGTATCACTGGGTGCAATTGTTGCAGACGGCTCGTCATCTTCATCTCCCTTTGTTTTACATGATAAGCAAGTTTCTGGACAGATAACAAATGGGTGAAGTTCTTGCGCATGGTACCAGCAATGTTTTGTCAAATAGCCAGCATAGCTCAGCCGAATTTATGGGTTGCGACTTCGCCCGGTTTACCAAAGACAAAGTTGTCCATTATATTTTGTCACTTTCGTGTGTAGCGTTTGCAAATGGCGGACTACTGTTTGTTTTACCGAATTTTGATGATTAGAGTGACTATGAAGTGCCCTTGCAGAATTCTCTTGGTCCCACGAATCGGATACCAAGTCCAGCCTTTAAATGCAAGTAACAACTAACGCTGTCATTCGGTAAGAGTGACTGTGTCGAGATTTTGACAGCCAGTCGAGAGACTGCTTATTGAGGGTGACGGACAGAAACACCCGTGAGCGGTTTGACTAGTCAAGCACTGAGTTCAGAGGTCACTGCATTATGCAAGGACTGTCACCAGGCAGCGATCTACTACCTATATCACTCCACCTGGCAGCACCATTATTTTGTTCGGCCAAAAGAAACGTTCCTGAGGTCACCGATCCTCCGGAATTTCTACAATTTGTTTATAATGTGAGCGTTCTTGTAGATTGACTGACAATCTCCATCGCCGAACATACTACATTGAGCACTCCGTCAGAACTGGCGAAGTTGCTCGACTTATTGAACGTTCTTATATCAGGAGATATCTTTTGTCAGAGGCAAGAGTGGTTAGACCTCTCATTTCCTCGACCTCGCGATGGCCGTGGGGTAGCCTAGTGGTTAAAGCGTTGACTTCGCACGCCCAAGACCCGGTTCGATCCCCACATGGGCACAATGTGTTAAGCCCATTTCTGGTGCCCCTGCCGTGATTTTGCTGGATTACTGCTAAAGGCGATTGTAAAACTAAACTCAGTCAGTCAGTCAGTCCCTCGACCTGTGAGGCGCTTACCTTCACATCGGATACTTCCAGACTATCGGAAGTATCTTCGATTTACTTTTATGGGGCGTCATTGATACCAATGGAGGATCCTGCTGTATGGGCATATGCGCAGCCCCGTGGTTTTTTACTCAGATACCCATTCTGATAACAATCTACCTGCATTGTCGCAGCGTGACAATTGACAACAATATCGACGACTGTGTTCAAGCCCAGCAGGATCCAGTCGTCCTTCCCTTCCACAGACAGTTCATCATCAAGTTGCTCACACAATTAGGATGGCTACTAAATTCGGAGCAATCAGGGGTAACACCGACCCGCTGTTTCTTCTTATTGGGACAATATTCAACACACCAGGTCATGATGTTTGTGCCCCAGGAGAGGTGGGACAAGATTCAGTGCAACGCACCACTAGTGTTGGTCCAACCCACACCTTTTCGCCAGTGGCAGAAGTTACTAGGGTGGTTGGTGTCGGCACAAGTGCTGACTTACAGGGGCCAGCTGCAGCTTGCCCTCTTCAGATGGTTCTGTACCCATACATCGGGGACGACAACCCCAGGGAGTTGATTCGTCTTCCCGCACAACTACATTCAGTCTTTTGTTGGTGGCTCAACAAGTGGAATGTTTGTGTTGGAGTCTCTAGGGTGCCCTTCATACCGACTCAACACCTATTCGTTGGCACATCTTGCAAGCTGGAGCTCACTTTCTCCATCAAGTGGCCTAGCCGTGGTCATCAGGAGAAAGGGCCCTTCATCACAACTTAATTGGAATTCAGCATTGTCATTATCGCCTGTTCGCACCGGGACAACCATCAGCTTCAGCAGATGATCACCAGTTCGCGATCGTTTCTGCTTTGTGTACAATCTGAATAAAATTCTGACTTTTATTTCTGATTTGTGTCTTCGATTCTTCTGGGACTTGTGAGTTTCGATTCAATTACCCTTTCACCCTCCACGGGGCGGTGTCTGTGGGGGTTGTGTCGAAGCAGGGGATGGCCGATACTGGTCGTCAGACCTTGGAAATCGATGGTAATGCGACTGTTTACACTTTCGCTAAGCTGCGTCCTTTCACTTGCATGAAGGTAGTGACTGAACACCCCATTGCTCGGGAATCCCGGTCCCTGGAGCACTTGTGTTTAGTAAGTCAATGGGTTCGAACTGACCATCGCAGGTCTCGCTTTTGAGACGCTGGAGGGTCCACACCTCACTTACTGTCCCCTGCTCCACGGAGTAATTACGTCAGTGAAGTGAGTCATTCCCGAAGTGTTACACTTCGTAGCGTTACCTAAAGCATCGCAAGAGTGCCGCCGTCTGCGTAAGAGACTGTTTACACCCTTGTCTACTGCTTCCAAGGCAGAAGTCTCTCGCACAACACTCTCATATTGGCTACGAGCTACAACACTACGAGCCTACACTTTGACGGTTTTGCCACCACCTACGGCAGTCAACCCTCATGAAACCAGGGCATTGGCTTCTCATGGCGTTGCATAGCAACTGCTTGTTAACTGCCATAATGGAGGATTGTTTTTGGCGATCTGACACAGTTATTTCATCTCATTACCTCAGAGATGTGTCGGTGACGGATTTTCAAGGCCTTCATCAGTTTGGACCACTCGTCCTTGCCCAGCAGTTATCAGCGGCACAACATCACAGATAATGAACTTCCTTGTGCTCCGATGCTATATGGATCACACTGTGCAGTTGATCCCAAGTCGCGATCGTGTCTGCTTGTGTACAATCTGAATAAATCTGAAGAACTTTTTCAGATTTCCGTCTTTATTTCTTCCGGGATTTAGATTTCTCCTCTCATTTGTTTGAGACTACAGAGAGTCGCCACCTCACTTACTGTCCTCTGCTCCACGGAGTAATTAAGTCAGTGAGTCTTTCCCGAAGTGTTACACTTCGTGGCGTTCATGCTCCTAAGTGCCTATACACATCTATGTGATCTTACTGTGGTAAGTAGTGGAAGTCATAAGATGATGTGGTACTGAACGTTAAAATTGTGAGTTTTACCGATTCAATTTCTCTTTCACCCTCCTCGGGACGGTGTCTGTGGGGGTTGTTTCTAAGCAGGGGCTGGCCTGATACTAGTCGTTAGACTTTTATTACGGGGGTACCTTGGAAATCGTGGCGATGCGACTGATTACACTCGTTAAGCTACGTCCTTTCACTTTGTGAAGGTAGTGACTGAACACCACATTGCTCGGGAATCTCGGTCCCTGGGAGCAATTGTGCTTAGTAAGTCAATGGGTTCGCACTTACCCTCGCACATAGTAACTTGGTAGTTATTGGCCTACCTTGTAGTTGCTTCCTACGGTTGTTTGGGCATAACACTTAGCTGTTATCGCTTGAATTTCGGGTAATCTATGACCCACCTTCCTACTGTGGGATAAGTGCAAGTTGTGAGATAGGATAAGTTTAAAAATTTGAAAATTTTAACTATAAATTGTATATTTATATACTTATCCTATCTCATGAGATAAAGTCCCTCCCTACCTCCCCATTACATAGATTGCCACCGTTCCGGTTTTGTCCTTTTATGGCTCCAAGATCGAGAATGAGTATGTGAGGTGATCACGTGGGTGAGGACTGCGCATGCCTCGTGCTGTCATGGACTAGTGAGCACGACTGACACAGGAAGGCACGCACAGCACGGGAGAGGGGCAAGGTAGGCCTTGGAGCAAAGTTTTAATTCGTTTCCACTCATGGTTGAATGAAGAGAGAGAGGTGCAAGTCGTGAGATAGGATAAGTATATAAATAAATATACAATTTATAGTTAAAATTTTCAATTTGGTTCTCTGTTCATGTTCATGTCAGTATTAACATCAGATCTTTTGCCCGTCTCAATGCCTCTCTCCATCAAGAGCTTGACAAATCCCCAGTTTGGAGACTCTTATCATCCATATGACCCATGAAACTAGGAATCATAATCATTTTAAATTATTACAAAGTCAGTGACAAGTATAACATATGTTATATTTGGGATTACGCTTTCTTAGTAAAGTACAAATTCTAGTACTTTTGGGGGGTTGAGTCCCATCCGGGATTCGAACCCACACCCTTAGAGTCAGGCACCAAATCACCAGCACACCAAGTCAGCTGCCTAACCCGCTCAGGCACCGCGACTTCCACAAAATTGGAAGTCGGACAACTGGTAGTCTAGACTGCGCACTTTGTGTACCCCTCTCATAAGTGTAAATTGACAGTGACAAGTAGGAAATCACTTCCCACTTTATGGCAGGTGGCATGTTGTGTACAGCAAATTGGGATGAGAGTAGGACTACAATCTTCTTTAAACTCTGATGTCACTACAATGTAATCATAATCAAATGTCTCTCTATGTTATAAGTTGAAGGAAGTGCTGCTTGCACTCTGCAGTCCATTTTCTAAAACATTTGCACTCAAACACAAGGTGTGATGTTTTCTCCTGGGTGGATGCTTTTGTCTGTATGCATTTGCCAAAGTTTTGAGCACCACTTGCGTCAGTTGTCATCCTTGTTTGTGTTGCAGATAAACCAGAAGTGGAAACTCAGGACATACATCAAGTATTTGATGCTCTGTCCAAAAATGTATTTAGGAATCTCATACTGGATGAACAGAAAAGGTAACATCTCCCAAACATGTACTTATTATCATAGCCATATCGTGTCCAGTGGATGTTGGGATTTGTAAATGTGAGCATATCAGAGAGTGATTCTGTTTGTAGCTGTATTTAAGCAATGTCATGGCAGGGTTTACCAGAAATGGGCCACATCTATGTAGGGAACTGAATGAGTTGTTGGCTTAACAAACAAACATTCTTCTTCATAGAGATCGTCCTTGGGGTACATATTATGCATTTTCCAAGCTGAAAATGTCCTGTGACAGTTGTATCAATGTTTTTTGAATAAAAAGATTGTACAATAAATAAACTCTTTTATTTACTATACGGCCCCTACCTCACGGAGTTACCTCCCGTTGAGCATGCGCACCAACTGGGTAAGCTCCTAGACCCGTATCATCATTCCTTCTGCTGTCACTGCCGTGAACAGACGTCCATGAGCCGTACAGCGCTGAATTTTCTGATAAAGAAAACTATGTCTGATACTACACCACCTGTATGTATGGTCTTTATTTGCCTATGAAAGGAACAGTAAAGCTTTACAGTTGGTTGTTTCATAATTGTGACTTTGTATTAATTCTATTACGCTAACTTTCCCGTGGTTTACGCACATGTTGCTCTGCCATGGCGGGAAGTTTAGCGTGCCATGTGGTCGTAATATTGCGTATTGAACCAACTCTTACTTCCCGTGGTAGCCTTCACGTATTTTTCAATGTTTTCTACGTGTATATATGTTGCTGGTCCGCCGTTAGCTACATGCTTGCGTGTTTGCTTTCAGGCCTTTTCCTCCTGTTTGGTCTGTGGACAGAGCATTCCACGGGCGGACAGGCATGACCAATGTGTAGCCTGTCTGGAAAAGACCGGCCATGACGCCGAAGTGTGTCCAATATGTCTTGGGTTTTCCCCCCGTGCCCCAAAGAGGAGGGCGGCTGACACTCTCTTTTACAAAGAGATGCGAGAGGCGGGTGGGGAACCTACCCAGGTCCCCCCGTCTAAGGCCCAAAAGCGGTCTCGTAAGGGAAAAAAATCCCAAAGCCAAGCCCCCTCTCCTGCTTCTACTGGTGGGTTTGACATGTCATTAATGGATAAATTGTTTCAGCAACATATGGACTCTGTGAAGTCCCTCGTCCGTGAGTCTGTTGGAGGGCTCCGGCAGGAGTTCCTCGCTCACTCTGGGACGGGGGGCGGAGAGTCAGGGGGTGGGATCGCCGGGCTCGGCTCGATCCCTCAGCCTTGAGGCGTCTGTAGACCCGTTGCCTCTGGCTTCGGGTCCGGGGCGAGGGGAGGTGCCCAGTCCCCGGAGTTGGCGCAGGGACCGTTGAGTATTCCTGGGGTTCCGATCCCTGCGCCTCCATGATGCCCGGAGGCACCAGTTCTGCCTGGTATGCCTCCAGCGTCTCGGGACGAGGAGTCCGTGCAGCTTGCGAAGCTGGCTTGGGGGCACTCTGTCTGCTCCTCCTCTCTGTGGTTCCTAGTGCTAGGCCGCCCACCGGGTCGGGGTTAGGGTCCTCTTTCAGAGGAGACCCAGCCCAGACTTCGGGGGCTCGAGCGCCCGAGTCGATGGAGCTTGGGGAGGTAGAGGCAGCATGACGGTGCTTTCGGTTTGCTTCGGCTCTGCGGGGAGGTCCGGCAAAGGATTGCCGAGGGCCTACCCCAGGCAGCGGTGCCTGTTGGCAGCTTCGGACGGCTGAGTTCGGCATATTCGCGGCAGTTCAGGCTCTGCTGGCATCGGCGAAGCGCATTCCACCGGGAGAGGAACGAGGCGGAATTTTACTCCACGTACTTCCTGCGTCGAAGAAAGGCGGCGGGTTCCGTCCCATTCTCAACCTCAAGGGGTTGAACCGCATGCTAGAAGTACCATCCTTCAAGATGGAGACACTGCGCTTCGGTGATCTCATCTGTTCAGCCCGGCGATTGGCTCCGTCAATCGACCCTAAAGGATCGCGTATCTGCATGTGCCCATACATCCATCGTTCAAGCAGTACCTTCGGTTCTCTTACGGACGGGATGTGTTACCAATTCAGGGTGCTCCCCTTCGGCATATCGACTGCCCCAAGGGTGTTCAGCAAGCTCATGTTAGTCCCAGCTACCCTGCCGCTTTCGTTAAGCAAAGGAAGGCGTTGTTACCCTTACCTCGGCGACTGGTTGCTCGGAGCACTAACACAGCCAGCGAGTCTAGATGCTACTCACACAGTGATAGACATTCTAATTCGACTGGGGTGGATAATCAACCTCAAGAAATCCGACCTGGTACCCACCCAGGACTTGGTTTTTCTTGGGTCGCGATTCCAAACAAACAAGGATCTCGTTTCCTTGTCGCCCGACCGGATCACCAGAGTTCGGGAGATGGTATCTTCGTTCCTCTCCCAGCCCCAGGCACCAGCCGCGGACTTGGCTCCGTCTACTGGGCCATATGGCGGCGACGATCTCTGTCGTGTGGCCGTAGCGGTTGAGGATCGCCCTATACAGCAAGCTTTGGCTCGGCTGTGGGCTCACCGCGGAGGATCTGGGCGCGCAGTCTCACAGTCCCGAGTGGTTGACACCTCACCTTCAGTGGTGGACAAATGTCGGGAATCTCACCAGGGGGATCCCCTTGGAAATCCCGACGCCAGCTCTCACAGTTCAGACCGATGCGTCCCTCACGGGCTGGGGGGGTGTTCTGGGCAGTCTGTCGGCGTCGGACTCTGGTCGAAGCGAAGCCCACCTTCACATCAGCGTGTTGGAACTGAGAGCTGTGCGGTTGGTTTCGGCGCTTCAGAGAGCATGTCCGTGGCCAGGTAGTCCGTCTTCAGTTGGACAACCAGGCGGCCATGTCGTACATCCTGAAGCAGAGGCGGCACGGTGTCCCCAGCGGCTCCTCGGGGCGTGGGACTTTCTCCTCTGGTGCGACCAGTGCGACTGTCAGGTACTCCCTGTTTATCTCCGGGGCTGGAGAGCGTGCGAGCAGATGCGCTCTCTCGCGGATCCTGGCCCTTGCAGTGGATGCTTTCGACAGGCAGATTTTCAGAGTAATCTCCCAGTTATGCGGGTGCGTTCCAGGTGGATCTGTTTTGCGTCGGCGGGGCGCATCAGACACCCGTGTTCTGCTCTCGAATACGGACCCAGGGGCGTTGGCTGCGGCGCCTTCCTGCTGGATTGGACGGGCAAAGTGCTCTGGGCGTTCCGCCGTTACCACTCATTCCCGTGTCCTTTCACAGCTGTCCACCCAGCCAGCTCGGCTGCTTGTGCTACTGGCACCGCTTTGGCCGTCACAGAGCTGGTTTCCGGTAATTCTCAGGTTTCTGGCTCAGCCTCCTGTTCTATTACCTTCTGACCCGGACATTCTCACTCAGAGCGGGCCCACCCAAATCCGGATTCAGTGGGTGGCTTGGCCTCTGTCAGGTCTAGCCTCGAGGCCGCAGCGGAATTCCTGCAGCAGTTGCAGACACAATTCTGGCCGGTGGGATTCGACAAGCGTTCAGTATGAGGATAGGTGGTCCCGCTATGCGCGCTGGTGTTCAGATAGGGGATTGCAGATCCCTTTTCTGCGGATTTAGTCCAGTATTGGAGTTTTGCAAGCTCGTTTGGAAGAAGGCCTGGCGGCCGACCATTCGTGGCTACTCCACGCTATTTCCACTTTTCACACCCCTGTCGATGGTGCTCTTCTGGGGCAGCACCCTCTCGTACAAGCGCTTTCTTGCTGGCGGAGCGGATTCGACCTGCTCTCAGGCGAACCAGTCCACCTTGGGATTTGTCAATCGTGCTTTCGATTGGCTGTCGGTCCAACTTTCTCACACCTATCGGCTATTTCCATTCAGTTGTTAACTTGGAAGGCTGTTTTCTGGTGGCGGTAACATCTGGGCGTAGGGTCGGCGATTTACATGCTATGTCGTCCGACCGGCTGACTGTGTTTCACACTGATCGTGTCAGCATTAAGCCTCCCGGATACTTACGCCCGAAGGTCGATCCGCTTTCCATGTGACAGCTCCTATCGAACTTCCCACTCTTACCCAGCCTTCCACATCGGGGACCACTCTCCTCTGAGCACTCACCCGTTGGATGTCCGTAAGGCGCTCAAAGTCTATATCAAGCGAGCGCGGGGAATCCGTGCGGGTACCCAGCTGTTCTGTTTATTCTACGGTGGCGGGAAGGCTGGTCTGCCAGCGAGCAAGCAGACTTTGTCTGGCTGGCTAGTTTCGTGTATTTGTGCGCTTATCAGGCTAAGGGCAAGCCTCCCCTGAGGGGTTGAAGGCTCACTTTCGGTCAGGGCAGTAGCGCATCAAAAGCTTTTGCATCGGCACTCCCCATTGAAGAGATCTGCTCTGCGCTATTTGGAGCCGGCCAAGCTGCGTTTATCACGGCACTACCAGCTCGATACACATTCCCGTAATCGTGCGAGCTTTGGCCGTTCTGTTCTCTCCAGTGGACAGTGTCCTGCCACCCTGACCGAGTGAGTCTTGGTTTATTGGTTTGTTTATTGACGCTGCTGTACAATAATTGTGTATTATTGACATATCTGCTACTGTGAGCTAACTACCCCCTTTCGATTCTCTCAGGAGTAATTAGTCGATTGTGAGCGGTATTGACATTCCCCCCTACGGTGCTCACTAATCGACACGTGGTGGGTGGGGTTTTGTTGACATTCGTACATGTGCGATTGCCTATGCTAAACGTATGGAGGTCGTCTTTGAGCACAAATCCTCCCTGTCAGTTCCCCTCCCATAATGCCTCTCGCGGAAGCGCAACTGGGACAAGTGACAGGTGAGTGTTATGGCGTCTGTTCAATTTTTTTCCATGATACGATCGCTATATTTTGTGTGTGCTTGGACAGAATTCCCTCCTCCCTGGCCTCCGGTCTTTGGGAGTCTGTGTTTATGCATAATATGTACCCCAAGGACGATCTCTATGAAGAAGAATTAACCAAACCTGAAGAGGTTTTCAATTCTTGAAGAGAGTCGATCCTTGGGGTAGGGCTCCCGCCTCCCGCAATTCTGTTCACTGATATATTCAGCAGAAGGAATGATGATACGGGTCTAGGAGCTTACCCAGTTGGTGCGCATGCGCAACGGGAGGTAACTCCGTGAGGTAGGGGCCGTATAGTAAATAAAAGAGTTTATTTATTGTACAATCTTTTTATTCAAAAAACATTGATACAACTGTCACAGGACATTTTCAGCTTGGAAAATGCATAATATGTACCCCAAGGACGACTCTCTTGAAGAAGAATTGAAAACCTCTTCAGGTTTGGTTAAGAGGGACATCTCCTGTGAGGTCGATCTGTACAAACCACTGCATGGGTCAGCCATCTTCCAGAGGGGACAAACTCAGGCAGGTTTTTGAGAGATTCCTTTTGTTTAGAAAGGTTTTGGCTTTTGATTAATGTAGGACAATGCTTTGTAGTCTGCTCCAGACAGACATTTTAAGGCTATGGCTCAAACTGATGTTAAGATTTGCCTGCATGGACATGCCAGGGCAGATGAGGTTTCCAGTCTTTCCATAGGGGACAAAGTGGTTGATCATGCTGAAATCTACACGTTGCGTTCAAAATTGTCATCTACGAACCAAAATTACTGTCCGCTGAACAGACAATGATATAGCTCTTAACATTTTGAAGTAAATATTGAGTGACCCGCCTCTCATTATGAAGTGTTTGGGACTGAACTATGACTGAGTTTGAAGGGTTTGTTTTCATCAAATGTTTTCTAATATCCCTGAAAGGTTCTCCCTGAGACTAACAATATAACCCTTCAGTGGACCATGTCAGCCAAGTAAATGTGTTGTGGCTGTTTTGCAGGTTCTATGTACCGTGACATTCGACAGTCTCGACACAGCCTTCAAGTCAGACCCTATGTCTGTTCTGGCTGGGTACGTACCCCTACCTTTGCTAGGCCATCAGTGTAGTGCTTACATATTGCTGATTAACTGCTGGGAAATTAAATTATACATCCTTGAAGGGATTATTTTATTTACTCCGAAACATCTTGATATCAGAATATCTCTAGTGGTTAAAGTTATAACAAAACCCGGTTCAACAACAAGTGAAGCCCAGTGCCTCAGACCAGATTGATTCTCTGATAAATCTTTACGTGGAAGTGAGAGAAACTGTTGCCATGCTCCTTAACACCTGCATCTCTGACACACCACTGTATTACTGAAATAATGTTCAAGATAGTGTTAAACAAATGACCTGAGTAAATGTGCCCTTTGTGGAAATCTAATTGTTGCAACTCGAGGTTGACAGTAAAGATTCCTTCTTTCCTTGTTGTACCCGTGAAGATCCGGGTTTGAATATTGATCTTCAGTAACCCATGCTTGTCGTAAGAGGCGACTAACAGGATCGGGTGGTCAGGCTCACTGACTTGGTTGGTACATGTCATCTGTTCCCAATTGCGCAGATCGATGGTCATGTGTTGATCACAGGATTGTCTGGTCCAGACTCGATTATTTACAGACCGCCGTCATATAGCTGGAATATTGCTGAGTGTGGCGTAAAACTAAACTCACGCACTCACTCTTTCCATGTTGCAATCAGACCATGTTATGTTATGTTTCAGAGGTCTGAAGGAAAAGAATTTCATGTTGCATTACGAGGTGAGATGCTCGGAAATACAAGTTTGCTTCAAAATTATAGATTGTGACATGTATAACTACAGTGTCAATGAGATTAAAGTTGTTGATGCTTGTTTAAAGATTTTGTACACTTCATGTAGGTCCAAACCATGAAGTAAAATCCACCAATAATTGTTGCCATAATGATGTGAACTGTGGAATATTTTGACAAAAGAGTGTGTATGGCGATACAGTGATTGACATGTTTAGCGTTAATCTACACAATTGTAAGACAGTAACATGCTTCAACCAAGTCTCCGAGTCTGACCACATAAGCCCTGCAGTCACATTCTAACCTGTCTTCATGGTGTGAGGGGCGGTGGGGTAGCCTGGTGGTTAAAGCGTTGTACGCCGAGTCTGCCGAAGACCGGGTTTCGAATCCCCACATGGGTACAATGTGTGAAGCCCATTTCTGGTGTTCCCCGCCGTGATGTTGCTGGAATATTGCTAAAAACGGCGTAAAATCATACTCACTTACTCCCTCATGGTGTGACAAAACAATTGCTGTTTTTCACGAGGCTTATTGAACCAATGAAACAGATGAAACTGCTAACAGTCACTTAGCTGAACAGAGATTGAAGGAATTCTGATTCTGTGTATAGTGGATGGATTCTAACCTTATGCTCTCTTACAATCCAAGACACATGTCAGTCTCTGAACACGTGGATCTGAGGCAGAGCAGGTGACTCTGGTACTTTCACCTGTAATGATTCCAGGTTAGAAAGGCTCTTCAGCAACTTAGGATCAGGTGGACTGAGTAACTTGGTTCTCACATGGACATTAACATTGTCTATGATATCAATCACATAATTGTTTGGTCCTGACTCAATAAATTGAGTGAGTTTAGTTTTACGCTGCACTCAGCAATATTCCAGCTATATGATGGCGGTCTGTAAATAATTGAGTCAGGACCAGACAATCCAGCGATCAACAGCATGAGCATTGATCTGCGCAATTGGGAACCGATGACATGTGTCAGCCAAGTCAGCGAGCCTGACCACCCGATCCCGTTAGTCGCCTCTTAAGACAAGCATGGGCTACTGAACGTTCCTTCTAACCCGGACCTCCATAGGTGACTCAATAAACATTGGGCAGCTGGAATTCTGCTGAGTGTGGCATAAGACAACAAAAATGCAGAAGTGGTTGAATTGCTCAGAATTCTTCTTTGTAGAATGAATTTATGAGGTGATACATTTTTGCTATAAATCATTAACATCAGTAATGGCAGCCTTTCTTATTTTTCCTTATCCTGACTCATGCTCTTTTTGCTTGTCTTCTTCTTCTTGCGAACATAGTGGAACACTTGTATCTCCCTAATTGAAGCTCCCTTCAATGTAAAATCACTAATTAGTACTCAGCACGAGTTACCTCCCTTCCACAAGCGCGGGAACGAGGGCGCCACCTCCACCCATGTGCCTCACTCTCTCCTTCTTCGCCCAGTGAGCTGGACGTGAGAGCACCTGTGTCTCCCGACACACTATATCCTTTGATTATATTTAGTTAGTTACCTCGTATAGACATCTATAGAGGTTTAGCTAGTATCCTTCAACAATTATATATTGATATTTAGTCGTGTTTCTACTGTTTATTCACGGACCTTGCCGTGTTTGTTTCAGTGGATTACGTTGATAAAAATTCTGTTCTGTTGCAGATTACGTTTTTATTCTGCTGCTGATCCGCATTTAATATGCCCTAGTTGTACTGCGCCATGTTCATTTTATTCACGTTGCAGTTGCGGTACTAATTTATCCATTTCTGCCTTTAATAAATAATTGCTTTGCGTTTGAGAGGCAGCGCGGAGATAGAGTCGCATATGCAGAGTCTAGCCATGACTGATACACCTGAACCCCTCGCCAGTCTACTGCTGTTGGTCGACCCGCTCCCGTCTGGTGTTCCGCTAGAGTGGTGGAGAGGCGTGGGGCGTAGTCCGCCCGCCTCAAGAAGCGTCCTGCTTCCCCAGACATCCCATCGTCGCGGCGAAGACTAGAGTTTTCTACTGCATCTCAGCAGCGACCTCTGAGGGGAAATCAACGAAGTCTACTTGAACTTTCTCAGCTGAGATTGTTCCGTCGCGAATTTGGGCCTGTATGATGATCAGCCGATCATCATACCTGATGTACATCAAAGAATGACCGATGTCGGCAACAGTGATGTCAGCGCAGATCAACATGCAGCCTGATGTACCAACGCTGATGTTCTATGATCTTCCTGAGGTCCCGTCGCTACCAACACTCAGCGCAGACCGCACCCCAGGGCAGCGTCGACCTCTGAGGGGAAATCAACGAAGTCTACTAGGACTTTCTCAACCGAGATTGTTCCAGCCGCTGAACTGGGCCTCTACGATGATCAGCTGATCATCATCCCGGCGTCGCCACAAGAAGCGGACGGAGACAGCTACAGTGACATCAGCAGAGATCGCCATGCAGCCTGATGTCTCTACACTGACGTCAGACGACTTCCCTGAGGGTCCCGGCGCTAACATCGCAGAGAGGGCACCGACTAATACGTCGCAGACCATCCCAGATGAACTGTTGCGGCAAATCATGATCATGATGGAGGGCCACCACAGACTGGGAAGCAGCCAGCCCAAGGCCCGTGCCTTCGCGAAGGTTCCAACGCAGACGACACCCCAGAGGCACCCCCATCAGCGTAGCAGCCACGAACGAAGCCACCTTCGCGAAGGAAGTCGCAGACCACCTCCACGAAGGACCCAGATGTACAGCCTCGGCTTCATCCCTAGATGCGGACTCAGACCGTCAGACCTCACGGAAGCCTTTGCGAAGGTCAAATCGCCGTTCCCCAGGACCGGACGCAGAGGAAGCTTCGCGAAGGCCTTCGCGAAGGCCTTCGCGAAGGACACCTGACTACACGAGAGCTTCGCGAAGCTATCAACATTCTCCTCACAGGTCTCCGAGAAGGTCAACCCATAGACGCAGTTCACCAACACGATCTCCGCGCCGTTAACCGCGCCGATCTCCTCGTACATCACCACATCGATCGTCTCACAGGTCACCACACAAGTCTGCACACAAGTCTACGGTCAGGTCTCCCCGGCGTCACCCGACATAGAGATAGAAATACACAGTCCACCATCAGAAGAGCATCAACCTCTCATCAGTGATGCTGGGATAGAAAAAATGATGGAGGCATCATTTTCTCAGGCGCTGAGATACGATATTGGATGGTAAACAACCTAGATCTCTCTTCACCTTCCAAGAGTGGCAACTTCGGCGCAGACATACCTGATAAAGGAAGGCGAGGCAGAGCGCCATCACCTTACCTCCAATCGACTCGATTGCTGCGGTGCCACAGTATGTGGACACAGCCTACCATAAAGCCATAACAGTTCAAGCGCCAGAGGCGTATGTTATTGGCATTAATAGATCTAGAACGATCAATGAGATTCTTATCACCAGATTTCGTGACCGCGACTTCTGAAGATGATAGGATGATCTACTCGGCTCTACTTATGCAGAACCAGCAAGAACCACACCCTGTATGAAGCTAGCAGCTCATATATTGATCGGTTTCTAGACACTTTGCCTAGGAAGTCCCAGGCCACCTCAGCGAAGGAGCTAGAGCCTCACCAGTTACAAGGGGCGTCCGGCGGATGGTAGCTTCACCCGACCCCACATATTGCTGAGTGCGGCGTAAAACAATACGCTCACTCACTCACTCCTGTTGAACACAGAGGTGGATTCGCTGAAGCAAGCTCATATATTATATATATACTGATCGGCTCTGACTCAATACCTTCCGGCGAAGTCGCGAAGGCTAAAGTGGCTCAAGTCTACCTCACACAGGAAATCTAGATTGGATACTTAGAGAGCTTAATGAAATCTCCGGCGTCCACCGGGAATTCTCCTCCAAGGTCTCCATATATTAGCCACTTTCGTCATATATAGCTACTTCGTCAGTCCGTTCAAGACATCGCGATAAGTTGTCTATCAACTGTATGCCATATGCCGTCTATAAGCCTCGCGAAGACAATTGCACAGGCTATTTACAACACAAGCGTCGCTATATTAATTAATCAACGGCGTTGCATAGATCTTCACAGAAATCAACCTTCCGTTATAGATTGCTAGAATATGCAATCCCGGACTACGATACGAGTATCTACATGCGTGACCATTACGCAGATCTGCAGACAATTCAATATCGAAATTGAACAGCAGCCTTGTTACAGCGAGTATAACTCATAATCGTCCAAAGTTTCTGAGAAAAATATGTACAACAAGTTCAGCTTTAATTCTACAATTATGACGATACATTCATGTATACAGTCTACAAGCTGACAACTTGCAAGTTTATTGTACCTTTATATAAGAAAGTCGGAATTATATTCAAAACTGAAGTTACTTTCACGACAGCCAGGAAAATAACCTACCCAGCATTAATATTACAGAGCGAGGTATTTCGCGCGGAGGTTTCTCGCGTTTACCTTTAACCCTCGAAACTCGCGTGGTCACTCGGGTAACCGGGAAGCTACGGTGAAGACCGGCGATTATGCTAATATCAGCGGCGGCAAGATTTTTATACAAGGTTTTTCCTGCTACACCTGTGACATCACAGCGGGAATTCTACAGAATCAAAATGCCTTGTTCTGATTGGACGCGTTGGACAACGACCTACGCGAGAGAGTCGATCTTAGTTCACAGGTCAACACTTACGTTACAAGTGACAACTATATATCAGTGAGCGAGCAAGCCTCCTTACAGTCCAGTTAATCTGAACCTTCATGATTGGGCTGCTTTCTTCAGGTTAGAGACCTCCCCTGTCAAGTTAGGGCGAGGGCACGGCAGTCAGGCAATTTTACATAAACTTCAACGAGGACAGACACACCTGGTTGTGCACCTACATCGTCAAGGACTTCGCAGCGAATAACCTAGACGACGGGATACAAGTGGATCTAAATCCACAGGGTCTCAGACTACAGCTGAATGTCATAATGAAGCTACTAACACAACTAGATGGTTAGTAAACCTACTTAAACTTTCTGATTGGAGAATTAAAACGGAAGTTTCACCCTCCAACTTGGGGATCTGAATATAGTGCTCCAACACCTCACAAGTGAGGTTTATGAACACGTCTGGATGACATACTTGGACTTCATGATACGATGATTCTATCACGATGGCCAGCAAGAGCACTGTAAATTTATCTCCACCCGAACCAAACAGAAGGGAATAATACAACAGATTATTTCCTCTATCATCAACTTACATGAGAATGAAATCTCACGTACTATATCTCCGTTTGGATCAGAACTGTCATACTCACGTGCATACAAGAGGATGGACCCAATCCGACCCTCCATGAGCTTTAATACTCATGATATTAGAGCTTAACTTCTGCATTGATCTACACAATGTTATTTGAAATAATGGAGGGTTTATTTTCTGGAGATCCGATATGGTGGTTGCCAACCATTATCTGAGAGATATCATCACCGAGGGGCGTCTCAGGTATCCACCAATTCGATCCCATGGTCCTCGCACAACAGTTGACAGTTCCTCGGAGAAGATAAGTCAATCTTACAGATTTCTACTTATCTTATAACAGATCTGAAATAGCTACATGCTATATATAATTTGCTTAAGTTCTTTTATCATCACAGTACTATGATTATTACATCATACAATATATAAGTTAACAACTCTACAGAGTTGGTTATTATATATTTACCTTAACTTAATTATATCTTAAGCATAGTACTATACTCAGATTGTAAAAATATATAAGCTAACAAACTCTACAGAGTTTGGGCTTTTATATAGGTAGCTTAAGCTTATTCATATCTTAAGCGCAGTACTATGTTTATATCATATAGGTATTTTAGCTATCAAAACTCTAAAAGAGTTTTTTGCTATTATATATTTGGCTTAAGTTTCATCATCATTTAAGCTTTATGGTTACATTATAACTTGTATTAGCTAACAAACTCTACGGAGTTTTTGCTATTATATATGTAGCTTAAGTTTCCTTCAAATCTTAAGCTCAATACTATGTTTATATCATATAAGTATATTAGCTAACAAACTCTACGGAGTTTTTGCTATTATATATGTAGCTTAAAGTTTCCTTCAAAGCTCAATACTATGTTTATATCATATAAAGTATATTAGCTAACAAACTCTACGGAGTTTTTGCTATTATATATGTAGCTTAAGGTTTCCTTCATAAACTCAATACTAGGTTTATATCATATAAGTATTTTAGCTAACAAACTCTAAAGGGTTTTTTGCTATTATACAATTAGCTTAAGTTTCATCATATCTTAAGCAGTATGGTTACATTATAAAATGTATTAGCTAACAAAACTCCACGGAGTTTTGCTATTATATATATAGCTTAAGTTTAATTATATCTTAAGCTCAGTACTATGGTTATAACATAAAAGTATATTAGTTAATAAACTCTAAGGAGTTTTTTTTGCTATATACATTTAGCTTAAGTCTAATCTTATCTTAAGCTTAGTACTATGGTTACATTATTAATCTATAAGCTAATAAACTCTACAGAGTTTTGGCTATTATATATGTAGCTTAAGTTAATTATATCTTAAGCACAGTACTATACTCATATTGTAAAATATATTAGCTAACAAACTCTACAGAGTTTTGCTATTATATATGTAGCTAAAGCTTATTCATATCTAAAGCTCAGCATTATATCTATATCATATAAGTATATTAACTAACAAACTCTAAAGAGTTTTGCTATTATATAATTAGCTTAAGTTTTAATCATATCTTAAGCTTAGTACTATGTTTATATCTTAAAAGTATTTTAGCTAACAAACTCTAAGGAGTTTATACTAGCATATTAACAAGCTTAAGTCTATTAGTCTTAAGCATTGTATTAATGTTATATATACTTTATCATAATAAGTACTTTGTAATAACCTTTATATGGCAGCTGATAAGTTAGCAGCAGGAATTCATCAGTTCAGTACCTTTATGAAGTTCCCATAGGGTTATTACAATCATCACAGTTCAAATCACTAATTATTAAAATCCAAAGTGTTATATATTTCCCACCTCCCTTTCATTCCGGGTCTACAAGCAAAAGAGCATGAGTCAGGATAAGAGGAAAATATGTAATTTTTAGAGTAAAATTGATATTTTATACTTATCCTGACTCATGAATAACTTCCCTCCCATCCTCCCACATAACACTTTGGATTTCCCTGTAAATTCAAATGTTGGGCTCAGTATATGAGGAGAGAGTGAGGCACATGGGTGGAGGTGAAGCCCTCGTTCAGCTTGTGGAAGGGAGGTAACTCGTGCTGAGTACTAATTAGTGATTTTACATTGAAGGGAGCTTCAATTAGGGAGATACAAGTGTTCCACTATGTTCGCAAGAAGAAGAAGACAAGCAAAAAGAGCATGAGTCAGGATAAGTATAAAATATCAATTTTACTCTAAAAATTACATTTTTGTTACCAGTTCCCTCCCTATGCTACCAATGAGACTGGCCGAATTGGCGCCAGCAAGAGAAGAGAGCTTGGACATGGTAGGTGGCACTACAAGTTTCTTATCAGTCAATTCTTCTTCAGTGAAACTGGCCACAAATCTGTACTCACTATCACTATCTACTAATGTTTTACAACTGTTTAACTTTCTACTCTTCTAATATGACATGGGGCGGTGGGGTAGCCTAGTGGTTAAAGCGTTGGCTCGTCACGGCGAGGACCGGGTTCGAATCCTCACGTGGGTACAATGTGTGAGGCCCATTTCTGGTGTCCCCCGCCGTGATGTTGCTGGAATATTGCTAAAAGCGGCGTAAAACCAAAACTCAGTCAGTCAGTCTAATATGACATAATGATGCAAGTGATGAGAGGTTGCCACCAGCTTTGAAGTTATCTCTTTCTGCAGTATTTGTTTGCCCCAAACAGAAGTGATGTCATTAAACTTCGATGATTTGATATTCAACAACCCCAAATTGTAACTTTATAAATAAAAGCAACATCTCATTGTGTTTTGCATACCAGTGATAAGATGCAAAATAAACTGACTTAGTTATTCATTTCTTACGAGATAAATATTATATATGTTTCTGTCTTGTTCCATACACAGGTGCCCTGGCAGAGAAAGGATTGAGGCCTTTAATACCCTCCAACTTTCCTTTCACAATAAGACTGACATCCGAGGTGTTGGAGTCGAATGGTAAGTTCATCATTAGGCCACAATCTCCCTCATTGATGGTAATTATGTTTATCATGGAGATGATCATAATCATAAATTGGTTTCATGGATTATTTGAATTGTTTATTGGATTGGTATTGTCCAAGGCACTGTACAAAGCACACCCTTTCAGTACAGTCAAACACCATCGAGTCAAACTGTGAAGTGTCAATCTTGTGGTTGTCTTGAAGCATAAGCTTGGTCCCTTTGTACTATACTACTCACACTTTGCAAAGGATCACAAAAATTCGCAACTTTACTTAAACGTAGATTTATGACTTGAAATTGTATCCATTTAAAACTGGATAAATAATGATATGGGAACACATCTTTAGGAAAACAGCCACTTTTAGCTAACGTATGCACATGATACATGAGTAACCATAAAAATGGTTTTCATGGCACCAATCAACCATTTGCAAATCATGGCACAGGTCATTGACAAGCCCACAACGCCTGTCAATAGCAGGTATGGGATCCACAAGATGCAGTGACTTACTGAAAACTTGGATCCAAGCTTACAATAAGCTTAGATATTTTAACCAAATTTGACCCCACATCATAGTTTTCTGCTGAATCAATGATTTTATCCTTAGCAAAGTGTGAATAGTATACTTCATTAGTCATCACGGAACATTTGTGTGGGAACTTGTTAATATAGGTCCCTTCAACTTTGACACAGGAGTGTTTGACTGTGTGTTTTTAACTCAACAGCAGTAATCCAGCTGTATCATGACAATTTAAAAATGTTCAAATCTTGATCAAACCAACCAGGGATTGATATTATGAGCACATCTTTGGCCCTCAGGATACAATATCATGTCATCAAACAAGTTTCCAGGTTGGATTGTGAGGTCTATTCAGTTGCCTTTGAGAGCAAGATTGTGTGGACCTATTTTATATCCTCCACACTCTGTGAGTTTTAGTGTTTTTTAATTAATATTTTCTTTAAAGTAATAAACCCTTGGGGACTCAAGGCTTGATTTTGTGCAAGGCAATATATGCTGATCAGAAGAGGTGACTCAGTGGGTGAAATGTTTGTGTTCAGTGACTTGGTTGACGACATTATGGTGGGCAACTGTTTTTTAATTTTGCTCATGAAATCAGTCACTGTCTCTGTCACTCTGTCAGTGTTACATAGAGTTCTGTTCTCCTGATTAGGTTCTTCCTCCATGGCATCGGTGTGTGGTGGTAGTCTTGCCCTGATGGATGCTGGTGTCCCCATCTCAGACGCTGCTGCAGGGGTGGCTATTGGACTGGTCACTCGCACTGATCCTGAGAAGTCGGACATATTGGAATACAAGCTGTTGACAGACTTGCTGGTATGTGTAAATCTGGAACGTTTTCAGGTTTTTATCTCATCTGACTTAAAGTTAAGTGAACGCATGTGATGGCATGTTTGTCAAGCATCTGTCGTGCTTGTGGATCCTACAAGCTGGATCTCACGAGCTGGATCCTACGAACTGGATGCTACAAGCTGGATCCTACGAGCTATGATCCTATGAACTGGATGCTACAAGCTGGATCCTACAAGCTGGATGCTACGAGCTGGATCCTATGAACTGGATCCTATGAATCCTACGAGCTATGATCCTATGAACTGGATGCTACAAGCTGGATCCTACAAACTGGATCCCACGAGCTGGATCCTATGAACTGGATGCTACAAGCTGGATCCTACGAGCTATGATCCTATGAACTGGATGCTACAAGCTGGATCCTACAAGCTGGATGCTACGAGCTGGATCCTACAAGCTGGATCCTACAAGCTGGATCCTAAACATCTCAGGAACCACCTGACTAATGAAACTGAAACATCTGATGCCTATTCCCACCAATGAAGATACCTTGACTCAATGACAATTTCAAACTGGAATTTCACTGTGACCATCTCATCTGCAATTTTGTAAAAGCTATCCAGCCATTACTCAGTCATTTTGTTCAAACTGTGATAAAATTTGATACATGTGTTGTTAATAGTTGGGCTCAACCTGGATATTCTTTGAGTTGTGTTTGACACACAGTTTAATATATATTGATGTGTGTTTGTGCAGGGTATTGAAGATTACTTAGGTGATATGGATTTCAAACTAGCTGGGACCAAGAAGGGAATCACAGCCCTGCAAGTGAGTATCATGTTGCAACACACAACCAGCGTTGCTATATCTAAGGGAGATAACTCCAGAGTGTGACTATCTAGATTGTAGGGACAGTACTTGGTACAAAATGCAACTTTCCATTTCCCCTTATTTCCTTTGTCAAATCATACATGAAGGTGTTCTTGTTGATGTTCATTATAGCTAAAATGGATAGAATTATCATTAAAACGCCCGCACGTTATCAGAAATCAGTGGGCCACTGTAACTTGATAAAGCCCGCAAAATGCTTGACGTCGGGCCATTATCAAGCCCATTGTTAGGTGACGTCTTAAGTAGCTCAGCTGTTGATGTTTAATCACATACGGCTCGTTTGAACTTGGGTTCATTATTAACGAAATTTCTGACTCACATTTGTCACATGTACCTGTGCCTTTATGCACTTTCTTGCCAGTGTCAACCATAACAATTGTACCATAAATTACAACATACAGCAATGAAAACATCGACCGGAACTCTTAACATTTTTTGAGCACTGAAAGAAATGGCTGCTTTAATATGGGCAAAGGTCAAGGTCGAATGTCGTCACTCTCAATAGTGACGTTACCTGTTTTGTTCTATGACAGTGACCTCCGTCGTTTGATGTTAGCAATAAATGTTTCAAAACCGATGCTGTTGTTTGTATTCTTATGTTATTAGAAATTCTATCCATTTTGGCTATAAAAAGGGTAACGCTATTTTTCAGGGCATTATCATTTGCCGAAGCCATCAGTCTTTTCAACTGCCCTCCTTCGTCAGGCAGTTAATGAAAGACCTCGGGCTTCTGCAAATGATAATGCCCTGAAAGATAGCGTTACCCTAAAATTATACTATAGGGTATTTATATAACGCACATATCCACGCAATTAATACATGCTCAAGGCGCTGGTATTGTTTCCCTCGATCATTGGATGTCAATCTCAACAGCACATCTTATTATCAATCTCAACTCCCTGGGGAAGCATATAACTCTTGCAGCCACTAGGCAGACAGAGTTATTGTGGCTTTCCCATCCTTACGAGGTACCCATTTACCGCTGGGTGGGCTGGGACACATAGTCACATTACTTTGTCCAAGTTTACTGCATGTTGCTGTACCCGCAACTAGGTGTTTGCACATATTCATGTGGCCACCATCTAGTCATATACTAATGGATTCATGGGTTCTTTTAAGTGCACAGGGTTGTGTACTGTACACTAGGGGTTGTGACAACACTGAAAGAGTCTGCACACAAAGCTGACTCTAAGGTTTTTACACCCGGTCACAGGTGGGCTCGATCCTGACACCTCAAGCTCATAGGACTGATCACCAAAATGCACCCAATGCATATAGTTTGGGTTTCATGAATTCACCAGCGTATGGCTCTGAGTGCATGTGAAATTCAAGTTAGTTTTGAAGTAATTAGGACGGGGGAAATGATAGATGAGTTACTTTGATGTTTGACCACTGTAGGGTTTAGTTATCGTCAGACTGCTCTAGGGTTTAGAGGCAGTGACTCACAATTAGACAAGTACCTGTAAGATATTATTTGGCTCTTAGCTCAGGTTCTAGTCTTGTTTTCATTTCTTCACACACTTAAGAGAATGACATTATAAATCCTCCATTGTTTTATCATTTGTGATAGGTTCACATTCAGGTCCTTGTTTAGGTCAAAGATAAGAGATTCACATTTAACTGATTAGTTTCCAGATAAATTTAGGTGAATTCTGCAGATGTGTGTTGTCTGTTTTCATGCATGCGGACATCAAGCTGTCAGGGATTCCCATTAAGATTGTCATGGAAGCCATACAACAAGCAGCAGGTAAAGTGACAATTTACTGCTCATTGTTGGAAATGTGTTTGGGGTGTTTGTTGATTGTGTAAATGGTCAATTCTTGATTAAGGAAACCTGTGATTGATAGTATTGTCAATATCACCTTAAGGTAGGATGACACACCACTTGAATTTGGTAATACATGACCCATGAAGATCTGGGTTAGAATTGGTCTTCAGTAACCCATGCTTATCGTAAGAGGCGACTGACGGGATCGGGTAGTCAGGCTTGCTGGCTTGGTTGACATATGTCATCGGTTCCCAATTGAGTAGATTGATGCTCATGCTGTTGATCACTGGATTGTATGGTCCAGACTCGAATATTTACAGACCGCTGCCATATAGCTGGAATATTGCAGAGTGCAGGGTTAAACAACCAACCAACCAACCACAACTCAGGTGTGTCGACACAACAATCAGCCTGATCCACCATGTCAGTCAGCTCTTACGACAGACAGTTAATACTTGTGACATACTCAAACCCTGAAATCTCTGTATTGGTATATCTGGGTTTATGTGGAATTATTCACATTCATCATGAGATATCTGGTAGAAGCTGCTATTACTGTCTAGTTTCGAAATACATGACACATTTTATTTGTTTGATAGCAGCCTGGAATAAAATCTGTTTCTTTCCCTTACCAATTATACAGATGCAAAACATGAGATATTGAAGATTATGAACAACACACTTGCAAAACCAAGAAGTTCCCGCAAAGAAAATGGGCCAGTAACAGGTACCAGGGTCTTATATTTTTCCTTATCCTGACTCATGATCTTTTATACAGGTATCAAACCTTTCCCTGAAGATTATGGTAGTGGAACACTTGAATCCTTGAAGTTCAAAGCGGATGTATAAATACTCACCCATGGGTTACCTCCTTGCCCTTTCCCGTACCAGGGTCTTATTTCATTTGTAAGCGTTGATTTACTTAAAAAATTACAAAGCGTTGAAAAAACCCCAATACAGTTGATGGCGAAAGATTGATTCTCCAATGCAAAACTTGTTCATAATATAATTTAGGATAATGATTGCAATTTCAATTGTTATGTGCAGCTTTCAATGGCATATGATTGTCTGGTGTGATTTAGTTTTGAGAATACATGTATGTTAAATTTGTTTACAAATGTATACAAATTTTAAATGAAATTCAGCTGATAATGATGACTGATGGCCAGGATCTGGTGCAAAATGTGTTTGTAATATGTAGAACTTTAGAATGTTCCGCTTGACAATTACTGTATTTCATAATTATATTTAGGAGATAAACATACTGTGTTGGAAAATCAGATGTATATAACGAAATTATAATAGCTCTAAATTTGATTTAAAACCGAACGTATAGCGTGAGGTTTTAAATAAAAAATTAGAGCTAGCTACTGCGTTGGAAAATCAGAGGTATATAACGTGATTATATACCTCTGAATGACTTTGATTAACCAGTCACAATCCAGTATTTACTGAAGTCATGGTAGAATTGGGCTTATAGACTATATGTCCTTCACAAGATGACTGTTTGATACAGTACCATCAAACAGTCACCTTGTTAGTGATGTTATCTTACCTTTTAGTTGAACATTTTAAGCTATATTTGAGTGAACAAGATTTTATTTCTTCTTTGGATGTTGACAAAAATGTTTTGTGAAAATTGAGTTACTTTTTACAAGTTTGGAAAAAATGAACTTGTCATGTACTGAATCAAAGGGAAAGGTGATTATTACCATTATGTCATTTTTATTTGAATGCTGTGTAACTATGTTGTTTTGCCATGTTGTAGAGACATTGCAGGTACCTCTGCACAAGAGGCCGAAGTTTGTGGGAGCTGGCGGCTATAACCTGCAGAAGATCCGCAGTCAGACAGGTGGGTATTGGAGACTCATGGGGAGGTGCAAGCATCATGGTATGGGGTGGAATAGGCCTGAACCAGAGAGTGGGTCCTGTGGTGTTCCAGAACCTTGGTCCAGGGAGAGGAGGCGGCATCACAGCGGCGCTCTACATCGACTAAGTTCTCAGACCCCACGTCATACCACATTTTGCACATCACTGGAACAACATTTTCCAGCATGATAACGCCCGGGCCCATACTGCCAGAGCTACACGGGACTTCCTACAGCAGAATGGTGTCAAAATTATGCAGTGGCCAGCCCTTAGTCCTGATTTAAACCCAATTGAACATCTTTGGGATGAAATTCAGAGGAGACTGAATAATGTCATACCAAGGCCGAACACAGCCGATTTATTGCGCCAGGCCTTTCTCAGAGTATGGTTCCAGGTGCCAATGGCCTTCATCAATCGATTGGTGCACTCCATGCATAGACGCTGTGCTGCAGTTATTGCCGCTCATGGTGGTCACATTAGATACTGAAGTCAAGAGTCTGAATGGACTGCAAACGTTCACGTAATGTCTTGAAATTGTGCTGAGTTATTCATTGATGTGTCAAGATATTGTACACAAAAAATGTTCTTGATCCGCTTATCATGTCCATTTCTGTAATGATTTGATTACAGTGCCTATCTAACTTTGAATTCATACTGACATTTGTTTTGCTGCTGAGTATATTACTGTCTAACTTTGATAAAATCTTCAACTTAAGTAAGAAAAACATTCTTCACTAGGCGTTAACTGAACCTAATGCTGATCTCACGTCTCTGTGTTCAGGGGTGACCATTACTAACATGGATGAGACCACGTTCCAAGTGTTTGCCCCCAACAAGGATGCCATGGAGGAAGCACGCGAGATCATGGAGGAACTGTTGCAGGATAATGTCAGTACCAGTGGCATCTTGATTGCATTAATGAAATTTGATCACTAGTTCTTTGGGGGTTTTGGTTATCTGGTCTAGTATGTCAGGAACATAAAGACTTTCGATAAATTTCATGATCTACAGACCACCGCCATATAGCTGAAATATTGCTGAGTGCAGTGTTAAACATCTACAACCAACCAGTTGTATCAGTTGTCATGGTAACAAATTCACAATAAAGATAATGATAAATGCAAATATTAGAGTCCTGTAGGTTTTGGCAAGAAGAAATTTAGTATTTGTTCTTTGACATCACAACTTCCAATTTAGAATTTGAGATTATGTTATCTTCATGGACAACCCTCTTTGTTTAACTACTGCCCATATTTAATAATGTATGTATGACCCTTAAAACACTCTGATAAATTAAATTAATTTCATTTTGGGTGTGATTGGGTGGCCTTGTTAAGTGTCCACTTGTCACGCCAAAGAACTAGGTTTGATTCCCCACATGGTTACAATGTGTGAACACCATTTCTGATGTTACCTGCTGTAATATTGCGAAAAGCGGCGTAAAACCTCGTTAGGATGAGAAAGCCACAATAACTCGGTGCGCCTAGTGGCTGCAAGAGTTGTATACTCCCCAGGGAGTTGAGATAGATAATGCGATGTGCCGTTGAGATTGACATCCAATGATCGAGGGAATAAATACCAGCACCTTGAGCATGCACTAGTGCGTGGATATGTGCGCTATATAAATATCCTATAATAATACAAAACTATACTCATGTTGGTGTCAGTAGATATTTCTTGTTTTATAGGTGCCAGAGTTTGAATTTGGTGCTATTTGTACAGGGAAGATTGTTGAAATCAAGTAAGTATAGTTGTCGGTGGTGCCTCTGAGGGTTTAACTGTGCATATTGAAAAGTTGTAAGATTCATTTGGTGTTTGGTTTCCCAAGTCCAGGTGTGATCTGTTGAAGTTTAAGCTTGATATTGCTTTAATATATCTGATATATATCTATCACATTTCACACTATGTGATGCTGCTATAACTTCAAGTATTCATTGGGGTGATGGGGTAGTCCAGTGGTTAAAGCGTTCACTTGTAACACCAAAGACCCGGGTTCGATTCCCCACATGGTTATAATGTGTGAAGCCCATTGCTGGTGTCCCCGCCCGGATATTGCTGGAATATTACTAAAATGAGCATAATACCAAACACTCACTCACTCAAGTATTCATTGTGTAAAATGTGTTGTACAGAGAATATGGTGTGATGGTGGAGCTTCACCCCCGACTGCAGCCCGTTCTCATTCACAACTCTCAGCTAGATATGAGGAAGGTAGGTAGCCCTAAGTGTGCCCTGAATATGCCCTGAATATACTCTGAGAATGCCAAGAGCATAGTTGAGTAAGTCTGAATGGGAGACGAGTGCATAATTGATCCAGTAATTTGCTTTGCAGAGTTGTTTCCCTTATCCGCCCCAGGATGTCTTGGATTATGTCTACCATATTAGTAGTCATGTGGTAAACAGCAGTGCCTTGTGTCACTTGTATATTTCTATTTGCATTGAGTGGATAAGCTGTTCACCTCACACAGAATGAGTACTTAAACTTTCATACCCAAACTTTTGCTGGTAATTCCACTCAGGACTTGCAGAATTATGTTTGGTCTGAACTTTACTTACAACCTTTGATTTGAAAATATATAATGAAAGGCAGATAAATTTAGCCTCCTTATCATGAATTACAATACATATCAATAACATATATCATTGCACACATTTGTCAAAATTGATCATGTGTAATAAACACACGTATTAGTCTGGACACTCACTAACTCTCACTCACTCACTCACTCTCACCAACTCTCTCACTCACTCACCAACTCACTCACTTACTCTCCCCAGCTCACCAACTCTCACCAACACAACAACTCACTCTCACCCACTCACTCACCAACTCACTCACTCTCACCAACTCTCTCACTCACTCACTCACCAACTCACTAACTCATTCGCTCACTCACCATGTTACATGTCACTCATGTTACAGGTGAACCACCCATCAGTGCTGGGACTAGAGGTGGGGCAGGAGATCAGGGCCAAGTACTTTGGGCGTGACCCTGCCAATGGACGTATGCGGTTATCTCGGAAGGTTCTCCAGACCACTGGAAGATAGATGCGATTGTGATGGTTTGCGATTGTGACGTATGCGGTTATCCCGGAAGGTTCTCCAGACCACTGGAAGATAGATGCCATTGTGATGGTTTCCTCATTGTGATGAAACAAAATCTTTTGGAAATAGAAACATTTTCAGTGGGCTATTAAAGCGCACCCAGAGTTCTCCTGAACACTCTAATCTGACTTTTGAGTGCGTTTATTGTCACAGCAGTGTGTTATTGTATGATAAACAATGACCACAATTAAATCTGAACAGGATATATATCCGTTATTCTCAGACACACTCACACACTCACTAGTTGTGAGCATATGCCTCCACATAGAAATGACATCACATGTTTTATGAAAAAACATCAAGTTGTGAGCATATGCTTACAATCTCTAGAAATGACATCTTGATAGACTACGATAACTTTTCATGAAACAATCCCAGTAATTTGCCCTTAAATGATAGTCGTTTCACTTACAGAAAAGCTGCTGATCGAGATAAAACTAGAAATTATATTTCAAACACTGATATTGGGACAAACCATGCTTGGTTTTTATCATTATTCAAACACTGAACAAACCATGATATGAGATTTTTCATGTAGCTACCTTACATACACAGATCTGTTAATTGTTAGCATGTACCACTTATAGTAACATATGACCTTATATACAGAAAGGTCACTAGGTTTTCTGCCCACACTGAGATGACACTGGTCATATCCAGCTGATGGTGATAAGCCCACTCACTGGTACATATAGGACAAGAGTCAACTCACTCTGTGGTAGCCTGATGGACAGTGAAGTGTACTCTCACAACTGAGGTGTGGGAATTTGTCTAGTCCAGGTGTTGACATACTGTAATAACTATTGAACGAAGCCTCAGGTTTATACCAATATATGTAAATATGGTTTGTATTGTTTGACTTATATTACTTGTACATATGTAAATTTCATATGACAGATGTGAAAATATATAATGAAATGAACACAAGTTTGGTGTGCTTTATTCTTGACATATGACCCCTTCTCCTCAGAACCGCCTCTGTGGTGTATTGGTTAGAGCGTCCGCCCAGAGAGCGGAAGGTCGCGGGTTCGATCCCCGACCGCTTCATACCAAAAGACGTTAAAATATGGTACTTGTTGGTCCTTGGCTGGCGCTCGGCATTAATGGGTACAACAAGGACTGGTCGGCTCGTAGTCAGTATAATGTGTCTGAGTGGGGTATTCCTGCTTCATTGCTGCATGGTATCTCAGTGGGCTAGCACTATAAAACCAGCTTAAGTCTGGGCTAGTACATGCAGCCGCACATACACATACACACGCATGCATGCACGTCTTCATATGAGTGAAATATTCTCAAGCACGACGATAAACTAAATTTCACCTCACCTCACCTTCTGCTCAGCATTGATGAAACCAATCCACTCAACTGTGGTTTGATGGTTGCCAGGCGGTGCTGTTTTCTGGCAGGCTGTTTATACCAATTGTTTTCAAAATGTTTACCAAACATTATCTGTGAGTAGATTTGAATTTGGATCGAAAACAATTATGAATGTGCACAGTGATGTGTTTGGAATATTACTAAAAACTGCGAAAAAACATACTCACTCACTCACTCTCACTCACTACCCAAATATGAAGAAATAGGGGTGTACAGGATTCACACACACACACACACACACATTTTATATAGTGAGAAGCACACTTGTTCCCATCGCGACTGCCTCCGTGGTGTAGTGGTTAGAGCGTCCGCCCGGAGAGCGGAAGGTCGCGGGTTCGATCCCAGACCGCGTCATACCAAAAGACGTTAAAATATGGTACTTGTTGGTTTCAGCCTGGCGCTCGGCATTATTGGGTACAACAAGGACTGGTCGGCTCGGAGTCAGTATACTGTGTCTGAGTGGGGTATTCATGCTTCACTGCGGCATGGTTTCTCAGTGAGCTAGCACTATAAAACCAGCTTAAGTCTGGGCTAGTACAAGCAGCCGCACATACACATACACACGCATGCACGTCGTCATATGAGCGAAATATTCTCAAGCACGACGTTAAACCCAATTTCACCTCACCTCACCTTGTTCCCATCGCTCTGCCATATTGCTTATGTTGTGTACAGTTTTTACTCACTCATTGGAACTCAGGACCAAAGGTCTTGGGTAGGCTAGTGTTACAGTCTGCACTGTAAATACATTGACATAAGCCAAATTCAGTTTAATGCTGCTTTTGAACAATATTTCCGTTATCTGACAGGCTTTCAGCTTCAGGTGGGAGAAAAACTTTGTAATGTATATACATGTATTGGAACCCACAGCTCTGGGGTACCAAACCACTCGTGTTCACACATTCGATTCAAAAAGTCGCTTGAGACCGGAACTGAAGACATGTAAATATGCATTATATATCTTACTGACAAAACTAACAAAAACCCGACTGGTATATGAAATAACTCCTAAAGAAGCGATAACGGATCTGTGGTAGTTTGGAGTAAACCAACACATCATTGGTACTCCAGGATTTAGAACCATTTGAGCTAACAAAATACCACTGGGGTTTGAAAACCATTTTGGGCAAGCATAGATTACTTCCCTTACTACACATAAACCATCGGTCGCGTTTTAACGCATTTTTTGCTTCTTTTAGATATTATTACATATATTATAATGTACAGTATTTATATAGCGCCGACTTCCAGCTCGGCTGATCACAGGCGCTTTGTTCTTTCCCTCGATCATAAAATGTCAATCTCAACTCCCTGGGGACCATACAACTCTTGCAGCCACTAGGCGCACCGAGTTAATGTGGCTTTCCCATCCTTACGAGGTACCCATTCACAGCTGGGTGGACTGGGACACATAGTCACAGTTCTTTGTTCGAGTTTACTGCACGTTGCTGTACCCGCTACTAGGGTACGTATTCATAGTGGCCATCTGGTCATATACCAACAGATTCGTGTGTTCTTGTAAGTGCACAGGGTTGTGTACTGTACACTAGGGGTATGGCAACACTGAAAGAGTCTGCACACAAAGTTGACTCCAAGGTTTTACACCCGGTCACAGGTAGTCTCGATCCCGGCACCTCAAGCTCGCGGATGACAATGGAGGTTACAATGCCAGAAGGCAGTATACCTTGACCTTGTCACTTTGTAAAACAAAACAATATGTTATTTAAAAAGCACGACAATGGGAGAATTTTTCACACTTTGATTAATTTTCACATTTTATGCTTGTTTTTGTAAGGGCGACAACCTGACCATGTCCCCTCTGAGATTCCATACATTTGTGTATTGATGTCACCAGCGACATATGGAAAGTTAGATTAGATTATCTAATATTGCGTCCCCAGGAACGTATTGTCTGGTGTAGATAATTTAATCAGGCTGTTGTGACATTTGTATCTTTGACGACCTTTTTATCAATGTATTGACGTCAAACATCAATATTAAACCAATTATATCACATGGATATGTTCCCCTGATTCTTTTGAATCAACTTAACTTCCTATACTGTTACCAATTAACACGGAACCTGAGAGATAATCAAGTCGTACTATCTGCACACGACAACTGTACAACACATTTATTAAACGTATCCATAAAGTGAGAAGTTGTGGTACAGTGAACAGAGTGACTGACCGGCCAGGTCGGTAGTTTGATCCCCGAAGGCGTCCTACCGAAAGAGAGGACTTGTGGTTTCCCTGCCTCAATCTACGTCAAGGGCATAAAGCCAATACTGGTCGCCCCAGAGTTAGTATAGTGTGTCTGGAGTATCACAGTAGACTAGCTCAGTTGAACCGACATTAATCCGGACTGGTAGAAACAACCACGCAGTAGGGCTGGGACGGGTCCAAATTTTCTTCCCGGGTACCCCACCTCCTATTACCCTACCCTACCCGGATACCCGTTATATTAATTCCTGAATCAAATTTGTAAGAAAGGACAATAGATATCTCAGCTCGGAGACTAAAAGTTCGAGTTTTTCAATATCTTAACCATGTATTATATTTAAAAGAAGTGACTGTAATTATGTCTAAATCTTCAAAGACAATACAACTTTTAATCATGAAAGAATAACATATGACATTTTTTAATCTGTTAGTCACATGATCGTAACGGGTCTGGGTATTGAGACGGGTACCCGGGTCCAACTCATTACCCACCCGTCCCCGGGTATCCCCGTTACCCGTCCCAGCCCTACCACACAGACACTTAATTGCATGCTAGTTGCTATTTGGTTGCAATAATCGTGCAATCGACGGTAAATGAGATTTTACCTCACCCGTTGGAGCAATGCAACGATTCCCGGTGCTTAGCCATGATTTTCAGTGGTCCGCTCATATGATTTTCAATGCTATATATCGCCCTTAATGGGATCAATTTCTGAGGATAGTCTAACCTGGGTATTTATTTACACTGACGTTTTATATTTACAACGAGCCATTATCCATGACCTTTATGAAATTGCCACTCCATGTCCATCCCACAGGCCCAGATAAACACGACCTATCTTTATTCCAGAGTAGAACTGTCTCCAAGAACACATGCATTTCAATAAGGCCCGATGCACCGATGCACGTGGGACCCGAATCTACTGTACTGATAGTCGTAAGACGAAACTAGGTAACCTGTGGTGATTCTGGGTTAGGATTGGTCCCTAGCAACCTACTTTGGTCATTGAACTGGTTCCACTATTGGTACGCGCCTCAGACTAGGCTGCTCCATATGTGGTTGTAAGATGCAACTCACTGAATCACCCATAATGGATTGTCTGGTCCATGATATCTCATGAATGGATAGCCTGGTCCATGATATCTCACGAATGGATTGCCTGGTCCACGATATCTCTCGAATGGATTGCCTGGTCCATGATATCTCACGAATGGATTGCCTGGTCCCTGGTCCACGATATCTCACGAATGGATTGCCTGGTCTACGATATCTCACGAATGGATTGCCTAGTCCACGATATCTCACGAATGGATTGCCTGGTCCACGATATCTCACGAATGGATTGCCTGGTCCACGATATCTCACAAATGGATTGCCTGGCCAAGACTACAGTGTTTACAGACATTACTGGAGAATTAATGACAGCAGCGTTAAACAGCGCCAATG